CCTTTCTTCATCCTGGTTATATAGTCCCGAGCTATACTATTCCAGGGGTTCATGTCCATCCGCTTTTTGCTCTTTTCGTTTTGTCCCTATTTTTATTTTGGTTGCCCACGGTCCAGCCAGCCCATTAGCCCTCCCTCTATGCAGACCCCGACACGGCGATCCACGCACAGTCGAATGAAAACAGATTCCAAACACGCCACATCAAGGCTTGAATATCGGACGGTGTGTTCTCAACCACACTCCCTCCGCCCGGAGAAAGGTCCTTGATCCCGGCCAGGAATCGGAAGCAGACAATCACCGAGCCAGGTGCCGGCGTGGGAGAAGGAAAAGGAAATGCAATTTTATGCGCCTTTCGCCATGACATTTTGCGTTCAAACGAAACATTAACATGACAAACATATAGATCTAAATCTGGTATACAGAACGAAGCTTCTGAGCAACATGGGCCGGAAGTTGCGACAGGAATGAATCGAAATTGGGTATCATATTTTTATATCCCTGCAACACCTGCATCATCATTCGAGTCAGCTACACGTTTTGAAAGATATGAGGGAAAGAGAAGGTTACACACCTGCTGGAATGAGGTCTGAATGTCACGGTAGTCCTCCTGGTTCATCGATTTGGTGGGGAATGCAGCGATGGCCTGGAAGTAGTCCACCAGGCAGGACTCCATGGCTGCGGGGTTCTTCATCACCACCTGATTGAATCCGAGGAAAGCGGATGCCTTTTCGCGCGTGAATTCAATCTTGTTCATGGACTTCAAGAAGACTCCGGCGTATTCATTCAGACGAGCTGCAAGCTGATCGGAGCAGCAGATACCAAGCCGACCCAGCGCCATCGCAGCGTTCTCGTTCACCGAGTCGATGATCTCCTCGTTGTTGATGATGATGAAAAGCCCCTGGTACAGCTTTTCCATATACGGAGCCAGCGCGGCTTTTTCGTTCACGGCGATCTCTCCGCACGACCAGCAGGCATTGTTGAGAACGCTGAATCCAGTGTGACGATCATCATCCCGGATCTGGTCCAGATCCAGTTGCTTGATCAGAGTGGGCATAATGTTAGGAATGAAGGGCTCGAGTTGAGGGAAGATGTTGATCGCACAGTCACCCAGCAGAGCATACGATGACTGACGGACCTCATAGTTCGGATCCTCCATACAGAAGCAGAGCAGGTCGAAGAACCGGGGCTGGGAGTTGGCGACCAACTCGCCGCTCTTCTGCGGATCGATCGCCTGGATGATCGCGCTCAGAAGATCCAGGCTCGTCACCAGGAAGTCCTTGTCAGGCTCATCGATGGCCTGGTTGTTGACAGATGCCATGTACTCCTGCAGATTCTCGTAGATGATCTTGATGCATCTCTGGAAGAGAGGAGTGGCGAAGGGAGAAAAGGCGTCGCCGTAGGCCGCCGCAATGTATCCCAGGCACTCCAGGAGTGGGAACAGCTCCCGAGACTGATCCGAGACCTTGTTGTAGCGATCAATGAGAGCAGGCATAAGGATATCAACCAGTTGAGGCTTCGCCAGCTCCCCCATGACGCACTCGGCCAAAGTTTGGACACAGTCATACAAGATGTACATGTTCCGGTCTTTGTACCTTCCAAAGCACTGCACAAACTGTCGAAGGATGGGCTCACAGTAGGGGATCAAGTTCGCGTCCGACTTCTCCTCCAAGCTTGCAAAGGCAGAGGCAGCCGCCTCCTGAACCTTCTTGTTGCCGTCCAGCATTCTGCGCAGGATACCCTCCATCATAGGCTCAAAGAAGCGCGCTCTTTCCGACGGGTCTCCCAGGTGTGACGCCCATTCGGAGTATCGGCCGAGGCACCAACAGGTGATCTGTCGCACCACAGGTTGAGCGTCGTTGAGCAGGGAAATGAGGTAGGGAACGAGCTCGGGGAGATGAGGCGTAACCGCATCCATACAACCGTCTGCAACAGCACCCAGAGTCAAGACAGCAGCTTCGCGATGGGGCCACTGTTCGTGGCGGAGGGTCTCCTTCAGGTAGGGCAGAATGATTTCGAAGATCGGGTCGTGATAGACGTTCGAGAAGACATCCAACGCGGCGGCGGAGCACTTTCTGAGCGTCCATTCGTCCTCGGGATCATCTCCGAATTCGGAATCCTCAATCTCGCCTTCACTCAGATCGTCATCGTCTTCCTCCTCGGGAGCTGCGTTTCCGTTCGCTTGACCGGACTTGGACATATCCAATTTACCGCTCTTGGACTTGGCGAACTGTGGTTTGAGGTCTTCCTGGCGGTCTTCGTCCTCGGCATCATCTCCTTCGCCCGTCAACCTAATGGCTTCATCCTCATCATAAACCATGCTCTGGAGCAAGACCGGGACGATCTTAGACATGTGTGGAGCCAAGGGCTGCTGTAATTTGATCTGCTCGCCCGCGACAAGCCAGAACTCAGCGGCGTCAAGCGCAAGCTCCGGGTCCTCCTGGTTGTGCTGTTGCATGATGATATAGTTGACCAACCCTTCCATGTGTGGGATGAGCTTCTCGGGGGAGAAGTCCACCAGTTGCGCGAAAGTCTGACACACTGTGCGACGAACATCGGTACTCGAATCATTGGCGAGCTGGAACAATTGCGACAAAAACAGATCCATTGAAGCAATCAGGGCCTTGGGTCTGTGCGGGAGGAAGACGTGGATGGTGCCGAGGGCCATTGAGCGGACCTTGGAGCTCTGGTTCGAGGTGAATTCGAGCAACTTGGGGATGATGACATCCAGAGGGCATTGTCCTTGGTAGTCACGGTCGAGGATCTTGCGGTTATCTTCGCAAACCTTGGAAAGAGCAGACATAGCAGCCTCCTGGGCCATGGGCGGGATGTCACCGGAGCTATTTTCGACGAGGGTCAGCAGCTCCTGCAGCACGTCAGGCCAGGCTAATAGCCCCGCCTGTTGCACCAATTCTGTGATAATTGTTCCGGCCGACTTCCGCACATGAGGGTTCTCATCGCGCAATCCGAGCAGGGTGGCCGATCGGATATAGGTCAAGCAAGGTTGGGGGATCGTGTTGTAGGCAACGTGAATTTTGGTCTTGAGGTTCATGGCAGCGGCGAAACGGACCATGTCGTAGGTCTGGCTATCCATTCCCAGCACCGGAGAAGCCTGCGGGGTGCTGAAGAGGTAGGTGATGTAGTTGACATAATCCGGCGACGAGGTTGCTTGTACTAGCATCTATCAGACGGCAGAAAGAGAGCTCCGGTCAGCCGATTTTTTTTTTCTCAAAGCGAAAGATAAGGTCCTAGAGCAAAGCTAAACAGAAGGCGAGGTAGAATAGGTGCTGTTGCAGCGACCGCGAAGCTCCGGAAATAGCCATTCTGTTGAAGTTGATGGAGGGGAGGGGAAGCATAAAAAAAAAAAAACTCAAAGTCGGGAAAGAAAGCGGACTAAGAGAGAGGGGGAAAAGCGACAGCGAGGACACACCTGTTCGGCCTGTTTTTGGAGGGGGCGATCATAAGGATTAAGGGAATCCTTGAGGCAGCAAGCCAGCTGCCTCAATGGATCGTCCTGCGGTTGCCATTCCATGGTGTCGCAAAGGTGGAAGGCAGAGGGAGGGGGAGCAATTGCGGGAAGAAGGACGACGAGGGGGGATGAAGAGAGAGACAGAGAGAGAGGGAGAGAGGGAGAGACCGAGAGGGTGGAAGGGTACGTTGTGTAGCCCAAAGAAACCCCGCCGTGAACTTGTGGGAAGCGGCTCCAGCCCCTTCTTCCCCGGAAAGGCTAAGAGAGAAAAAAAAAATATAGAAAAGAATTTGAAAGACAAGGGAAAATAAGATAAATTATAATAAATTATTATCAGAAAGCATCAACAAAGGAATTTAATTCATGAAAAACAATCCGTTGTTCAGAACAGTAGAAGCGCGACTCGAGCGCACAAAATATTCCCAAGTGGACCAAAGTAGTCGCAATGGAGCCAGAAGGCTGTCCGGTGACGACAAGAGAAAAATTCCCCTGGCTGGCGGAGAGACACAGACAGAGAAAGCGGGAGAGAGAGAGAGAAAGAGAGAGAGGGAGAGGCAAAGGAGAGAGGCAGAGCCACCGCGGACAATCCTACTTAGCACCACTACTACCAAAGCAACCAAAGTTCTGAGTGGTTGTGGCACTAAGTAGTGGTCCTCCTGGCAACTGGGTTCTTTACATGGAAAAGGCCGTGCACCCGGAGATACTTACTTGTGTTGTAGCAGTACTTCCAAGCACCTTACGTAGGGAAATAGTGGAAGGATGGCTGGCTGGTTAGCGATTCAGGCAAAATCTTCTTTGAAAAAAAAAAGATGAAGCCACCTAGTATCCTACTTCCTCTGACTTCAGTCAGACGGATAAGTCTGGTCTGGCTGATGATCAAGTTGGGACGATGCGATGGGCAGAAACACATGGAGGAATGTTGATGTTGATGTTCATGTTCATGTTGATGTTCATGTTCATGGCTGGTATCGTCACTTGGGATGTTCTCTATCTTTCAGAGGTCTGGTGGCCGCGGTAATCAGCGAAACAGTATTAAACATGCCACCGCCAGGCAGATGAAGGCAACCATCTGCCCGGTATGGTAACCGGCGACTATTACTGATACACATTGGTTTCTCCAGTTACCTGCTGATACATACCTTACCTGCCTTAACGTAGAGGATTCCATTCCGAACACAGACCGGCAAGAGGCACTTGACATGCATCTATATAATGAATATTTCACAGGGTAGGTTTGTCCTTGGTAATAGCATATCATACACAGTAGACCTCATGTTCAATACAGTTCCTGAATGTTCTTTCTATTATGTTCCGATTCATTAGCAGTACCTATCTCTGGGGCTGAATCAACCATGCATGTATTCCACCCTTACGATGTTTCTCCCTAGAAACTTCGACTTCAAGGATACTTCCTCACTGGTTCCTACTATCCATGCATGGATGCCAATCCCGAAATTCTGGAGTCGGTAACTTATCCTTTCCCCTCATGCAGTGGTTGCCTTTTCCCCTCCACTCACCCCCCAGTCTTCCAGTATCATGGGACCCGGTCGGCGGCGGGGATTACTAGGCCATCACGATGCCAGAATGACCTGTCAGAGATTCCGATCCATCGTGCGCTTCTCCCACGGGCTTCCTTTAGAGCTATCTTAGAAAATAGTCCGCCTAAGCCCTGATCGCGTGCATAGGGTGGATCAGGATCTAACCTGAAGAGTTAAGTAGTTGGCTAGTATTGTTGTTGATAATGTATGTACCCCAACAATGCATCTATCACCCACATCGGGTCAGTTATGGAAGTTATGAACATCATTACTACCCTTGTGCAGAAAGTCACTTGATTTAAGAAATATGACCGAAACCTCTTTCTCTTCCCCTGTCTACTCCTCTACGCCCACACCAGTTTCTTGATGTCGTAGACCAAATGCTCTAGATATCCAGTCCGCTTCTTCGCCTCCTCGACTGAAATGATCTCGGACGATTCGATAATGGAACTCTGCGCTCCGTCATCATCATGTCGTTTCTCGCCTGCTCTCATGGCCCGCTCGATCTCCTCGCAGATACTGCGCACCCAATCCGGTTGTCTCACTGTCGCCCCCGTCGAGTTCTGCGGGAGTGCTTTGAACGCTAAGAGTCGGGTGGTCGATCGGGGGGTTCCCTTGAACCACGCATACATGTTCCACTCGGTGCTGGGGCGCGCATTGCTGTCGAGGGATTGCGAGGTAACCTGGCTCTGGAGCGACCGGGTGTTGACCCGCAGCGCATTCTCATCGCCAGCAAGATACTCAATCACCAACCCAACGTTGTTCTGCTCGTCGGTCTGGGCCTCGGTCAGAATCGACGTAATATAGGTGCCATAGTTGATCCGTGTCACGGAATGTAGGTCAATGCGTTCATACGATAGCACCTTATCGACGTTCCAATCAAAGCGACAACTGTAGATAGCTGCATCGGTGAGTAGAAGCACCGCCTCCTCGAATGGCATGGTCCTTAGAGTATTCGGCTGCCGTGGGGTTAGCATAGTCCAGCCACCCAGGAACTCTTCTGACTGGTCGCTAATAACAATCTTGCAACTGGTATCGATCGCGTTCTGCCGGAGCTTCTGGACCGAGATTCCTGGGTCCGTAGTCTGCATCTCTACCGCGAATTCCTGGAAGGCCTGGGTAGAGACATTGCCCAGCAGGTAGTCTATGCACGCCTGCGAGAAGTAATCGTTGACAATGTTGTTGTAATAACGGGAGAGTGTTAGACCGAAGTCATTAAGCGCTCCCCGGTAATTCCGTTTCCGCGTCCTTGTGTAGTCGCCCTTCAGGGCAGCTGTCGAGGAGTATTGCTTAGAAATAGCATCCCCGTTATCTGCCCATAGAGTATTGAACCATCGAGTAGAAGAGTCACGCCCAAGATCGATGTTGATGCCCTCGCGCTTCAGTTCACGCTCTAGGGCCCATTGGCCAAATGCGCATTGCGCGACCCCAGTGCGGTCCAGACAGTCCATGCAATTCGTGCGCACAATACCTTTTTGCGACTGGAGAACAGTATCGTTGCAAATAACGGTATCACCAAATTCGCTCAACGTCTCCTCCAGATGCTTCACTAGGCGGCTTACATTTTCGAATTTCATACCCCGACACTCGTGGTGGAAGTCAAACCACTCCAGTGCAAGCGGTACACCATCTATGCCACCTGACTCATTCAAAGCCTTTGCAAACTTCTCATATTGCTCTCCAAGCTTTAACTCTCCGGCTTGTTTGTCGATGAGAGAGACGCCCTGGATCTTCCCGTATCTTCGACTGAGATTTCGAAAGTGTCTATCAAAGGCAAGTTGATTGGTTTCAGTGGAGTGGTGCAGAACCGGGACTGGCTTGAAGGCGTATGGTGACTGCGAGAAGTACAGCGGAATTGATCCGCGTACTTGAAGGTACGAGTAGGCATTATGGGACGGATCCCAATCCGGAACGGAGAGAATCTGCTCGGTCTCCACGAAATTGGCGGTATTCCCAAAGTCATCAACACCACGGCGCAGGTATCGTAGACCTGGACGCTTGACAGATCGTCGCGAGATCAGGGTGAGTAGATAATCACGCTTCTTCTCGCTGGTTTGAACAGCTTCTGCCTCTTGCTTGTCACCCAGGATGCGTCCTTCCTTGAGTTCCTCGTTGGACTTCTCCGAGTCTGAGGGTTGATTCTCTACCGTAGACTCTGCAGCCTCAACGGTAAACTCTCGCTGGCCAACAAAACCTTGCATCAACGGAAGAATATAGTTGTGAGCATCAGCTGCGATAAAGGGAGCCATCAGATGCCGGTTCCAGAAGTACTGGAGATGGTGAGTTAGCACGTGCATCTTGTCCGTCACAAGGGGAAGGCTTATACCAATTCATCAACGATCTTGTGCGACGGCAGATGATTCTTGAGCGGTGACTCTTCCTGCGTCCCGAACTGCCTAGTAAGGTCGTAATCATATGCAAAAAAGAAATTCTGGGAAGAAAAGATCATCTTGGTATAACGTAGCAATTTCGGAAGCAACTCCACGGTTGGATCGGAGGGAAACGGCTCTCCAAGTGTTTTAGGCGTTGCATCATGACTCTGCGAGACAGGGCTTGCACGTTCATCATTCACCTCAGCAGATACGGGCTTGGACTCCCCCTTGTCATCTTCCACGAGCGGCTCTGCAGAACTATGACCTACAGTACCAAGCCCGGGCAATCCAAGAGTTTTCCTTGAGAGCCAGTTTGCAGCAAAACGTCCGAATCGCACTCTCTTTCCAATCACATCTTCAGCGATACTGCCAACACTGCGAGCTCTGGAATGAGTGACTTCCTGCTCAGGGGAAGCTGGAACGGTGCCAACTTCAGTGTCGCCGCCTTCAGTCTCGGTGTCCGAAATCGTGCTACTGTCATCGGAGGCAGTCTCGCCCGGTCCACCTTCTCCTTGAGATAGGCTCTCCTTTGCCTGAGAGATCGCGCGAATCGCATCTGCTTGCGAAGAGGTCGGGATTACCGCGACATTAGTCACGGCATAAATGGGTTTTCCCTGAATCTGAGCCACTTGTTGCCGCTGAGTGATAGAGATGAGGAAAGAATATGACGCAACGGATAGCAGCCCTTTGATGCACGTTGGACGTTAGCGAAGAGGCTTTCTGCAACTAATCGGGACATAAACAGCCGACGCAAGAGAGAAAAAAAGGGCGCAGAGAAAAGCTACACTAGTATTCAAGCAAGGGGCGGGCTGCTTACCGACGAGGCCATAAGTCTCTAAGCCGGAGTCTCTGTCCTCGTCCAGGTCCGAGGCCGGCGCGGGGAGCGAGGAGACCTTGTTGGTCTTATAGTCAATGCGGAGAGAGCTGGGCTCATTATTCCCAGCATGTCTTAATCCATTGCCGGAAGACTGGAGTATCAGGCCATCGACAGCGGCGATGATGACTAGCTTTCGCAGCAAGCTCGGCATGTCGCTTGAGCTTCGCGGGGTTGCGACGGTCGCGGTCAGTGGGGAAGCGCAAAGAGCTCCGAGGCGAGCGAAGACTCAGTGGACGATGCGGTGCCTAAGCTGCAGAGCCGAACATCTCTAGCCTGTTCATCCACACCATAGCTCGGCATATATCTCAAAATTATGGCTTCCGCGGTGGGGATTTTATAGAACAGGCCATCCGGCAAAAGAAGGTCGGTAGATGCACTAGCCCAAGACTAATCCCAACGCCTGTCAGGACAACAAGGCAGAGAGAGCCCGACATCATCGATCTTCATCCGCGAACCCCACTGGGCGGCCAAACCCAACCACAAAACAAGACCAGCCCGATCTCGAGGGGCATCCATCGTTCCTTTACGTCACCTGCGCCCCATACCACTAAGCGGTCAGATTAGTAGATAATGGTAGAGGATAGATATATCTACGGTGTACATAGTAAAGTCGAAGATTCCACTGTAGGAAAGGCCTCACAGCCCGGTCGTCCGCGCGTCAATACACAAAGATCTATCTTGCCAAGTTTATCCTAGGGCCTATATACAGTTCGGATCTATCGCAGTCGATTCGCCCGCGATTCATGCCAGAAAAGAGGATAACCAGCAAACGTCAGAGATAACGAACTCAAAACAAACAATCCCAATGCACATCCAAATCATTCATGGGCATCTCTTGTTCCTCGTCCTGGTATTTCCTCGCGCTTGGGGAGAGAAGTAAAAGTACAATGCATTCAGAAAGCGGACATCAACACAAACCACGGGGTAATAAGAGGTCATCGAGGAGGATAAGAGGAGGAACAAAGTGGGTGGAGAAAGAAATAAAGCAAGATGAGAGAAGCACAACATAGAAAAGGAAAACGTCACAGCAATATTCTGGGTCGTAAATGAAGCCGGCAAGCAAAAGAAAACCAGCCAGGCATCGCATCATTCTATAGTGCGGAAGTCTTGTTGGGCTGATGAGAAGAATGATCTACTTCTTCACTTCGCTTGTAAGTAGGACCTGGCTCTCCGTCACTGTCCCCGGCTAGGTCGGACAGCCCGAATGCCTGGCTCTCCACATCATAGGCACGCATAAGCCCTTCACGGTCTCCGTGCCCGTTCATGTAGGTCCCCGAGGAGCTCCGACGATGAGGCTCGTTGCTGCGACGGGATTGCATAGACCTCCGAGTCTGGAATCCGGCAATTCCGTCCGTTGGAATTCCCTCATCGTCAAGTTTCGCGTTGAGCATCTGTCGTCCATCTGGGTCGTGCCGGGAGAGATTCAGAAGATATACGCCGGAGAAGATGATCAAAAATCCACAAAGCAAGGAGATCGTGTTGACAGCGTCAGTGGTGTTAAATCCCTTGAAAAGGATAAATGAGGCACACAGGGTCGCAGTCGTAAATGTGACATAGTAGAGAGGATTAACGCTGCCAAACATTGTTAGCAATCATCCACGGCTTGCAAGCTCGGCATGCACCTACATTGAGGTAGAAAATTGGTTCAGCGCCTTGTTGATGTAGTTCATCTGAGTCAAAATGCAGAAACCCGTGACGATCATGAAAACGTAGGTCGAGGCCTGTGTGAACTGATTGTTGCCTCCCAAGGTGAGTTTCACCGCAATACCAAATGCCTTGATCGACATGACTGAGACGGAGCCGACTGTGGAACAGATGGAGATGTAAATCAGAGGGTTCTTTCTGCCGTAGACGGGAGCGACGCGGTAAATCATGACGGTAGAGAAGATGGCAACGGCGAGGCAGTAAATTAGAAATCCTATGGGAGAATGGTGTTAGGTGACAACGGGAGTTTGTAATTAAATGTATCGGTCCATACCTGGTTGCAGCGCGTAGCCCAAGATCTCATCAATTCTCTCGACTGGCTTGTCTGGGGGCGCATGAAGGACGATGACGACGGAGCCAAGGAGGCACATCGCACAACCTAGCTTCCCAAGTGTACCCAGTCTTTCCTTGAGGAAATACGATCCAAGGACAGCACTATGGCCTGTTAGCCCATTGTATAGTAACTTCGGCCCGTGATGGGGAGTCTCACCCGATCAGGACACTTAGCGCACCCAAGGGCGTGACGAGGATAGCGGGTGCGAAAGCGTAGGCTGCGAAATTGGCGATCTCTCCAACGGCCACTACATCATCACCAGTCAGCTCCGCTTGTTCAAGCGACAGTCGATAGAACAGAGCCTGTCATACATGTAACCACTCCCCCCCACCATATGGGACTCTTGAGATATGAGAAACCCTCTCCTTCAAAACCATGCCTCTCGGATGCTTGCATCAAGCCCTGTATGATAGAAATCAGTCGTTTATTCGAGACGAAGATCGGTAAAATCGTCGAGAGGCAATTCCGCGCGGCTGGTCATCGACGACGATTGGACACGAACGAACCTTTTTCGTAATGACGAAACTTGTACCTAATACTTGTCAGCTTCTGCAGAAAACGAATCCATTACGGAAGACTCATACCGATCGCCATTGTTGATGTAATGGCCAAAATGAGGCCGATATACCTACGCACGGTCAGTACATTGCGAATCCGATGATGGTCCCAACGGGCCAAGATTGGAGACAGGTCGTATCATACTTCTCGGAGAGCATCGTTAGAAACTGTCGGAGCTGTTTGCTCCTTGCAATTGAGCGACTTCAATGTTAACGAGTGTTGGGACAGGTGTAGTCCGAGCCGGAGCTGAAGAGAGGCACGATGGGAAGGCTAGAGGGTGGACGGGTTGGCGTGGTTGATGACTGAGTGAGTTGACTACCTTGAGCCAAGCATTCGGCAGCGCGCGCCAACAATGACCGGCAGTCCAGAAACAATAGCGACAGCGCCTAGGTAAGGACTGGAGGAGCAACAACAACAACGACAACCAAAGGCGAGAGAGAAGAAAAAAAAAAAGGTTAGGGTGACAGAAAGGAGCGAGTAAGCCGGACAGGGTAAGATGCTGCAGCCTTGATGCGGCAGTAGGTTTGGGGGGGTCGAGAACTCCTGCGATCGAAGGAGAGCTTGTTAGTTACCCTGTCTGATCCTAGAGGCTGGCTGCCTGCGCTCGTGCGGTGGGGTTTTCCCCTTCAGACGGAACCGGCCCGGATCTGGACGCGCGTAAGTGGTTGAAGCGAGTGAGGGAGGCAAAACCCAAGATATTACGGGCTGGGGGCGATATTTGGCTGGTGGAAGGCGAGATTCTGGGAGACTCTTAGCGGCAGGAGTATACGGAAAAGCATAAAACCTAGGGAAAGAGAACCAGAGGCGGTCGACGTCGTCCAAAGAGGACAGACACCAGTTAATCTTCCTTTGGCGACAGCGTGACCGACACCAGCCAAGTTGTCCTCGGCTGAAGCAACCAGCATGTTTCCAGCGTTACCAGCGTTTAATTAAAAGTTACCATACCCAGGCAGTACTTTCTTTTCTGTACCGCCAGGAATGATCCCTACCACCACTACTAACATTGCTGCTAGCTACGACTAGATTCTCTCTAATTATAGGTAAGCACCAGGAGAGAACTCCTATTAACTAACCGAGTTAGTGATCTAGTTTTTCCCCGAGAGCTGCTGATACAATATGCTGATGAAATTGGGTAATTGAGTCTCTGTTCGTTCCCCTTTGTAACTATAACTAATCACCTCTACTACTACTTACTAAGTACTTGCTCAGCCTGGCTTGCTTCACATGGGGAAACGGGTGCATTACACGTACCGTACGTATAAATGGAGGATTAGATAACCACAGTCGGTTTAATTAACTGGTTACTGGTTACGGGTTACTTCTTCAAACATTGCCTTCTACACAGTGTAAAAGTTCGAGTTCTGGTACAGTGTAATGAAGCCTGAAAAGAAGGGCAACGGTGGCCATTCCAGTGACCCAATCAAGGCGTGCCAGCCACAGCCCGGCCCCCCTTGAGGAGCCTGGTTTCAGTATCCGATCGGCGTTTTGAAACGTAAGGTGGCCGCCTAAGAATAGGAACCCTCGCCTCAATTCTGGTTCCGGGGTCAACTTCATCTCCTGCCTGGGTTTAGCTTCAATCCCTGCGCTTTTCACCGATCGTCTGAGCATGGTGTCTACCGCCTTGGCATGGCCGGGGATTGAACTCATCACACCAATCCACCCACAACCAGTAACTCAGTTGTAGTAGCTTATATTCTTCTCATCTTATCGTGATCTTGGACCTGTCGGATCTCATCTGCATCATTCGTGCTATGTTCTAGATAATGTTGATCGTCTAGCTAGTAGCACGGTCATGAAGGAGAGCACGTTCTAGGGCCTGTCTTCCTATCTAGCAAGCTACGTCTCGGCTTCGGAACCTTTTCAAATAAAGGAAGCCTCTGAATATCTACAACATGCTGATACAAACAGAAACCCGAATTGAAGTAGGGAAAAACTGTCATTTTGTAACTCCCAAGGAGATTAGGCGCAAAAGAAAATCAACTATCGCTATCCCGCCAGCGCGGAAGCTACCTAGAATTTAACATGACAACAACGCCTTGCATCGAGTACAGCAGAGATGCGTATCCACTCCCAGACGCCACAAAAGACCTTCATCATAGGTGGTATCCCTGACCAAAGAGGAATAAAAAGAACACAAGGGCAAGAATATTATTTGAAGATGGTGGGAGGTATCAAGTACAAACCTAAGTTTTACACCCCGTATATGGAGTGCCCAAGGCGACCCTGAATCATCGCCTCGGCCATACCAGTCCGGTGGGAGGAAACATGAGGGGGGGTTATCGAAGTAACACGTACCTTGTCTGGATTGCATGGCTGCAAAGTCTCCGTAGTTCATTGGCCGATGCCATCTTTCGAAAACATCATTAGTAGCTCGTCACGTATCAGGGTTGTTCCAATGATCGTGAACTTCATATTAGACCAGCTCGGTCCCAATATGCTGGAATCGTTAGATGGAGCCTACGCGAAGCTCGAATCCCAAGGAAGGAGGAATCGGTTGTGTGTGAAAGGGCAAGGTGAACAGATGGTGTGGGTAGGGAAGAAAAATTTAGGACGACCGAGAACGTTTTGCATCCGGAGTAGGGGTTTCAGTGAACTCAAACTCATCCTCTGCTTCGCGATGACGTTTCGTTGGTCCGCGACTTGGTGACTTGGCAAGATCCGCCTCATCGCCGGCGGCCAGTCCATCCTGGACTCCCAAATCCAGATAGTCTTCATCGTCAAATGTCAACTCATCGGCTTCCTCGTGTGTAGCTGGAGCTGCTTCGGCTTCATCGTGGATTTCTCCCGGCTCTTCGACTTCATCCACATTGGTGTCCTCGACGGCATGTCGAAGGTCTTTTCTGGGGCTCTTTAGCAGATCTTCCGCAGTACCTAGTGAGTCATCCTTCAAATCCTCGGCAGACTTGTTGGTGACCTCTGGGATATCCTGGGAGGCTCTATCCGGAACCGTTTTAGTCTCCTTTGATGCGTCTTCGTCTGGGCCGCTAGAATGGACCTCTCCCTCGTCGTCTTGAAGGTCATGGAAGTCGGTGTCGACTGTGCCATCCTGGACTTGATCGTTGTCATGAACTTCCTCGAATGCGAGGGGTTCTTCCACATCTGGTGCCGTCGCATCGCCGTCGAATTCTTCATCCGCTTCTCCGGAAATATCGGCATTTTCGACAGCTTCGGCATCTTCTTGATAATCGTAGTGTTCAGTAGCATCTACATTAGTTTCCTCTTCCCGGTATGCTTCTTCATCAGCAACTCCCGTGCCGTAATACTCAGTTTCATGCTCATCATAATCATGATCATGATCATGGTGGGCTAGATCGTCTGCTGAGTCAGGCAGGGGCTGTTGAGTCACCGTAGCAGTGGACTCTGATTGCTCCTCTGATTCATAAGACTCATTTGGCTCGTGATGATCAACAGACTTTGCAGACTCAGATTGAGCCAGATGAGCCTCATGACGATTGCTGTCCCGGTCATTATCTCCTTCCCGAACGTCACTTGAAGTGGGGCCACCCGCATCACCGTTGTCTGACGCTGCTTGATCATGATCCTCATGGTCTTGATCGTCATGTCCTCCTTGCTGTTGTGCAGCAGTTTCTGTCTGGAGCGACGAATCGACCTCCGGCTCATAGTTTCCTTCAAAATCACTATGAACATCCTCTGGTTCGGAAGATTCCTGTTGAACATCGTCCGGATCGTCCGGAATGAATACTTCTTGATTGTCCTCGTAAACTTCTGCGGAGGCTGCCTCTCCTTCACCGTAACCATCCCAGTAGACCTCAGACAATCCTTTCCCTTCGTTTGCAGCTATAGAGAGAGAGGATAGCTCTGCAGCAACTGTGGGCCTTGTGCTAAGGCTAAGATAGAGCGCCTCCGGCTCCTCCACCCCGTCATTGTGGCAAAGACGGAGGTACAGGTCTACGATCTGATGCAGTGTGACCTTGTCAATGTGAAGTGAGTCCTAGAGTCATTATTAGTACATGTCAAATAGTAGGGATTCACAAGTGACAAACCTCGGTTAGTTGAATATTCAGAGCCTCGACATCTACAACAAGAACATCACCATCTCCGATATGTTCACGTAATACGTCACGGCATGATTCGAAGAGTTTTCCGAAAGACCCAAAAGCCAGGCTCTCATCCTCAAGAAAGAACGTCTCCGACGAGTCGCCTTCCCGAGGAGGAAACAGTGAGATCTCATTGTCTTGGTAATAGACTTTGACCGGATAGAGAGGCGTGCGTTCCGTCGCCGGAGCCTCTCGCTCGGCTGGGTGCTCGACGACTTGCTCCTCCGAAGAGCGTTCCTGAGTTTTTGTGACCTTTGCTTCCTCTTCTCCATGTCCTCCTTTAACGCGCTGTCCTTCTTCCTCTATTTGGCCCTCCTCTTCTTCTCCTGCTCCTTCTCCTCCTCCTCCTCCTTCTTGGCCTTCTTCCTCATGCTCTGCTTCTACTGTGCTCTCTAGCTTTGCAGCTGGATCCTTGTGCGCATCGGCTGGAGGTTCAGCATCGCTGGAACCAGTCTCCGGGACCTGAGGCTGGTCGGAGTTATTAGCAGTCTCTCCCCGGTCGTCTTCTTTCGCGGTATTCTGGGACTCTTGCTCCACCGTGTTGGAGTCGTTGAGGGGCTTTCTGATTTCGGTCGATTCGGCTGTGTCGATTTCAGGCTGCTGCGGGGCATGTTCTTCTGATTGGTCAACGAGTTGTTCAGCATCTTGCGGGTGGTCATTCTGTGCATCTGCATGACTTTGCTGATCGGTACGGGGTTCCTCCTGGAATTCCTGCTGGACGTCATTTCTATCACCGGGCATCACAGCGCTCTCTTCTGGCAACTGCGCTCCTTCTACGGCTTGGTTCTGAGCTTCGGCTGAAATCGGTGCTTCGTCTTGAGCTTCAACGACAGGGGTATCGTTGTCCTCTTCGTAGTCATCTTCTAGCATTTCCGCTTCGTAGATACGTTCATTCTCGTCCTGCATTTCGACGGTGTAATCCGCTCCGGTATAAGGTTCGTCGGCATCAACCATGGTCGGCTCCGCAACATCGTCGACCATGTCCTCATCGGGGGTACCATCATGATCATATTCAAAATATTCGTCTGCCACCATCATATCTTTATCGGTAACGGAGGCCTGGTCTTCCATGATATCGATATCAATATCGAAGTCATCCACATGCCCTTGATAGGGGGAAGCCATCTCCATCTTATCGTCGGCCACAGAGATCTCCATGTTGGTAGGTGCAAGCGAGGAAGCGGTTGTCATGTCATCGATATGCGATAGGTGTTACAACAGGAAGGCAGAGACGCGTCGAAAGTTTCGGCGTGGCGATCTCGGGGTGTGCCTGAAAGCAACCCAACAGTATTTGTGAGCTGCCTTTGCCACTAGGGACAGATTCACCCGAGAACGGTGAAAAGAGCAACTGCGTCTCCGGTGACGACAGTTTGGTCCCTGAAAAAGGTGTGGGGAGAAGTGAAAGGAAAGGTTGACTTGTAAGGCGCAAACGGAGAGGTTGAGGCAAAGTGAAGCTTCTTGTGCTGCGGTAAGCGAGGGGGTAGCGCGGCGCACGGGCCAACGGGGACGAAGAGAACAGCAAGCGACTCCCCGTGGCTTCGACGTCAAGACACGCCTACCAGACATTCGTCCGTCGGGAGATTGCTGCCATCTGGGCGAAAGTTATCACTTCTTACTAGACACCTGACCTTAATTCACACAGCCATGGTTCGATTCCGGGTATTCGACTGTTCCGCAGAGCTCTGCTAACAATCGCGCACAAACAACAGGTCGTCCTCGCAGCCTCCATATGCACCCGCGGGGGCAAGGCCGTACTTTCGCGCCAATTCCGCGAGATTGCTCGCTCAAGAATCGAGGCCTTGCTCGCTTCCTTCCCCAAACTGGCCGATTCCGGTACTCAGCATACGACCGTGGAGCAGGACAATGTCCGCTTCGTATACCAGCCTCTGGACGAGCTATACATTGTCCTGATTACGAACCGCCAGTCGAACATCTTGCAGGACATCGACAGTCTCCACCTTTTCGCCCAAGTCACCACCAGCATCTGTAAGAGCTTGGATGAGAGGGAGATTCTGCGCAATGCTTTCGAACTGCTCAGTGCCTATGATGAATTGGTCACTCTGGGGTACAGAGAGAATCTGTCCCTTACTCAGATCAAGACCTTCCTGGAAATGGAGAGTCACGAGGAGAGAATCCAGGAGATTATTGAAAGAGTATACATATTCCCGCCTGGCTGTAATGTCAACGGGTGGCTGACCTTGCCGGATAGAACAAAGAACTCGAGGCCAGCGAGGAGCGCAAAAGGAAGGCCAAGCAGCTGGAGATGCAACGGAAAGAGGCCGCCAAAAGTGGTCGCTCTATGGCTCCCCGGACGCCTTCTTATCCCGTCTATACTCCCCCCTCCCGGCCAGCTGTACCCGATACCTACGACACCTACGAGGCGGAGAAGAAGAAGACTTTCGCTAAGTGTGTGCATCCATTTCTGACCTCTGCTCCTCGTCTCTAACTATCCCCAACCCCAGGCCGTTACCCACCCGCGGCAAGGGCATGCAACTTGGCAAGAAGTCTAAAACCACCGACATATACGAGAAAGTGCGCGGCGACCTTGGTCCTGAAGTCGAAGAATCTAGTCCCTTGGTGACACCACAAGCCTCGACCCCGATCGCCGAAAAGGTATCCTCCGCCCGTGCCTCGCTGTCAACGGACCGGGATCCTGTCCACATCACAATTGCAGAGACAATCTCTGCCACGCTTACACGTGAGGGTGCATTGAAATCTTTTGAGGTGAAAGGCGATCTGCAACTCCGAATCTCCGACCCAGCTTTCACCAAACTCAAGCTCGACCTCCACGCCAACCCCACGCATGGTGCGCAATTCCGCACCCACCCTAATGTCGACAAAGCCGTCTTCACAAATTCTTCCGCAATTCAATTGAAGGATACTTCGAAGAGGTTCCCGGCTAACAATTCGATTGGTGTGCTGCGCTGGCGTGTCGCAAGCTCTGGAGCGGACAACGCTGAGATCCTTCCCATCACGTTCACCGTATGGGTGAACAAGGGCTCCGACTCGACTACTGTCACCGTTGAGTACGAGCTGACCGGATCCGACACTCTGCGCGACGTCGTCGTCACTATCCCCTACGGCGCTACAGAACCGGCAGTGTCCAGCTTTGACGCCGTCTATGAAGTCTCTGGAGACAGCCTGGATTGGAACATCGGAACCGTGGATGAGAGCAACGCATCTGGCAGTTTCGAATTCGAGTCCACGGGCGACGGAGATGAAAACGAGTTCTTCCCCATGAACGTGCATTTCTCGAAGGCCAACCCCTTCGTGGAGGTTGACGTAAACGACATCACTCTTCTGGAGATGGAAGGCGAGAGCACTGGCTTCTCCAAGGATGTGAAGAGTGTCGCTGAGGGATATGTCATCGAGTAGATTCTTTATTCATGTCTCTTTTGCTTGGGTGTATAGAGTACTAATGACGTTCGGACTGCCCAATTGGGTTTCTGCGAGTTGTGTCTATGCTTTTTGACCAGGGTTCTTTATTTGTTTTATTCTCCAATATAAGCCTCTTATTTTTACTTTCTATGTGTATTCACTACAAGATTGTTCTTTACTCCGTTTTCCTTGCTGGTCCACTTCTAGCACTCCACAGCGGTTGCTATTAGCAACTGTCAGGCATACCTTGGTAAACATAGTCCAGAAGGAGAATAGTTCAGGTGAAGTTACAAGGTTCAGAATGATACCAGAGTGAGGCATAACCCCAATAATCAATGACTTACGGGCTAGATATTTGCCGAACACAATAGCAGTAGTCATGAATGTAGCCGGTGATACTATTCTACAGTGTTCTGGTCCTGAGTGCGTGCTGTACACTCAAAGATTGATAAGATGTTCTTTTGTGGTATTATATCATTGATGTCTTTTTGTCGGACTGACGGACACTGAAATATTTCAATGGAGAGTGGTCTTTCGTTCCTCGTCGAGCTGAATGTTAACTTGTTTTCGTAATCGAATGGCTATTGAATCATTTCGCAATAGCACCTGCATCTTTTCGGCTACTGTTTCTCCTCGCTACAACGCAAAGAGTGGCGATTTGTACGTTTCACGTGGGCAGCAAATGCTCTTTTTCCAAGTCACATAAGTTATGTACAGAGTCTCCCCTTCCAGATGAATATCAACATATCAGAAAATACAAGAATCATATATGTATCCCGTGTGCAAAGCACACAACCAAACCCCTGTCAATGTAGGAACTTAAATGCCACGCAAGTTAGAGGTTAGGTGCTTTAGGCTAAAGTTGAAGCTAGACTTTAGCCTAGAAGGAGACTGAGCTAAGCCTCCCAGTTCCTCTTTTTCGCGGTAAACAGTAACCTGGCGTTCTCTTCTTGAGAGGTGAGTGAGAGTCGAGCACCGCTTCCCCCATGTACAGCGCTCAGTTTAGAAATTCGGATATCGATGACGTTTGCGCGAGGAAGGGTACGGCTAGCCCATGAGGACGAGATTGCAAAGGGCCATTCCTGGCCTGTCCAGGAGTGGAAGTCGATTCCGAGGAGGCCTCGTCCGTCGCCGACGAAGCGTTCTATGCAGTCCAGCGGCGGGAGGAAGCGGCGGCGAATGCCGCAGCCGACATGGTTTGGGTCTATTTGATAGTCGGGGCATTGTTTGAGAGAGGCTATGATGGCTGTTATGTCTGATGGAGGCGCTGGTGGTGATTCGGGTGTGGAGTCAGCATCTGAGTCGAGGGTGAAGTCGGGATCGATTAGGGTCGAGCCGAGAAAGATGGTCTTTGTGCGAAGGGAAAAGAATCGCGTCATCTGCCCTAGATGGAAGGCGTCGCAGGCACTGGAGTTGCCAAAGCCGTAGCGGCATTGGAAAGGACGCGCTTGGTTGATGGCTGGTGCGAGTGGTTGTCGTGGGACAAAAGGTTTGGGGGGCTCGGGGTCTTCTAGGGCGCCGTAGACGCGGAGAAAGTAGGCTTGGAGGTCGGTGATAGTGTTTAGAACACATTGTCGGCGGAAGTAGAGCTCCTCTGGGATATGATTAGCATTGCCTGGAATGGATTTGGAAGGCTGTCTAGCGTGACTGGTTTGATGATAATACCTTCTATACCGTTGGGAAAATAGCGCCAGGGGTAGGTAGGAGTAACTGGAGGCTCGACACCGTTTGTCCAAGACTTCGAGCCAAGGACTATTAATGCATGGGTCATCACTTGATATATGACCGGCTCATCCAGAATTCGGGCTACAAAAACAGTTTGTCGGATGCGGTCCTCACTCAGCTTCAGTAATGAGGAGTCGAATTTTGAAGGTTGATATTTCCCCTTCCCGAAAGCGTAGCCGGCTCTTTTGAGAGATTCCCGAACGACATTGGGAGAGTTGAATGCATCCGATAGCTCCAGTAGCCTTGCAATCAAAGACACGGGCAGAAACTTTAGTTCCGCATCAAATGAACACTTCTGTTCTTCTCCAAAGGAGTTGAAGGACAGGATCTCCAGAAACAGTTTGATGGCATCCAACCCAAGCCTTGATGAGACATGTTTGCTCGGGAGGATTACGACAGGCAGATAGCTCACTTCTACATTTTGGTTGTCGGAAGACGCAGCATTCACCATTTTGTCAGCCAGGAGCTTCTGATGCATCATCTTCTGTTGCATAAGGCGTCTACCCTCGGAGAATTTATCCGGGTCAAGAAGGGCCCGAAAATATGGGCTATTTTGCGCTAGATCAGCGCTGGAGACTCGCCAACGACGATGGCGCGCTTCGGATTTAGTCGAGATATCAGATTCAGGATCGAAGTATTCAACGATCACATCGCCTGTCTGCAGGATGACTTTGTAGGGAGCAGTCGACTCCTCTAAGTCAGGCAACGGATGGGTCACACCATTGGTCTGATGCGTGACTTCAGAATGGCCTTCGGCTGAGTTTATAGACAGCTTCCCTATGCCAAAAATTGAACTCTCCTGTTGAGATTCTGGGGCACCCTCCGAGTCCATGATGAGCTAGCTGATCTTGTGCACTTGGATTTGTTCACAATATCCTTGGGAACGTTATGGTAGGTAATCTCTAGGTCAGCGCAGTTGATGATAGCATTGGGGTAGAGTGAACAAGCTCCTCGTAGCGTTGAAACAAGAGTCCGTGGATGCTGTACTCTTGCTGCCGGGGGTAGGAATTGAGATATCCGCCACAAGAGGTTGGGTTAACATTTGTAGGCCACTGGCCGGAACACTGGCATCACGACGTTATGTACGGCCTCCTCATGTTGAGAAGCCGAGCATATTATTTAAAGGATAATGGAAACAATATGTGTGCAAAGAAGAGATGTTGGTCAAAAGTACGTAGCGGTGGTGTTAGATCGAAAGAATTGCCTCTTCGAGCCATCTTGTCATGTGACCCACCGCGGGGATGCTTCAATGCCGTTCTCCTCATATTTGGTCTGGCAACTTCCATTCTTGATAGTGAAGTAGTTTCTCGATCATTAAAGAACATTATATACAGGGCAGTTGATAGGGTTTGAAACAAGCGAGAGGTATCGGTCTCACGGCAGTAGACCGCCCTAGATGACCAGCACTCACTGCAACTGGAGACATATATACTATCCGAGTCACTACTAGTAGTATATAGATACCCGGGGTACTGCTCGAATAGTAACTATAGTGAGAGTCCCCATGTCAACATGAAAGTTCAAAGCGGTACCTCGTGAATTGATGCCTAGGACCATACTACTATTCATCTAATTATCATGTTAGGTAGGAAACATACGGAATTAATGCACAGTCCTTCGTACTATCTTAACCGCGAATACGTAGCCTTCGAGCTCAAGTTCGGGCTAGCTGTAAACATGCGTACCCACATACACCTTTAACGATCGGCCTCAGCCAACGCGTCTGAAACCCGAAAAGGGTCACCATAAGGGCCCCAGATGCTTGTGAAGTGCTCGGCCGGTGTCGGTCCCGACCGCTGCAGGGATCGAGGCTACAATGGACTTAAAGCTTGAGGGCTGGATCTAGACACCTTTTAAATGGCGCCGTTGCAATTAGCTCGGGCTGCTTTATGCCCCGATTGGATGCCTACGATTTAGTGGTCATTGGTATTTGAAATTCTTGTATTCCCCGAACCTAGTGATGCGAAAATTTGCTATGCTCTTTGGCTGTAGTCACAGATGGTTTCTGACCCCCCGAATGTTGTACTTAGAAGATGGCAATGATTGAACATGACAGAATAGATTAGTTTTGACAGCGCTCAACTCCAAACCCCCTTGTGCGATAATGTTGCTTTAAAAGACATAGTAGCGAAAATAAATATGTATGTGCGAACAGAATAGGTGATTATTTATTCGAAGTCAAAAAGAAAATAAGATGCGGTGCATGTCGTAGGAAGTATCCTTTCAGCGGCGCCTCTTCACGGCAACGAGACGATAGGAATGTGCAAGATCTGGCAACTTTTGGTGGTGTCGGATTTCGGCATGATTCCATTTTCCTGGCTGGTTGCTTCGCGGAGTTTGAATGCCTTCCCAGCAGCATAGAACAGTTTCGCGGCAAGAGGGTTGAGCGATTCAATTGGTATCGTGGTCTCAGGTAGAGGTGTCTCTTCCTCCTCTTCCACCTCTTCTTCCTCGCTGCCATCCAGCGGCTGTCCACCTTGGCAGATGGGAGAGAACAACGCAAAGTGTGGAAGCTCCTCATCGTCATCCGACGAGTATGGGCTAAGCTGCTGCTGCTCATCGCCGTAACCGGACAGGCCTGTCTCAAAGATATCGCTTCTTTGCGAGGTAATGTGCCATGGTTCACCACAGAGGAATCCCACCACGAAGTCTTGATTGGCACGGGCAGCAGCTATGCAGCTTTGACGGTAGTCGGGGGTAAATGATGTATCGGTCCGGGATGGCAAACAAAGTACTAGACCACGAGCCAGAAGAGGCGGGGGAGGAAGATCCTCAGGTATCGTAGATGGACTCAAAGTTCCAAACTCGAAGCCGTGGCGCTCAAACTGAGGAGACTCCAAAGGATAATCGGCGGAATCTTCGGTATGCTGTGTGATTGTTTGGGTAAGGGAAATGGTCGAAGCCTTCCGTGGGGGCAGTCCCAGCCCACTATGGTCGACCGCGTACTCAGTAAGATGTTGGGATTGTGACGAGTCTTGATCGCTGTTAGAATGCTCATTTGCGAAACTGTCGGCGGTGATTTCGGTTCTAATGGTCTGTACAGCGTCTGCCACTGCCTCCCGAGCGGCAGCCTTCAAGGTCGGAATCAAGATGTCGGCTTCCTGATTGTAAACAGCGGCTCCCGAAGCCCAGGCTGTCGACATGCCCGCCCATGATGCTGGCTTCACCACACCCCTGGTGTACTTCTTCCGTATCAAGTCGACCACGCCGCTCCGTACTTCTCTCGATTCAGACTTCTGCCGACCGACAACGTCAACGGTTGAATTGAGAATTCGACCGCTTTCCCAGATCAAGAAGCCATGCTTTCTAGCCAGAGTGGTCAATTGGCGAACCGTTTCCTCGGACCAGTCATCGATGATATCTGCGTGAACCTGGAGGATACTGATATGGGGGCCGACCAAGGATGCAAGATGAAGGAGCGAGTCCGTGCTGGTAACCGTGTGAGAGGGAGACACACACACAGGCAGTCCGTAAGGCAGTTCGGTCTTGGATTTGGCCAAAGTTTGGAGGTAGGACACAATACGATTGCCGGGGGAGGACGGACTGTCCGACGACGAAAACGTATCCATTGCGGTAATAGGCGTAGGCTGACAAGCGACAAGAGAGTGAGTGAGGGGTGAAGTTAAGGGGAAGGAAGAGAAGAGGAGGGGAGGAAAGAGGAAAGGAAAAAAGAGGGAGTGGAGTGAAGAGATGAAAGGGTTGGGAAGAGGACAAGCGGAAGGACAGGACACAGTCAGTTAGTTAACTATGTCTGTGTCTGTTTCTCTTTTCTCTCTTCTTTGTTTCCCTCACTTTCTGGCTCAGGGAGCTTCTTCCCGTTGAGCTACTGAGGTACACTAATTAGAATGGAGGTAAAACCCACTTCCAGTCCCTTGACTGGTCGACTCGGTCGAGACAAAATGATTGACAATTGAACACCGTCTCCACTTTTCCGACATTTAGCTCGACATGATCAGTCGACAGGGGTTGAGGGGGCCCCGTTCGGATGTGGTTCGAAGGAGGAATCGGATCAAGCAGATCTCCATCCGTTTTCAAAAGAGAAAGAGAGAGAGAGAGAGAGCGGAGGAGGGGGCAGAAAGCAATATGCCGAACGGGAAGCCTACTCTACAGTAATTTGTTTTTATGGCACCAACATCCTCTTTCATCTATTTGGCTGAGGTGATTTATAGGCTGTTACTATCCCAGTAGGAAGAATGCTGCCAAATTGGAAGAAGTTGGATCTACCTGCATCCGGTCAATGCGAACGGAGGGAGAAAGAAAAACAATGAACGACCTGAACGAATTAAATGAATGAATGAAGAAATGGGTCATACCTTATCCCAAGCTTGGTACAACTTTGGCCTGCAGTGGTCGAGTCGAGTCTTCATCGAAAGACGGAGAGCCGCGACACGGGGAAATACCGAGGGACTCTCCACCGGCCGATACTTTTTCTTTTTTTCTTACCGATCAGAGAGTGACTTGCGGCTGGAACGGAGGAGAGCTGTACGATAAAAGTACCGCGCAGAAGTAACCAAACCGAATGCACAGGGAAGTAAGAGGGGACGCAGAGGTAATCTATCTGCGAACCATGGCCACCGTAAACCATGGAGGATCACACTTTCCAATCAACCCGTTCAATTCAACTTGCAAGTTTCTTTTTAGCTCCTCCACTTCCGATGATCTCCAAATGATTTCCACCCATGGAGATCGCCTTGACTCTCGACAGTACTTAGTCCATACCCGGTTTCAACTTTCAAATCAAAAGGTCCCTCCCTCCGAAAAAGCATCAGTCCATCTTTTCTCGGGGCCTCCCCCTCTCCCCCTCCCCTCCTCTCTCTCTCTCTCCAATTGTTTGTTCAATCCTGTCCTGTTATTGGGCACAAGTGTAACCCACAGAAAGACTTTGTCCTACTCGCCCAGCCATGCCCAGTGCACGCCCAGTGCCCCGTCAACTCATCCACTCCAGCTCCAGCCTCCATCCTTCCTTTTCCCCATATGGACAGGGGCGAACCCGCCTTGTCGGAACGAGCGATCCGGTACAGTGGAAATGTTACGCAACTTACGCCGCATACGCAGCGGGCGGGTCATTAACCAGCCCGTAATTTCGCCCTTCCCGGCTGAGGGGACCACTTAGAAATCTGGGATGCAACTGGCTGTGTGTGGCGAAGGCGAGTACGAAGTAAATAAATATAGATAGTTTTAAATAGCAGGACTATGAGGAACACGGGATGCGATGCGGCCAGTAGCACTTCACCAAATTCATTGTGGAATGGAGCATAATTTACGGCTCAACTTTCGTTCGGGCGTTGAATTCAGTTCGGCTGGCGTTTAGTTCCTCGAGTCTCCCCATCCTCGCTTACTAGTGCTTTCTGCCCAGCGCTTACCCTCCCCATTCAACCGTCAACTATCCAGATAGTCTCTTGGTTGCCGATCTTGTGTCCCAGCTCTCAACGTCGTTAGTTGCTTTTATACTTTTGGTTTCGGAAGCTGCTCATAATGGCTCGTCTTTAGCCAGACTTTTCCCATCAGGCACGCCACACTGCTTGCTCGGATGACAGCCTCATTTCTCAAATTCCGAAAAAGCCACCCAAAGCTCAAAGCTCTACGGAGTAGTAAACGTACTGTGATATATCCGACTGCCGGGGGTCTTGTGATGCGTCCCAGATCCGCCCCAGTGCTCAGCTGCCGTCGACGCTTTGACGACCCCGATAGTAAAGAGGCATGCTCTTGGAGGAGATCCGCTTGGAGACAGTTTCAGGCCGCCATGCTTTTGCCTCGGACGGCGAGTGACCAGTGCCCCGTCTCAACTCCACAGACCGGGATATGATGGTACAGTGTAGTGTTATGCTCCTCGCACACACAGAGCCAAACCCACATTACACCATACTCCAGTACGGAGTACTCCGTAGGCAAAAAGAGACATCCCGGATGGAGTCCCACCAAATACCGCCAAAAACCGGGTTGGTCTGTCATTGGTGGCATGAACCGGTAGGCAGGATTATTGACGATCAGGCCATCACTTGACGGATATCATGTCGATAGTGGGTGCGGAGTAGCTCCTACTAGACTACTGACACTGGTAGACAGCACCATAACAGTGACTCGGTACCAGCATCCGCAACTATCCTGTATGGGCTCATGTGATCGGGCAATTTGCTCCGTAGATGGAGACAACAATGACTCCATTATGCGCCCTGGTCACCGCACCAATGCGTACGTGTTGACCACATAACATAGGGAATAATATCTCATCGAGGACATATATCTGATAAGCAAGCATAGAGTACTCCGTTCACAGTAGTGTCTTGTCTACCAACCGGCGAAGTGGTAGACGATCTCACCTGCTGTGTTGCAAGGTTAGCCTCAAATGTGCTAAAGTAATGTGGTAGCTTAGCGCTATACTTGGGGGTAATATTGCTGCATGCTGTCGCTAATTTGGCAGGAGCTCCGGATCAAGAGTGAATCATGACATGCTTTTCAGTTTCTGACCCAAAAACTGGGCGCCTTCCTTTTGTAGCCTCGTACTCTGTACTACCTTGCCCACTTAAACCCCCTCAGCCGTTCAGCTAGCCTTTCTTTCGGTCAAGCGCCTGTCGCTGCCTTATGTATGCCTTATCTAGGCCTGAGGCACAAATTTATCAGACTGCTTACTAATATGGCCACTCAGGGGCAATTACCGAAGAGGACTAGTGGCTTCCGTGGATTTCCGTTGTATCCCCGACGGCCTGAGAAAGCGCCTCTTCTATGATGAGCCATACGGTCGCTCTTTGTATAGACAAGAGAAGGATTTATTGCTTCTGTGTTCACAAAGTCTTCACATACTCGACCGTTTTGTATTGCAGCAGTGCTTGCTAGACTTTCGCAATTCTCGTGCTCTGTTGTTTCAGTGCTTCAGCGAAATTTTCCTTCGGAGCCTCGGACCCGTGATCCTTGCTCGATATTTTGAAGCTCACGCCACTCCTCCCTCAGCCATTTATAGCGGTTTGCACCACAACTAATCGCCAACCGTCCAACTACAACTCTCGCATTACACCCCTTACCTTCAGGCCTTCGTCTCTTCCCTCCGTCGTCGACCTTGCAACACGGTACTAGCTCTTTAGGCTTTTGCCTTGCGACAATCATGCCTGGCAGAACCCTTCCAACTTTTACCCCGGCTGAGGTCGAGTCTCACAACGATGCCAACTCGTGCTATGTGACCCTGGGATCAAAGGTCTATGACGTTACGGACTTCGTCGCCGGTCATCCCGGTGGTGAAGAGCTGGTACTCGAATATGCTGGTAAAGACGTGACGGAGATACTGCGCGATCCGGCATCCCACGCCCATTCAGATTCGGCATACGAAATTCTGGATGAATGTCTTGTCGGTTTTGTCTCTTCGGAACCCAACGGGAAGGCAGCAAATGGGGGCGTCACTCAACCAAAAGAACAGGCGGTGTTTGCAACTACTGGCTTGTCTTGCGAAGAGGACCTGTCGGTAGAGACCGACTATACCAAGGATTATCAGACACACAAGTTTTTGGATCTCAACAAGCCCCTCCTTGTCCAGCTTTGGAACAGCGGCTTCACCAAGGAGTTCTATCTGGATCAGATCCACCGCCCGCGTCATTACAGAGGTGGAGAGTCCGCGCCGCTCTTTGGAAACTTCCTTGAACCTTTCAGCAAGACAGCTTGGTATGTGGTTCCTATCATGTGGCTTCCTCCGATCACATATGGGACTATCGTTGGTTTCTCTGGACTGGCGAATGTGCCGGCTGCCGCTGCTTATTGGGTCGGTGGTCTCTTCCTGTGGACCTTGATAGAGTATATCATGCATAGGTTCTTGTTCCACATTGATAAGTATGACGCTGCGCCCCATTCATCTTCATAATCGTTGGTGCTAATGCTTCGTAGGTGGCTTCCTGATAACCGCGTCGGCCTTACCCTTCACTTCCTGCTACATGGAATCCATCATTACCTACCTATGGACAAGTATCGGTTGGTCATGCCACCGGCTCTATTTATCGTCTTGGCCACCCCATTCTATAAATTAGCGCACACGGTGTTCTTCTACAACTGGTATGCCGCTGTGACAGTCTTCTGTGGAGGTGTTTTCGGCTATGTCTGTTATGACATGACCCACTACTTCCTCCACCACCGCAAGTGAGTAAACCAGGTCCCCGAGCACTTCGTTTAATATCTGCTAATCGCTGATGCCCGATAAAAGCCTCCCTTCCTATTACAAGGCGCTCAAGAAATACCACCTTCAGCATCATTTCGCAGATTTCGACAATGGCTTCGGCGTCACTAGTCGCTTTTGGGACCGCGTCTTCGGCACTGAGCTCGAGATGCCGTCTCCCAAGAACGTGAAGACCCAGTGAACATACGTGACATCCTGATGCTTTATACTCTGGTTTCTCAGTGTCTCCCATTAATCGCTCTCTATCCATACCTTTAATGTACGAAGTAATGTCGTCGCCGACGCGTGTCTATTCTTACTCACGCTGACATTCCGGAGTTGGGCCTGTGAATTTTTTCATTTACATTGATTGTCATGGCCGGTGGAAGAAAGACATGTTTTATTCTTCCGTGATATGTGACCATGACTCTCGTTGCTTTTGTGAAAACTTTTTCTACCATTGTACAAACTATATAGCCGCTTATAATATGATATTCCTCCCACCTACACTATATCAAGCCGGGGTACGGTTGAAGTTTAGATGAGCCGTGGTTCATAGCCCTGTTGGTAGGCGAAAAAAAAAAACCGAAAGGATAAAAAGATAAGGAGGCAAAGACGCCAAGACCACGTGACGTGTCGGCATCCCACGCCATCAGAACATTGAGGTGGACAGTATCTTCACATCTTCACCTCACTCCTCAGCTACAACACAGTTCTTGTAGGGAATCTGCTCATTCCGACTTCTATTTATACGACACCGAAACGTTCTATATTACAGAGTTAGAAACAACTTGGGGGTTTCCGGATTTGAAACAGAAGGGTTCGCTCAAGTCAAGCTTGATACGCCGGCACTCTCTAACCAAGCCAAAAGTGACCTCAATCCTATCCGCGCAATCTTCGTTGCATTTGTTTTCTGTTCAGTTTAGTCCAGGAAAAAGACAAATTGCAGCTATACCAAAATGTCAGGTCTCGATGTTGAGGCTCTCCTTGAGTCCACAGCTGCTCCGCCATCTCAAGACCCTCCCCGTTCCCAGGACCGCGATGACCGCTCCTCCAAAACTGACAGTAACGAACGCCGGGACCGTGATCGGTCACGAGAGAAGGACCGCAAGCGCAGGGACCGCAGCCGTGATCGACGTCGCTCGCGAGATATCGATGGAGATGAAGACATGAAGAGCCCGAGAAGCGAACATGGCAGTGCTAACGGAAGCCATAGAAGCAGAAAGAGGAGCAGGAGTCGTGATAGCGAACGCCGTCGGTCTCGTCGTGACCGTTACGGTGACGAATACCGTTCTGGTGGCGACTTCTACCGCGGTGGTGGACGGGCTCGCACTCGCTCTCGGTCGCCTTACGATGATCGCTATTACCGCCCCTCGGGCCGCTCCCGTCGCGATGAGCGAGATGAAGATAGACGCACTCGCCGTGACCGCAAACGAAGCCCGAGCCCGAGAAGCCGCGAGAGGACCCCGGAGCCTACTGAGGATGAGCGTGACAGGCGTACCATTTTCGTTCAGCAGCTTGCTGCGCGGTTGAGAACTAAGGAGCTGATTGCGTTCTTTGAGAAAGTCGGACCTGTCAAGGAAGCCCAGATCGTTAAGGACCGTGTCAGTGGACGGTCTAAAGGGTGAGTTCCCTGCGTTTCCATATGACAGGAGAGCTGTGTACTAACTTTCACTAGTGTCGGTTATGTCGAGTTCAAAAGCGAAGACTCCGTTGCGCCCGCTATCCAGCTTACCGGACAGAAACTTCTAGGAATTCCCATAATCGCCCAACTGACTGAAGCGGAAAAGAACCGCCAGGCCCGCAATCCCGAGGCCAGCAGCGGCAACAATCACGCTGCTCCATTTCACAGGTTGTACGTGGGTAACATTCATTTCAGCATCACTGAAAGTGACCTTCAGAACGTCTTTGAGCCTTTTGGCGAACTCGAATTTGTCCAGCTGCAGAAGGATGAGACTGGTCGTAGCAGGGGTTATGGATTCGTGCAGTGAGTGTTACCCCTATACATTTTCCCTTCATGATTAGTAACTGTTGCTAATACCGTGTATAGGTTCCGTGATCCAAACCAGGCTCGTGAGGCTTTGGAAAAGATGAATGGATTTGACCTTGCTGGTCGAGCAATCCGCGTTGGCCTTGGCAACGATAAGTTCACTCCTGACTCGAACGCACAACGCATGCAGAGCCAAGGTGCAAACCAACATAACTTCCAGGGCTCTCTCTTCTCGGGTCACGGAGGACGTGGTGTTCAAGCCGGCGGTACCAGCAACTTCGACCGCGCTGGTGGCCGTGACTCCGAAAAGGGGGCCGGCGCTAGTGCATTGGACGATACGGATGTTGCCGGCGTAAATTTCAACAACTACAGTAGGGATGCATTGATGCGCAAGCTTGCAAGAACAGATGAACCATCCGAGCCTGCTGCCGATGACCAGCAGAAGGTGCTCCGTCCCAAGACTGAGGCTAAGCCTCTGCCTGTTAACGTCAACATGGCAAGTCGGTGTGTCATGCTCCGCAACATGTTTGACCCCAACGAGTAAGTTGCTCAATCATAGCTATCTGTCTTCTCTATACAGAATCTAACAATATCGCAGGGAGGAGGGTGAAGCTTGGATTAAGGAGCTGGAGGATGACGTTCGCGCTGAGTGCGAAGACAAATATGGCCATGTTGTTCACATTGCACTAGATCCCAACTCGCAAGGCGATATTTACCTGAAGTTCGACCGCGTCCAGGGTGGCGAGAACGCCATCAAGGGCCTGAACGGGCGTTTCTTTGGTGGTCGACAGATCACCGCCCAGCCCGTCGTCGACGCTGTCTACAGCAGTCTGTTCTCCCGAACCAAAGCGATCTAAAGTATATGACATCGGCCCGCGCCTACCATGACCACATATGGGTAGGTATTTCATCTAATTTATCTCTCTTACCAGGTGCAATCTGTGACGGCCGGACCACACTTTGGCCTTTGAACTGTTGAGCGGTTGCTTCGGCATGGTGCTTGGCTTGGATGACACTGCCCCTGGTAGGTGCCAGTCTTCTCGACATCTCACCCTTTATGGTTGTCTATCAGGCCGAGAGCCTCGTGGAATGATCTTGTCTATAGGGATTTGTACATTGCGTTAGCGCCAAATAGTCCATTTTTCGTAACCTTGTTAATTGACAATTTGCCAGTCATGGAAGGTTTTCTATAATTTCTCATTAAGCCCAGTAACCACATCATCTCAGTGTCTATACCTGAGGAGTGCTGCCAGCGTCTAAGCTATGCTACGATAAACGCGATTAGATTCGATGCCACCAAGGATTCCCCATTCATTATTTTCTCGATCATGAATGTATAACATCACCTTGGAGACATTACCAACGCAACATCCATCATAAGGGGCAATAGTAAGTATATTCCTACTTACAGCCAGTCCAGACTGTATGCCCTCCACGTGGACAGAAACAAAGCACACACGAACTACAGCCGGAGCAGAACAAGCAGCTCTTTAAGTTGTTCTAGCCTGTTAATCCGGCTCCTAGTGACATCAGCGACACCGCAGCATTTGAGTTGTGAGTACAATTATCCCCATGGGAATCAAGACCGGCATATAAGAGTGCGACTCTGATATCATCACCAGATATTGATAGCCTAGTTTGGGCTCCCATGCCTGTCATCAATCTGGCCAGAGTCTTGCTACCTCGTATCCCACAACATCAACAAAACCTGCCCCTGAGGATGTTGTTCCGTGCATTCTGATGTGGACTCTCACCGATCTGTAGAGAAATTTGGCTAGGTGACAATCTAGAGATTCAACAACAAGATTGAATCAAAGGCGAAGGATGTTTATTCGGGTCATGCAGGGTGGCATTGGGAACCATCCCAACCACTTCGCTTACTCAGTTGATGCAACAGAATTACTATCTTGGTGTCTCACCGTCAGCTCACATCAACTATTATTCCGTCTTCGCCTTTAAGCCAACGCAGACCAGGCCCGCATAACATTTCCGAACATTTGTCATCTACCTGCTTACGTGTGGCGTCAATTACAGCATTGACGTTGTCCAAGATTGATCGAGAGCTCATATAGTGAATATCCTTATCCTATTCCAGGGTTCTGTTCATTTGAGAGGGAGTCAAACGTGATGAGACAGGCTAAATTACCACGAAAAAGAAGTTCATCGCTTGCTTTCAAGTGTTTTTGCTCCTTCAATATAGTAGTAGTCGCATAGACGTAGACTCGGAGTAGATTACTAGGTGAGGAAAGGGGGGGGGAAACATTGGAGAAGTTCACAATTTCCATCTATTAGCAACAGACAAGCCTGTACAAGTTTGTTGCCTAAAGCATAACCCACAGCATGCAGCGAACATTGCAGTGGTATTTCTGCGAGGGAGGGAGAGACAAAAACAAGAGAAGTGGAAGCAAAAGAAGAAGTACTAAGAACGAAGTGCCGTTGTGTTTCTCCGCCGCGCTGATTGCTCGGCCCGCAAAATCAGCAGCCCCCGCGGATTCCCGATAAAAGGCAAAGAAACCTTCTTCCTGCTTCGTGTCCGGCACCTCCCTTTGTGCTCGTGTTCTTCTACTTGCTCTCCCAGACTTTCCATAGACACTATCCTACCAATGCTTCGGCCTTCATGATTGGGTCTCCCGCCAAGCGAGTCTCCGTCCAGGTCCGGACCCTGGCCGACAGTTATCGTCAGTTCGCCTCCTCCCCAAGATTCTCTTATCTCCGGGCCTTTCGCGCCCAGCCAGATCGGCCTGGAGTTGCATGGTCGTCCTGCATTCGCGTCTCACCATCCCCCCCTTGGCTAACCTCCTCCCGTCTCCTTCTCTAGTCTATATTATCTGGTCTCGGCCTCGTCGTTACTCGACTAAGTACATCGTTCCTGACGATATCCGCCCCACCAAGCGTCGCGAGTTCCACGACTATTTCGTCACTCATCTACCCTCGTCCTCGCTACACCCGGATCCCCGGGGTCCATTGGCCCCTTTCCATAAANTACCTCGTTCAGCTTCGGTCCCCCATACTGGCGAGATCTCCCATTCTCCTGCCGCATTCCAGCCCCTTGTCGACCGGGACACCACTGTTGTTCGCATCCCACTGCGGAGCGCCAAACACCACTTCGGTGCACACAGCTCCCGAGGCACACGGCCCTACAATGAAGATGCCTACCAGGCTGGCGTCATCGATATACCCGCCTTTGCGAAGCGTCCACCGGCTTCTTTGACGATCAAGAAGACTGGCACTATCCCTGTTCCCAGAGAGAGCCGTGGGGCTGACAGCGCGAGCGGGGATCCGCAGGTCTTCTATTTCGGCGTCTTTGACGGTCATGGCGGAACGGAGTGCAGTACTTTCCTGAAGGACTGGCTTCATGAGTATATTCAAGATACCGCGGCCGCGTTTGAACTGCAATCGAGTCTCCAACAAGGCTCAAGAGGCCAGTTCCCGCGGGGCGCGGAACCCTCATCCGGAGCGCTGCCCATAGTACAGGGCGGTAACTCTAAACGTATCGGAGAATTAGAACGGATCTTAGTGCAGAACTGGAAGACTTTGGTTGGCGGCTATTTCAAGAGATTTGTTCCGCCTCACTTTACACATGCCGGAAAGCAGAACTCGACGACCGATGTGGATTCTGGCATGGGAGTCACCATTGAGGAGATCTTGGAGTATGCCTTTCTCCGGACCGATTTGGAGTTTGTCTCGGCGCAAGCGGCCAAGAGAGACGATGAGTTTACAAAGGTCGGCCAGCCAATGCATCAAGATGATATCTTGTATGGCCCAGGCCGCTCCCGATCGTTGAATATTGGCGGGGTCAATCGCTTCAAGGGGGGCAGCACGGCCAGTGTTGCGCTCATCTCAACTCCGACGCCCGCTCCGTTTTGGCACCCCAATGCTCCATCTAGCCTGCTTATCTCGCATGTTGGGGATACTCGGATCCTCTTATGTTCCACTTTGACAGGCCAAGCCATCCCGGTCACGTCCAACCATCACCCCTCGTCGCCTATTGAAGCTTCCCGATTACGACGGTATGCTACCACGTTTGTGACAGACTCGTTCGGAGAAGAGCGGATGAGCGGACTTGCCAACACTCGATCTTTTGGGGACGTCCAGTCCAAGCGCATCGGTGTCTCGGCAGAGCCAGAGATCCGTCGCATTGAGATGGGGCCAGCCGAGTACTCGTTCTTGGTGCTCATGTCGGACGGAATCAGCGGCACGCTCCTAGACCAAGAGGTTGTCGACATCGTCAAGGAAGCGAAGACCCCTGATCAGGGTGCTTCCGATGTGGTCAAATTTGCGACTGAGGTGACTCGTGAAGGAGACAATGCCACCTGCCTGGTAGTCCGATTGGGCGGGTGGGAGCGGCGACTGGAGGGAGGACTGGGCAGCTTGGGGACGAAAGAGTCTCGAGAGTGGCGTCGGCAAGAAGCGACAGATCCGCGCAGGTCACGGAGATGATAATGAAGATATCTAAACTTTTGATAGAGAATATGCCTGTTTGTATATAGCTTAATTTCTTCTGCTGCTGCTCGTTTGGTTCGTCCTGCTTGAGAGAGCTTTGCATAGTTTACGTCTGTACATACGCAGTCCTTGACAACTAATTTCTTTTGTTTTTCTCCGACACGCTACTATTTCTGGATGGGTTAAAGTAAAGAACTAGATAGTCGGAGGTCGAATTTGCATCGATGCATGGAAAGGGTAGATCAGGGTCCACGGGCACTCTTGGTCGGGCCCGGCCCGGAAAAGAATGCAAGGCTGGCCGCAAACAGAGGAACAAACAGCTTTTCCTGATCGGCCGGCTCCCTGGACCTTTCTCAACATCACTTGGCTTCTATTATAACTTGTTGTCACGCATCGACTCTTCTCAGCTTGGCTGTCTTGACCAGTGCAATCGCACCACTCCCCGGATTGCAGCGGATGGATTAAGGTGACCGCATCGTGAGTGGCTCCTTCTTATCACCCCCCAACCTTATCGCCAAACCTCACACATGGCCATTTTCCTCTCCTGACCAACTTCGACAGACTGCCTTACCACGCGCTGTTAAGATAGTTACGACGTTGTTTGCGTTTCTTCTTTGTACAGTGACATTAATCTCTGTTACCCACTCAGATCCTGTGGTCTTTGGCTTCTGGCACAGGCGCGTCGCAATAAGCAGAAGGTACGTGTTCCACAAAGCTTTCAGGAGAATCTCCGGCTCCGTCATCTTCTCTCACCCCATCTGAACCTGCCTTGACCTCGTGGTCCGATTTTAGTGAGACCTTGTGGGACGTGCTAACGTTATTGCATTCATCTCTCTAGCCTTCTTGCCCGACTGAGTTTTGCTGCTCCGATTGACTCGAAGCTTGCTTCGGACACGGTCCACTCGCCGTCCCTCGTGGAACCCCTCGGATAGAGCTTCTCCTTCTTCCGTCAACTCCCCGTCGCCCAGGTGTTTTCTCCTCCGAAACGTGCTACAAACTAGCTCTACTTCTGTTCCAACTTTCATATTATTTTCGCCACGATGGGCCCCCGAACTAGATCACAGAAAGCCGCCGCTGAGCTGGAGGCAACCGATCCATCGCCCGCCGTTAACGGGACCTTGCAGGATTCGCCAAAGAACAGTGCATCAGTTACTGCTGATGGGGATGTGGAGGAAAATGTTTTCCTTTTCGCTCCGAACTTGATCGGTAAGGGCCCAGCGACACTATTGCAGTCTGACAACGCCTAACTTTGGACGGGACTAGGATACGCGCGTGTTGTGTTGACGATGGCCTCGCTCTACTATATGCCCCTCCACCCACGGACGTGCTCCCTCCTTTACAGCGTGTCGTGTCTGTTGGATGCCCTGGATGGATATGCGGCGCGGTATTATAACCAGTCTACCACATTTGGCGCGGTGCTGGACATGGTGACAGATCGATGCACGACCGCGTGTCTGCTCGTCTTCCTGAGCTCCGCCTGGCCACGGTGGGCCATCATCTTCCAGAGCTTGATCGCTTTGGACATGGCCAGTCACTACATGCACATGTACGCGACTCTTAGCATGGGAGGTTCCAGCCAGAGCCACAAGAAGGTGGAGGCTAGTCGCAGCTGGATCTTGTACCAGTATTACCACAGCAGGGTTCGTTATTCCTTTGCATCAATCTTCGGTCAACATGCTGACATGCGCCACAGACGGTTCTGTTCATCTGCTGCGCGCTGAATGAGCTGTTTTTCATTGGACTGTACCTGCTCTCTTTCTCTTCCCCCACTCTGTCTCCTTCCCTCCTGCAGCCTGTGAGCACCGCCAGCCCCTGGAGTGCTGGGGCCCTGGAGATGGCGCGTGCGAACAAGATCGACAGCTTCTGGCCCTGGGTGATTACTGGCATTTCGGCTCCTGTCATGGCTCTGAAGCAGTTCATCAACGTTGTGCAGCTGGTCAAGGCGAGCAAGTGGCTGGTGGAGGGCGACATTGCTAGCCGCAAGGCCATGCGCAATGGCAAGAAGAACTAAGCCATGCTGTGACTGTTCATGGCTGAAGCTGGCTTGATCTAGCTACCAGTCAATTCAATAATGCCCGTTGGGCTACGTTTCCGGGTTCCGGAGGAGTGATGTTATGTTCCCCGACCGGGTCAGGTATTTTTTCTGCATGGTTCTGGTGCTTTGATTGTTTTTGGACAGTCAAGAGTGATCCAGGAGATTCCCCATAATTTCCATTATCCCATGTTCCTTTTCTTCCTTCTGTTTCTTTTCTCTGGCTCGAGGATATCGGTCATGTCTTAGTATATGTGATGGGCGGGACTGGGGCATATAAGGCTGGGTGTACAGACGTCTCAGGGCAAAATGGGACGATATTCGAGGCGTGCTTTGTGTGAATTTTTACTTGCATGGCTTCTGTCTTTGTTTCAATGCTTTTTCATGTGATTAAATTGGCGCCGCCATCGTCGATAGCATTTTTAATCGGGACTACTAGAGTGGACACTTGGTGTGAAGTGAGTCAAGGTTAATAATAGTTAGATAACTAATAGCTGTAACTCCGGTGGTAAGCGTGGGTAAAAGTACACACGCCGCGCTAAACTGGAGGTGGAATAGGGCCGGCAGTGGCTCCGGTGTCGGCGCGGGGAGGCTCGCCAACTGCCCCGCCAGTCCGTATAAGTTGTAGTTTATACCTCGCTCTCCTCCGCTCAATCGTCCACCTTCTCCGTGCCAAACTATCTTCCCTGCTTGTCCTCATCATGCCCGCCTACAACATTGTCGTTTTCGCCGGTGACCACTGCGGTCCCGAGGTGAGTCCGCGCTGAGCCTATACCCATGTACAGCTCCGGACAATCGACTGACCCATTGCCAATGTCCATATAGGTTACCGCCGAGGCCATCAAGGTTAGCAAACCACGCCCAGCTACGAATTGAGCTCCGAAAGTTCCCCAAATACTAATTCTGCTCCGCTATAGGTCCTCCGCGTCATCGAGAAGAGCCGCGATGACATCACCCTCAACCTCCAGGACCACCTGCTGGGCGGTGTACGTCCCATCCAAATCCCATCTATAGAAGACCATAAACCGCTGATACAGCTACATAGGCCTCCATTGACGCCACAGGCAACCCTCTGACTGACGAGGCCCTGGCCGCGGCCAAGAATGCCGATGCCGTTCTCCTTGGTGCCATCGGTGGACCGGTACACTCCCCCGATCTATCCTCCACCCCCATCCTCATCACCACCAACAACAACTAACCCAACCAACAGAAATGGGGCACCGGCGCCGTCCGCCCGGAGCAGGGTCTCCTCAAGCTTCGCAAAGAGATGGGCACATTCGGCAACCTGCGTCCCTGCAACTTCGCGGCCCCCTCCTTGGTCGAACACTCCCCCCTGAAAGCCTCCGTCTGCGAGGGCGTCGACTTCAACATCATCCGCGAACTGACGGGCGGAATCTACTTCGGTGACCGCAAGGAAGATGACGGCAGCGGCTACGCCATGGACACGGAGCCGTACTCGCGCGCCGAGATCGAGCGGATCACGCGCCTCGCGGCCCACCTTGCTCTGCAGCACAACCCCCCTCTCCCCGTGTGGAGTCTGGATAAGGCCAACGTGCTGGCTACGAGTCGGTTGTGGAGGAAGACCGTCACCGAGATCATGGCGAAGGAGTTCCCACAGTTGAAGATTGAGCACCAGCTTATTGATTCTGCGGCTATGATTATGGTTAAGAACCCCCGTCAGCTGAACGGCATTATTGTCACGAGTAACCTGTTCGGTGATATCATTAGTGATGAGGCTAGTGTTATTCCTGGTTCTCTGGGATTGTTGCCTAGTGCTAGTTTGAGTGGTATCCCTGATGGTAAGGGTAGGGTTAATGGTATTTATGAGCCTATTCATGGTATGTTGTTTCCCTCTTTCTCACTTTTTTTTGGGTCGTGGTGGAAGTGCGGTTTGCTAACTGGGTTCAGGCTCTGCCCCTGATATTGCTGGCAAGGGCATCGTCAACCCTGTCGCTGCTATCCTGTCCGTCGCTATGATGATGCAGTACTCTTTCGGTCGCTTCGATGAGGCCCGCGCTATTGAGGCTGCTGTCCGCAATGTCCTTGAGTCCGGTGTCCGTACCGGTGACATTGGCGGTAAGGCTACCACTAGCGAGGTTGGTGATGCCGTTGCGGCCGAGCTGGAGAAGTTGTTGAAGTAGATTAAACCGTGCAGTGTTTGCATGATTGAGTTTTCATGATGTGCGAAAAGTATTGATTGTTGGGCGGGTGACCCGCATGAGATATGACTGGATCTAAATGAATATAATAATTACATTACTACTACTCACTACTCTCGTGATCAACTAGGTGATGATGGGTGTGTATGACAGCTGCTAAGTGTATAACATTATTGATGTAAAAGGGGTATCTAAAACTCCGCGAAATGCTATCAATCGACTATGCCCACTTCGTGCGCGTCGCAGACAATGAATGAGTATTACCGAATGACAGGCTCGCCCATCCAATCCGGCTCCTCCAGACTCGTCACCACCTTGGAAACACCATCACGCTCCAAATCTTCCTGCGTACTAGCCCTCAACGACCGTCTAGCACTGTGTCTCCGGACACGACCATCCGCCGACGCAGACGGCGCATTACCCACCCTCTTTCTCTCATCATCTCTCGCAAACACCTGGAAGCCGCGCACATGCGTATCTTTGCCGTTTTGGTGATTCTCGATAATCCGCATCTGAATGACCATGGCTTTGAGCACATTGCCCGCATACGGATCATCCTCCTCGTCTTCATCGTCATCTTCATCCTCATCCTCATCCACATCAACATCAGGATCCTCAAATATAAACCCGCCCCTCCTCTTCCCCTTTCCCTTCCTCCTCCTTCCCGACTTCTTCTTCTTCCCTCCAGCTCCACCACCTTGCTTCTGCGCATCAGTAGTAACCCACCCTCCACTCCTCCCACCAACGCCCTCCAATTCCACATCAACCCATCCACACGGCCCCTCACCCTCCCAATTGGCAAACTCGACCAGATCATTCCCGCCCATGCCTGCCAGGAACGTCATCTTGGTGGGCGTATAACTCTCATCCATCTCGAAATCCAAATACACGCGGATGCGCACAATAGCCACCAACTTGAAGAAGTGTAAAGTGAGGGTATGCGGCTGCGGTCCGTCGGATTGCCAGTACTGCGTCGGCGAGGGGTGACGGAGGGCAGTCACGCCGCAGCCGGGTTTATGAGTCGAGACGGTCCAGCTAGCTAGGGAGGAGATTTCGCGGAGGTTAGCTGGGAGGGGAGTTGGGGATTTTTCTGCACATAGATCGAATGGTGAGTTTGTGTGTTAAACAGGTAGCTGTAGAGTGGGAAGTGTACATACCGCGTTCATGTAGCATCTCGGACTCGCTACCAGCTTCAGGCTCAATCTCCACACCCTCTTCATCCTCTTCGTCCACCTCGACCTGCTCATCATGTTCCACTTCTTCCTCGATGTCAGATGGACCTTCCACATCCACATCATGAGCGGGAAGCATACCGTCCTCTTCCGAAATAGAGCGCTGAAATTGACGCTGTCGGTGCCGGGTACGCTGATGGGCAATAGAACTGAGTGTTGTCTCATGGCTGAATCCTACACCGTCATATTCTTCCGGAATGGCGTCTTCATCGTCTTCTTCGTCCTCCTCATCAACCTCCTCATCGTCCATCATCTGGTCCGCTGGATGATTGGGCGGACGGCCATGCACACCGCGTCCGAAGAGGGAGAACAGGGCGGCGGTTGCGGCGGGGTGAGGAGCTGCATGCTGGCTGGGGTGGCTCTGGAGGGGATGATCGGGGTCAAAGGTTCCAGAGGAAGGGTAAAGCGTGGGGATCGAGAGGCCTTGGGAGGGAGGGGTCTGGAATTGCGCGTGGTGGCCGAGGCGCGAGCGACTGGCGCGTTGGGGCGCCGGGGGCGGTTGTTGCGGTGCGTGGTGGGGGGTGGTGTTGTCGGAGGGGGAGGAGGTGTCTGGCGCGGGATGTCGACGGAGGAGATGATGGTGACGCGGCATTTTGGATAAGGGGTTAGAAGCAATTTATTGTGAATTGGCCATGGTTCGTGAGAGATTGAAGGGTATGTTGATGCTGGATGGAGAATGGATGGAAAGCTTCATGGATGGACTGCCGTTATCAGTCACGTGTCTCTTATCGGGGTAGATGACCATTTACTATGGAGTATATGGGGTAGATGAGATGGGAACTGTTTAGTTATTAGATCAGCTAATAGCTGAGATGTACAGAAAAAGTGTATGATACATAAGCAAGCGCCTCGGATCTTGGTCCGGTGGTGCACAAATTGTTCTAATATGGCTTTTTTGGTGGTAAATTCCCACTCATGTCCCCCTCTAATGTTCAACGTCAACGAATCCGAGTTTCTCTCCCATCTTAATGCGCTGTCCCTTCTCAATGGTCCAGTTGAATCCTCCCTCGCGTCGGCCCTCTTCCCAGCCCGCGTCGAATGACTTACGAGTGCCCACCGGCGCCTCGAACACCAGCACGATTGAGCTACCAAGTTGGAATCCGCCCATTTCCTCACCACGCTGCAGAGGGTGACCTCCCAGGGTTTGGCTGGCGTGGAGGTAAGTGGCCTCAACGAATCCAGGATACTGCTCACCACGCTTGGCCGCAGCGGCGGCTGCCATGTCGGCCGCGGTGTCCGTCGTAAGGCTGTTGGTCCGCAGCTCTGCGTCAAAGTTCACCTTGATCGAGCCAACGTTCGTGGCACCCACAGGGGTATAGCTGAAGAAACCCCAACGCCAGCGGCCCAGCAGCACGACACGCTCGTTGAGGGTGAAGAGACCTGGTAGGTGGCGCTGCAGGTACGGGGACACCGAGAACAGTTCACCCGCAAAGTGTCGGCGACTCTGCACCACCCACGGCACTGGCGAATGGAAACGGTGGTAATCACCCGGAGCAAGGTAGATCACGACATAGTAGAGAGCATTGTTGGACGTCGGCTTCGGGGCGTACCATGGCGCACCATCCCCTCGAGCCAGATCAGCCTTGACTTCGGCTTCGGCAGAGGCCTTGTATGGGGTGGACGCATCAATGGATGCAGAACGCTTCCGGGCGCCACCCTGGTCTCCTGCAAGGAGCGTGGGAAGCGTATATGAGATGCCGTTCATTTTGGCGAACTCCGCGTCCGCCAGCATTTTTGCTTCGGTTCCATGAGCCGGCTCGCTCTGGTGGTCTGTGAACTTATCCGTGTGGTCTGCATGGTTCGGGGTCGCGGCACCCAACAGGGCATCCAAGCTGTATGTGACGCCCTTGACCTGTTCGACCTCACCACGTTCAATCAATCCAAATTGTAGGATACGTCCATCGGAGGGTGCGAGAACAGCGCGAGTGTCAGGGTCCAGAGGCCGAACACCCGGTTTCAGTTTGCGATAGAAGAAGGCCGCCAGGTTGGGATAGGTATGAAGGTCTGGTTCCGCAACCTCGTCCAGGTTGACACCAAAGACCCAAGAGTAGAGCTTGAATCCTGGAACACGGAAATAATAAGGCAGCTCGATCTCATTGAACCGTCCCCAAAGCCGCGACATGGCCTTGAGCGGCAGGGTAGACATAATCTGGACCTGCCATGGTCCGCTCAGTCGGTGCTTTGGTCGGGGAGGAGCTTTTTCGAAATCAAAAGTCTCGCCGGCAGCTTCTCTTTCTGCACGTTCACGTTCCGCCCGCTGGGCCTTGTAAAACTGTAGCAAGCCAAGCAAGCCGATACCGAGACCGACGGGGATGGGATACCATTCGACTTTGGTGTTCCGCAGGGCAAAACGGAGTCGGGAGCCAAAGGTGCTTCGAGGGGAAGGGTTTTCGTGGGAGTTTTGATGTTGATACTGTTTCCAGGACTGCGAAAACTGCCTGGGACCGGTCTTACGACGACCAGTGGCCCGCAACGAGACTTCCATCAATCCTACCTTCTCCCCATGAGGGGAGACTGCGAACTTCCGGCAACACAGGGCAGAACGGCTGGACAGGCACAGGGCCATAATGCGGTTCTACTCGGAGCAAGTCATCCCAGAGGGGGAGTAAAAGCAACAAGTGCGAGACACCTGCCCTCTGATCACGGAATCGGATCAACCGAGGAAGCAGTCGTGATTGCAGGATGGGATCGTCAATCTCATGACAGCCAAAACACAAAACCCGTGATCGGCATCGTTTGCTGCTTCACCGCCTGGCAGAATCCCCTCGTCCGCGCGGCTTCACTGTCATTGTTGCCTGTGTCTGGTCTGTGTTCGAACTGTTTTGTTGTGTGCTCGGTTGTTCTGAACAGCTTGTGGGTGTGAATGTGATATCGTGTTCAAGTGAGCATCCTAGCTGTTCTTCTTCGTTGCTTGCCTCGCGTGGTTGTGGCCAGTCACATCTCGGGTTGAAAAGGACACCGTCATCATTCCGGCTTCTGTATACTTCTCCCGCGGTCCCTCGCTGTCTGGTTCATGCACATCACTTACTAGTTAGCACTTGTTCATATTGTCATTGTGTCAATTTTACTCGACTGATCCCAACTTTATCATTCTCCTCTGCTTTACGCCATTGTTTCTCTTGCAGTGAGCATTGCGACTTCGATTATGCGCCCGTGATTGTCTACGCCCAACATCCCTCCGCAAGGACAGAACAATCCCAGGATGACCGCGTCTTCAGAAACCCAGTCCGCTCTGGCGGAATCTCCACAGAGCATAGTATTACATGTGCTATGTCCATCTTTACCTCCTCCTAACCGATTCACTCTCCACGACATCTCTCCATCCACCACCATCTCCACTCTCAAAGCTCGAATCGCCCAGACCATTCCGAGTGAACCATCCCCTGAAACTCAGAGGCTGATATACCGGGGGAAGCCCCTTACGAACGACGCCGTGGCGCTAAATGATGTGTTAGAGTCATCAAATGTGCGTATGATCTTATTCCTATGCCCCCTTGTAGTCGGCAGATACTAACAGTGATACTTGACCCAGGATACCGAGTATTCCATCCACCTCGTCCTTCCTCCTGCCCCAGTTCCCCATGCTTCAACTTCTGCCAGAGCTCCTGCTCCAATGCCGCGGGGAGCTTCAGGTAACCCCGCGCCTCAGAGTCCATTCTCATCGAACCGATTCACGCCGCAACACCTGCCTCACGGACAAGAGATCAGGTATCGAGGTCCCGCATTGCCCGCTGTTCCCCATGAGGCAGAGATCGGACTCGCCTTGAGGCGGAATATCGAGGCTATTCGTCGACAGATTGATATGCAGGAACGGGGCGGGCCGTTGGGAGGCGTCGCGGCAGGCACCGCGGGGGCTACTTCCCACTCGACCACATCCACGACTACGACAGCTTCGTTCGCTCAGCAACCTGCATGGCCACACGTAACACCTGGTCTATCGCACCCAGGACATTCGTCCATCTCATCTGATTTCACAATGGCTTCCGGCTCATCGGGAACAGCCAATGTCCATAGCAACCTCCCCGAAGAAGTCCGATTGCGCCTACAAATACTCAGAAATCAGATTGCGTTTGGCGAAGAGCAACTGAACCGGGGGGTTGCGCCCCCAATGGACCATATAATTCGCATACGTACACAATTGTTCGCTTTGCTCGACGACCAATATCAGAACCCACATGCTGAGCGCGACGGCTCGATTGAATCTTTGCTCACTCGCGTCTTTAATATCTATACCCGCGCTGATCAGCTCCGCGTCTCACAAGCTAGAACCATGCCCACACCTGTTCTATCTGGACCTCCCAATCCCGCACCAGGGCAGGCTCCTCTGTACCTTCTCTCGTCACCAAACGGCTATCAAGCCCTGGTTGCATCTCCCCGCGGTGCAGAAACGATGCAGTCTTCTCTCGATACACTCCGAGCCATGCACTCCCCGACCGGAGCCTCTGCGCCTCGTACAGGTGCTCCACCGGAGATTCACAATGCGAACGCAGTTGTCATGGAGAACATTGTCCGACAGGCCGTACTCAACCAACGCATCGAAAACAACGGGCAATTGAGCTTCACACGCAATCTCCGACGCATGTGGCTATTTGTGCGCTTGTATTTCTTCTGCTACATGTTCAGCGAACCGGGCACATGGTCTCGCGTGGTGTATGTAACCCTAGCCGTCCTTGTCTCACTCCTGTCAGAAACCGGGATCCCACAGCAGTTGTACCGAATGCTTGTGGCGCCAGTGCAACGACACCTGGAAGGACTGGTTCATTTCGCTCCGGACGAACCGACTCCAGCACCACCTGGCACGCAGTCAACTGGGCAAGGGAACGTTCCCACTGCTCAGCCAACCGGAATGCGACACCAGCTGCGCCGCGTAGAACGGTCCTTGGCGCTTTTCATTGCAAGCTTGGTTCCGGGCGTGGGCGAGAGACACGTGGAAGTGCGCAATGCCGCAGAAGCGGCCCGGAACGCAGAGCGTGCAAGAGAGGAAGAAGAGCGACGTCGACAGGAGGAAGAGGCCACCAACGCAGGCACGACTGGTGAGGCTCAGGCACAGGCACAGGAGAGCAGCGAGAACGAACAGAGAGAAACGGGTGAGAATGCACCCAACACGATACCCCAAACTGAGAATTAGCCATAGCGGAGCTATTAGACTTGTACTGAGTATACTCGGTGATTTGAAACTTGTGTTCATGATGTATTGATAGCTGCGATCATATTTCCATACCGCTTAGTGCGGCAAGATATCTTAGTCTATTAGCGCAACATATATCTACTGCAGTGTACCTTCAAGTAATCTATCCACATCCACCCACACATAATCCACTCTATCTATAACTTACTGCCCCCCAAATCAGTCTCAGCCGATGAATCTACACTAGAAGTCGGGGTAGCCGACGGACCAGCCATGGGGCCCGTATCAAACGACTCGTCGCCATCGAAGTGCCTACATCAGCACCAGTTAGCAATCAACAACCAAACAACATCCCCAAACCAACACACAAAAACCATATGGGGTAATAAAGGAAGAGAAACATACCATCCCCTCTCCGCCCCACCACTCAAAAACGCACAATCCCCATTACTCACACACTCCCACCCCCCAGCAACCCCCTTCCCCCCTTTCCAATCAGGAACTTTCACCCCTCCATCATCACCTCTAACTACCTCCGTTCCCGGCGCAAGACCACCACCCTCTCCACCATCCCCTTCCCCTTCCCTATTACCCTCCCCTGCCCTCCTACGTCTGAATGTACTAACCCCCGCCGTATAAACCTTGAAATCCTCGACCGAAGAATCAGCGGGCATATCCCCCGTCAAGGCCCTTCCCATAGCAATCAGCGGCGCAGCATGCGAGCAGATCAGGATTGCTTTGCTGGTTCGTTGCGAGGGAGGGAGGGAGGCCTCGATGGCTGAGATTTCCTCGTCTACGGAGATGATGAGGGCCGAGAGGGTGGTTGCGACGCGGTCGTGGAGTTGGGCGATGGTTTCGCCGCGGGTGGAGGGGTGGAGGATGGGGGTGTAGGTGGTTTGTTCACTGGATGAGGATGGGAGGATGGTGGGGAAGTGGGAAGAGAGGATTGAGGCGGGTGCGGGGGCTGGGTGGTGAAGAAGGTTGTTGGGCCGAACCATTCTCTGTATTCATTCCATTAGATATCAGTTTATATGTAATGTTGGTAGATTGGAGGGAGGGAGAGGAGGGGGAAACGTACCCCAGGCCTGGTTCAGTGCGGACGGTCAAGTCGGCGTGGGTGTCGATTGCGGGGGGCTCATTGTTAGTAGATGGGGTGGTAGATGCCTGCTGCTGCTGCTGCTTCAATGCCTCGACTGTGGGTTGGATCGTCTGCAGACATCGGTAGAATGGACTGCTGTAGATGCGGAACGGCTTGGGGGATACATTGTCGCTGGTGAAATGGGCGGCCAGTTCGTGGGATTGGAGCACGCCGTGAGAGGTCAGGGTTGGGTCCGCTGGGTTACCGGTTGGCGTAGGAAATTGGGCGTGGTAGGTGCCGGTTTTGTAGTCGATTGTCCAGTTGAGACGGTGCTGGAGATATATTCTTAGTACTTCGTTGTGATGGAGGGGAGACGGTGAAGTAGTAGGGGGTGGGATATGGTGGGTCGGAGGACTTACGCCATGGCGGGTGAGGTATATTGTGTCTAGAGGCATGTTGGAATACTTTTTCTTAAGGGATTAGGAGCAGACAGGAGGTAAGGGATTGTAGTTGGCTGGGATGTGTAGGCATGAGACGGTGTTGATAAATGGATAGCGGGAAATGTTGCGGGGAAACATGGGGCGGCGGTCAGACCTCGGCCCGGCCAGTCCTAAATTTACTGAGAATAATGATTACCCTACTTGCATATTTGGTAGAACAATAATGATGACTTGAATCAGTTCATTCGCAAGATCACTCGATCAATAACTATCTAGACATCTCTGCCGGGTATCGATCCAACTCCGCCAAGCCACGAGAGTTCATCCCTCGCACCACAAACTAGATCCTCGCCATCAAAAAAAAGCTTCCAGGGTAAACTTTTTAGTAGAAGAAACCGAGGAGCTTGCCGGCAACGTGCTTGCGGCGAGCCTCCTCGTGGTCCATGATACCAGCGGAGGTGGTCAGGACAACGTAACCGAACTGACGGGAGGGCAGGAGCTGAGTGGCCCACTTCTCGAGGTCACGGAGCTGAACGGGGTAGCGGGGGTTGATGACACCGCACTTGTTCAGACGGCCGTTGAGCTGGATGACGATCTTGCCGGAGCGGTGGTCGTCAACCTCCTCGAACTCGCCAATGTAGCCTGAAGAAGGAAAAAAGAGTCAGCAATTTGTTGCGGTGATTTAAAAGTTAACCAAACACAGAAGAAATAAAGAGTTCCGGAAACTTGTAAGATCGCCGCCATGTTGTAAACAACACTTGTCAATATCTCGGGCACTTAAAGGGCGAAAGCCGTGGTTGGTCTATAACCGTCGCCTAGTTATCAACCCGAATTTTTCATCACCTCCTTGGCGGCTCGACCTTGCAAGTGCCCGGAACTCCTTGTTTCACGATGTTGGTGATGTTGTAGACATGAACGTACCGTGCTTCTGCATGACGGAAAGGAACTTGATGATGACCTTGGAGGAAGGGCGGATCAGGACCTGACGGCGACCGCTCTTCTCGGCGTTGTTGATGGCGTTAAGCGCATCGTTGAGGACGGAAGTCTTGACCATTTTGACGGTGTGGAATCGAGATTCTCAAATCGAGGAATCGAAGGATATGAGGTATCTAAAATTTACGATGCCCAGTCCTCACACCACCGATGAGGAATTGGGTCCATAATAGTCAGCCACCAGTAGTCCTCGAGCGCAAAGAGTGCCCCTTTTGCATAAACAAGGGTTCTTCAGCCCGTGCCGTAGTGAGGAAAGCGTATCACCCGGTCCTCCGATTATCCTCTGCTGTCGGATACTACACCAGCAAGGCCGAATATGCGGATTTCCATGGTGATTGCTTCCTCAGACTAGCTGGGAGGCTGTAGAATAGGGCGAAATAACGATTGATACATACCTCGAGGGATGTGTCGACGACGTCGGTAAGATCGAGTGTAGGAGTAGAAAACAGCAGCGGGATCTCTTGGAGGTGAGAAGTTTTTGCTGTGCGGCCGCTAGGGCTGCCGATCCGTGCCCTTATCAGTCACGTGCTGCTCACCGCTTCCTCTAGTGCCTGAGGCAGAAATAACTATACCTCCACTTTGTATAGAGAAACCTGAAGAATTCGACCATTATGGTCAAACTCCCATAGACGATTGCTTCCGGGCTGTCAAAAACATTTGATTATGAGACATTAGCTTATTAACTAAGCAGGTAGGCTATCCGACTCGTGTATAGGAAAGTGATACCGCAATCCACACTTTGGTCTTCTATCACAATCGACTCGGCTTGAATGCTAGACTAGTCTGTCCCGGCAATCATTCGGTTACGCATTACTATTTGCTCTCATGTTGTTTCTTGCTTTTTACCATTCTCTATACTGGTCTTTTGGTAGGATGAGGTGATACGTGGAGCAGGGTCAAGGGATTCGTGACAGTGTTTCTCAAAGGGGGTTGGTTACATGACTTCTCGGGCATACATGATAATGCTAAAGAACCTCTGTCTAATTAAAACTGATGTGGGGGCGCAAAGATGTGGCAAAGTTGATAGTAATAGTAGAGGAGAAGATCGAAACAAAAGGCCGGAAGGGAAAGTGCAAACATGCATTGCGAGATGTCATGACAACAGGGGTCCGAAAGCAGGGGGGTCGTGCCGGACAGAGGGCCGAGGTGTTGGGGACGGGAACGGGGAGAAGGGGAAGGTGCGGGGGAAGGGGTAGGGGGTGCTCAAATGGTGTCATACATCGGTGATAGGGAGAGGGTCGTTGGGCAAGGGTGGTGATATACGGGGTGATGGAAACACTAGCCCTTGTGCGCTGATTCACTGGGCACGGCCAAGTGAATCCTAGGATTTGAGCGATCGCTAGCACAACGCGGGCTTGGATTCCCGTGTGGGGACGGGTACTCGGGGAGCAGCGACAGTGTCGTTACTTCCCTGAGAGCACCAACGGATGAGGTCGTCCTCCTAGGGGCGTGGTCTCGGAAACGAGCACCTGGGTTTGAATAGCAGCAGGTAGCAACGGCTTACGCCATAGCAGCGGCAGTAGACATCGTGATTTGACGCTTGACCTGCTCACGAGTCCACCGGGCGGTGTCGATAGTACGAGATCCGAACTCCCTGTTGGTCCTCGTCTCACGGACCAGACTGGTGACCCAGTCGTTACGGAAGTAGGCAGCAAACTCGCCGTTCGGGAAAGCATCAGCCAGATCACTAAAGCACGTTAGTCATGAGGCCGGAGTTGTAACAGTGGATGAAACCTACCCAATAACACCCATAGTTGCCCGCATCAGACCCTCGCTGCGGTTGAAATCCTGAGAAATGGTGTGGAGCAACTGGAAGATGTGGTCCACGAAAGGATGCAGTTGGGAAACTAATATCATGTTAATGGAGTGTTCGTTGGTGCATGTCTAAGAGTCACTTACCCTGGGGCTTGCCCTTGTAGGACAAGAGAATACCACCCCAAGCATCCATGATACCCTCACGCAGCGAGACAATGTATTCTTGCATCTCGGGGGTTACGTCGTTGCTGGCGGTCACAACAGAGGCCTGGTGAAGAACCTGGGCAACGACATTGAGATAGGTGTCGAACTGGGTGCCAATAGCCTGAGCAATATCACCGAATGTCTCAAGGATTGCAGGCTTCAGCACGTTGGTCGAGGACTGCGGAGGCAGTGTTAGCAATGGGTCTCTTTACATAGCAGAATTGGTTCCTTACCCTAAGGATTGTGAGAAGAGCGTTCATGAAGCCGTCGCAGTAGGGCTGCACCCGCTCGTTCAAGGCACGCGAGATGTCGCTGACCAGGCCGATGGCCATAGAGCAGAGACCCGGCTCCTCCTGGTTCTCCAGGGCCTTGTACAGGAAGGGGGCAAAGTTGTCCATGTACTTGATGAAGTCGTCCTCCAAAGCGCCCGCAATGGCACCGATCGTGGCGAATACAACATCGGGGACACTGGACTTAGGAGGAACAGTGGCCAGGATCTGAAGCAACACCTGCATGATGCGGTCGGCTTGGGGCTTGATCTCGGTCTCGAGTCGTTGAACAACAGCCTAGAAAGTCAGATACAGCGGGAGAAATGCTGGGAACAGGATAAACATACAAGTACCACGCTAGTAATGCTAGTCTGCATCTCTTCCAAGGTGATGCGGTCCTCCACGCTAACCACTTGTTGTTGCATGGGGATAGTGTGTTCCAGACGCTGAAGCATGACGTCGGAGAGGTTGCCCACAAGGGGAAGACTGTCATTAGCAGCGTTGGTCACAAAGGAGTTGAGGACCTCGTATCCAGCGGTACGGAGCTGGTTGTCTGCATCTTGTCTGAACTGAAGTTAGCGGCTGGCTTCAGAACAGCAGCCGGGGGCTTAAATACGGACTTACCTTTCAGTAAGAGCAAGAAGAGACTTGACACTGTCCTCGAAGTGCTTGGACAGAGGGTTGGTCTGGGCGCCAATGTCGCCGGCAAAACGATCGGCAACGTTCATCAGAGCCCAGCAGCAGGAGCTGGCGATCTTAGGAGAGCTTGCCAAGCCGTTGAACAGGCATGTGATGAGGGGTTGGAGGTGCACGTCAGGGTCAAGGGTTTCAGAGCAGAAGTCACAGACACGGCCGAGCGCGTAGGCGACCGAATCACGGACCTGAATGGAGCTGTCCTGCATCATGCCAACGAGGACAGGAAGAGCCTGCTTGATAAGAGGCTCCAGGACCTTGGGATCGGGGCCATCCATGATGGCGCCGAATGCTGCAACTGCAGCATCCCTGTGGCGCCAGTCTTCGTTACGGATGTTCTCCTCGACAAAGGTCAAGACAGGCTGGATCACATCACCCTGCACGCATTGAGCGTAGAGCTGCAGGGCCTGGTAAGCAGCGCGAGAGACGTTGTACTCATCGTCCGTGGCATCCTCATCCTGTCTGCACATGGCCTGCAGGAGGACGGGAACGACTTCCCGGCAGGCGACGCGGGCAAATCCAAAGAAGGGGCGGACCTCCGGGAGACCCTCTGCCTGTGCCTATTTAACTCAAAATTAGCCACAATATCCACGGCATAGCTGCTTTCAGATGATGGACAAGACTTACCGCCGCGTTATCATCCTCAATAGCGTATTCCTCCTCACAAACGGTGCACCAGAATTCAATGGCCAGCTTAGCCACATCCTCCTCTTCGCTCTTCATTCCCATGATCGACAGGCCAAACAGAGCCTTCTCCATGTAGAAGCGCATCTTATCGTAGTAGGCACCCATAATACGGTTCAGGCAACCAAATGCGCCCGCCTGCACACGCAGATCATCGGCCTGTGTCGCTTCGCACACCACCTGCATGATGTAGTTCCGCTCACCCTCGTTCTCCATGTTCGACCGCACGAAGTCAACGGAATCACTGAGGGCCTTGATGGCGGCGAATCGAATGTCCATGTTCTGCTCTTCGCGCCGAGCACCCTGAACGACGGCGGTCAGGATAGCATTGGAGTGGGCAGCCAAGCTCTCGCGTAGCTCAGCATCCTGGGACTCGCAAATGAAGCCGATGGTGACCAGGGAGGCCTGCTTCAATTGATCGGAACCACTCGCGACATTCTGGACGAGGATGTTCATCAGCTCCGGCCACTCGTTCCGAGGAAGTTCGATGGCAGCGATGGAGACGATGAATTGGGCGGCGGACTGGCCGGCGCGGCCGTCTTTCGAGTTAAGCGTCTTGAGGCCAAGCTCCTTGACCTGCGCCTTGATTTCTGGGGTAATTTGCTGTAGCCATTTTGTTTGGACCTCCTGGAGCTTTGCGAGGTCTCTGTAAGTGAAAGCGTTCTTCAAAGCGATACCGGCAGCGGTACGGATGTGGGACGCGGAGTCTTCGTTTGCAAGTTCCTGACCGAGTGTGACAAGGTACTGGGCCTAAAGTCCGGCGAAAAAGAGAGTTGATGATTAGTGTGACTAATACAAAACCAATTACCGACAACAGAACAAGTCCAGAACTTACGAAGTCAACCTCCGCCGCGTGGGCCAACTGCTGTTCAGCATGGGAACGAGCCGCCGCATCTATAGTTGCCAGCAAGATAGCCTGTTAGTGATTCTGATCCCTTAAATCTAATAAAATAACTTGTATACATGAGAGGGAAGGGAACACAAATTACCTGGCGAGAGGGTACTCTCCAAAACCTGAGTGACGTTCATGTTGCCGTATGCGGAAAACAGAACCAAGAGATCACAAGCGAAAGAGACAATAAAATAGAGAAGGTGAAGGAGCTGTCCTGACTCAAAGAGAACAAAGCAGACAGAACCAGCAGGCTATTATAAAACCGTCCACAACAAAAGAGTGGTAGTGTGGACAGAAGATGGAGATTATCTCTGGAGGATGGAGGGCAGAGGTTGTTTTTGTGGATTATGACGAGGCATGCACCAGGTCTTCCGGGGGGGTAGAGGAGGGCGAAAAGACGGCGGTGGTGCACGCCAGGACCAAGCAAAACAAGAGGAAAAGAGAAAGCCCCAGGGTCGGAAAAACAGACACGGACGGGGTGTAGGATAAAAAAGGCAAGGATGTCGAAGCTATGCGGATTGAGGAGAGGGGAGAAAGGAAGTACTGGGGGGAGGAAGTAGCAGAAGCGAGAAGGAGAGAGAAAGAGAGGGATCAATAATAATGTGAGGGCGATTCCCTTCAATTTGCAGTTCCAGCAGAAGAATGGACGAGCAACTGCGAATCGACCAGTCAGCGCCCGCCAGAGCCCTGTGAATCCTGCTTTCTTATTGGCTGAGACCCGCGGAATTCTTAGGATTAGTCATTACACGTGACCAGTCTGTGGTCGGTGACGGCTAGTCAGTGACTCGCCCAGATTCGTAGCGACCGGAGAAAAATAGAGGGCAAGGCGAACAATATGATCCCAGGAGATTTATTATAATTTTTACCGGGAGGGAACTGCATTAAGCTATTACATAGCTAGTAGATAAGTACTATCAGACAATATTACAAACTTTCCTGGAGAGGGGTGCATGCTGGCTGCAGAGAAGTGCTGTTTCTTTCCCCCTCCCTCTTCATGGTCGGTGGTCTTGTCGTCACCAGTTTCTTGCAAAATTACGGTATTTTGTAATTGAGAACTGCCAATTCTTGCCGGCAGCCTGCCTGAGGTGCCCCTCCCTCTCTTCCTCTTCGCTGGTCTTTTTGTGTTCCCGCAACCCAAATTTTTCCCCTCCACGGGTTTGCTTGTTTTGGTTTTGCTGCTTGAAGAAGTGGTCCTCGATCCACTTACTGTGACCCCGGCGACCAGCTCCATCTCTCAGGGCGTCAACCCCCCAACGCACAAATCATCGCGGCTGTTTTTCGAGGCCTTGCTTTTACTAACTATATCTGTCCACTTAAAGTGCCGAGTGGCTGTTCCATCGAGATTCTTTTGGGTTCTGTGTGTCTACCATTCGCGGGTGGTGATCGTGGATCGTCAGAAAAACTAACCGCAACTATCCTGACAGCCTGGCCTCGGTGTTAAGCTCTAAGATAAAAACCCTTTCATAGGACTCTGAACCTTTCCCCTTAACGCGATGGAAGCATTGATCGACAGATGGTCTTCATCAGCTCTGGTGTTGATCGAGGGAATCTTTTCCCAACTGATTGGAATCCTAGTGGAACCAGAAGCTGAGACATGACGTAGTGCAAATTAGCAAAGCATCCTTGGGTTGTGTGCCCTGTGCACGGAGAGATGATTGACGTGAGAATAGAGCTGATGAACGTCTCTTGTTCTTGTTATTATCATTCCTCCAGTTCCTCCATGTCTTCCTCGTCTTCCTCTTCATCCTCATCCTCCAGTTCCGCATCTAAGTCTAACACTCCATATCGCATAGCATCGCCATACAGTACGCAGATTGCCCGGCGACCGCGTCTGCCATTGACATCAACTCTAATGGGCTTTGCTTTCACTTTCGTTCCAATGAAAGTATGCTTGATAAGACCCGCAAATGATGAATCTGGAGACATAAGATCCACGGCCGTTGTTGCGGTTGTAACTGGGTCGGGCGATGTAGGCTCCTGCAGGCTATCATGATATTCCACGGGACAAAGCGCCATGGACTCGGTAAGCGTGCCAGGTCTCATTGTCGTTGCAGGCTGGAAAGGAAGGCTGAGAAGGTAAAAGGTTCCTTCTGCAACGGAAGTTAGCATATCTGGAAAGAGAAAGGCCCACGGGTGAGAAAGAAAGGCATACTATTGTTCGACCACAAGACTACGACTGTATCATCCTCAACGAACTGAACCTGTCGGACTTCTCCTTCCTGCAGATCGAGGGCCCCGGTAGATATGCGTCGAGTGGAACTGACACCATTTTCGGAGTCCAATTCAACGCGATAGAAACAGACTGGGGACATCAGTACGCCATCATAGTAGGGTCTTCATATGGCGGGATTTGCTTACGCAGGTGCTTTTTCTTGGTGGATCTAGTAGCAATGTAGACAACACATTGGTCTTTCCTCTCGGTATCCTGCATACCTCATAAGCGATGACTCTTACCACAAACCACAGCAATGTCTTACCTCGTTGCACATCACAATATCGATAACATCCTTATCACAGTCGGGATGAAGAGCCAATGGTGATCGATGAAGGATTCCCCGGCGTTGTGTTAGTGCGATCTGCCCAAAGACCCTCTCGAACTGTAGTCCCAATCGCTTCGTAAGGTCGTTCATCTTGGGTAGTTCAACCGAGTTGGCCTCCTCGGGGCTATCACTCTGCTCAAGAAGCTTTCTGAACGTGTCATAGAATGATCTGTCCTGGCCAGTTGGAGCCCATTTATCTGAGGACGTGGTAGGTGGCCTTGGCATCCCCATCATGGGAAGTTGCTGAATAAATTTCCGCAACTTGCTCTTGGTAAGAGCGCCTCGTATGTATTTCAGTGTCTGGGGGTATTCGACCATGTCTGTCTTCTCCATGAGCTCCTCTAGAGTTTGTGACATTGGTTCCGCACTTTGCATGTCTATCTCATGGCGGAGCCATCTAGAGAAACAGCTAAACTGGGTTAGTTCCTCGTTGGCATGGATTAGTATGTGATGGGCCAGAATATGAAGACAATCGAGTGTCTCCACGATCGCCGTTAGGTCTGATGTTTCCAGGCCAAGCACTTCACTCAATTTATAGAATTTTGATAGTCCAATAAGCCGGCTCAAAAGTACTTCACACCTCTCCAGAGCGGGAAGAAGGCATTCGTGGGTTAACCGTCGGACATTTTCATAGCCGCTAGAAACAGCCTTTTCCCATCTCTTGTGTCCCTGTGATATCGTCAGTACGAAAGATAAGATGCAGATTCTGCCACAAACATACCCTTTCGCCAACAATATCCACCAGGAATTCCTTTAATGGCTCGAAGCAATCCCCGGTAACAACCAGGTGATACGCAGCTGTGACAAAGTCGCAGTGGCATTTTTCCTGCAAGTCCTCATTAACACTACGCATATAGCGTGTCGGCAATTCTTGTGCGTTCTTCCATTCAAGCTCAATCTGCCTCTGCACCTGACTTATGTATCGCAGCAAATTTTGAAGCTGCGTCGTCTTGTGCGCAAGGAGAGAGAGATATCTCCCTGACCGGGTAATGAAGCGAAGATCAAGTGTGAGGAGATGGAGAGCGCTCGAGGTGGCCTCCGGCGCCAGCGCCAATAATGCGTGTGTCGAGCTGAGCGGATGAGAGGCATGACGAAGGATCTGGCAAGGGCCAGAATAACCAATAGAACCTCCGACCTGAAGAGAGCCAATCTCGAAACAGTCGAAGATGCGCAGGTGAACGGTTCCATCATCAAATCCTACTAACAATACATCCACTGCGTCGCTAGCGCTTTTTGAGATAGCATGAAATATGGCGTCAATAGACGCCCGCGAACTGAATACATCATCACTAGACGCTGTGTTAGCTGTGTCAGTCGTACAGAAGAATGGAAGGCCTACTCGCTGCCTGTTGCCGGTAATGTGCTTAGTTTTGGGAGTGAAGACTCAACATCAAGTAATGCTAACTCTCTTGGTAAGTCAGCCTTAAGCAAAGCTGCTGCTTTGGACGGATGATTGTCCGGTGACAAGAGGTCATCAACGCTGACTTGCCCGGCAGCGTCGTGCAAATGCCTCTTGGCTGCTTTGGTGTCGGTGAAATTCACTCCCCAGCCTAAGCAAGTCACCTTGACAGGCGGTGATGATTCGCCCTCGGACTGATAAGCAGGGTAATGGTGAACCGTCTTCCCGCTGTAAGCGCTGATGACCCGAATAGTGTTGTCAGCGCAAGCCACAGACAACAGATGACCTGTCAATATGGTCAGTTTCCTCCAAAAAAAGAAGATGGGACGAGCAAGGAGAGCTGCACGTCCACATGCTCAACTATGAAAGAAGTAAACAACTTACCGGTATTCTTCCACTTCAATCCTCGAATCTCGCCACCACCATCATCCTCATCGAGATAGGGATCGCCTTTGAATGAGCCGCCTAGAACCTTCTGTCCATTCAGGCGGTAGACAAAAAGCTCATCGTCCTCACTTGACAGAGCGATGAGATCCATCGTGGGACAGTAAGTCAGAATGTTTGCCTTACATTTTGCGGGTAAGGACTTCTCCCCGACAGGCGTGAGCTGTGGCTCATGGGGCGGCCGTGGATCATGATCTTCAGCCATATTAGTTGGACAGGAACTCAGTCCATTATATAACGAAAAGGAAAAGCAATCGCTGTGAATGCCTGTACTTCGTGTGTCCAGTCTTGTTGCTCAGTTGTCTTGGTTGGATTTCCCTGGCGGATGGCCGAAACTCTTGGCATGCGGGTGTTTGTCGCGTTGGTTTGGCTCGCGTTGATCCGCTCCCGATCGACTGGGGAAGAGCATCTAACAAGGTATACTGACTCATAAGAGGAAAGACTAGGATAATATGCAAGTGTAAATATTGAATTTTATTTTCTTGGCCATCATAAAAAAACGGTTTTAATCGCTAAAATGCAACATCATAATTATATACACAGTAATTCCACACACCACGTGCCCCGTCTAGCTGTATTATTACAAAAAGTGCGATTTCCGGAGTCTCGCAATTCTTCTATAGTATCATATTTCTGTACCGGAGCCAGATTCTATCATGTGCTTCAGATAGCTCAGCTCATCCATCATTTCGCGCATTGCTGCAGATTGCCCCAGTAACGAAACCCTGCTGAGGCGCTCAGGGTCCTTGCAAGGTGCAGCCAAGCCTTGAGAATGACGGGGGGTCTTGTCGCTGCTGACATCCTCGGGGAATTGCAGCGCCGAGGGGTCAGGGCTCTGTAGAAGCCCGAGACCCTTAATCGACTCATCCGCCCCGAAAAAGGCAGCGTGTCGCTTGGGGTTGCTTTCCACGCGATCTTCGTCATCAATGTAAAGACCCGGGATGTCAAGATCAGAGGGGGATAATGAAATGGAAAGTCGAGGAAGAGGGAGATCCAAGCGAGGTGAATCACCTGCGATGGAAGTGGTCGCTGATTGGGAGTTGACTGTAAGATGGGGAGTGTCTGGGTCACTCAGATCCGCAGGTATAGAAGTCTTGAGGAAATCCATTGTACCAGCGAACTCGGTCGTGGAAGGTACCTGGGCCTCTTGGGTGACAGTATTTGAACATGTCATAGACTTAGGAGACAGAACATCCGTGTCCACCGTCCACTCCGAAAAGTGACTCCGTTCACACACGGAGCTGCCAGCCACGGACTCAGTATCGGTGAAATCCGAGAAATGGCTACCGAGAGCCTCAGGGTCGAGAGCCTTCTCTTGCTCATCTATGTCTCGAAGCGCTTCATCCATGACTGATGACGGCGTATTGGGTAATGTCGGGAGCCTCTTCTCACCGGTAGTGAAGCCGGTTGGAGTAGTGGCAAGATCGAAATTCGAGGGCCCAATGGCAGTCGATAACATCGCTGGTGACTCCATGGGAAGTGATCGTCTGAATATATGCGGATGTACCTCCTGAGTTGGGTGCTTTTCGGAAGCTTCGCTTCCTGATTTGGTCTGCACGGTGAGAGGAGCTCTGTGAGAGCCGTTCTCTCTAATCTTTGAGCTGAGCGCTCGTCGGTCTTGGATGGTCAACGGCATCGAACGGCGTTCTCCAGAGTTTCCGGGAGTGCGGCGGAGGGAACCAGTCGAATGTTGAAAATCATTGCTGGGAGCAGCAGGCGGTTGGACTGCGAGGTAAGAATGCTCTTCTTGCCTCCCAAACAGGCCCTTGATCCCATGATTTGCAGCGGGCTTATTTACCCGGCAGTCATCTTCAGTGGATCCGAGATCGGGTGAAGATGTATTCCAATGTCGGAACGCGGCGCGAAGACCCCTCGATCTAGGCGGCGACACAGAGCGAGCAGCTTTGCAGCCTGCTGCTCTCGGTGCGTCCACGCCCTTCGCCTTCGGGGTTGCGCTACTGGGCTGCGATACGCCTCTGTGAGTGATAATCCCGAGAGGAGATGTGCTGAATGACCAAGCCGGAGCCGGTTGCTGCAACAAAGGAGGAGACGCGCGAAGACGAGGGAGCTTTGGCTTAGGCGGCTGTCGAGGATTCATGTACTTGTCTTCAGGGTTCATGGTTCGGTGATCCGCCTTCTGTGAGCTGGGACTCCTCACGTGCGTATGAGTGGGAAATGTATCCGGGAGAATAACTGGGACATTGAGAACATTGACCGGTTGACCCGGCAGGAGAGGACAGTGAGTTGTCATGGGCTCTGCCTCATTATAATATTCTACATCATTATCCAGCAAATACTAAACCGGGTGTCAGATCGATGTTCTGAGCGGGGGAGGCTAGGTGACAACATACATAGTACCAGTAAGTACCGCCCATCTTGAGTCCTCCAGAGCGTGCTGGCGTCATATGCGTTGGTGAGCCATCACATACGATGTTCGTAAAGGTGTGACATCCCCGCCACTGCCCTGCGCCGACGCGCTTATCTCTTTCCATGATATAGGGCTGGGAAAAGTTATCCCATGACCCCAGTAGCTTGACTGATTGAATATGGGGGTGGGTGGAGCTATGATGGATATCAGCAGCGGTCCCTCTGTGTCGTCAAGGTGCACTTACAGGAGAAACGTCATCAAAGTAGTGGAAGCCATTCTCGCATGAAGCAGATTGACAATCGTCGTATGCGTAGTGAGTATGAATTAGGGTTTGGGTTCTAGAAGAAGACCGCAATTGAAGCGAGGTCCGTGATAAAAGCAGCGCGTATTATACAGTGGAAGGAGAGACGATGAACACTGTCCAAGGCCAGCCGGGACAGAGTCAAAATGCGCAAAACTGAAGGAGTGTTCTAAAAGCCTAGTCGGGCTGTGCTTCACATAAGGCTCGAGCCGTGCAGTTCAAAGGATTGCGCCTGGCCGCGCGACTGAGAGGCAATATAAGAATCGAGAAGAGGCTCAGGAAGCGCCGTGCCCTAACAATCCAGGGGGCGTACTGACACCAACAGTGTGCAACGATTGTTGGAGATCACTGTATCATTAGCCGCGGGGATGCGGAAGTTAAAATTGGAAGTTTGGTCGGGAGATTGCAACGTTCAATCACGGCCAATGATGCAGGATGATGGAGGGTAGGAAGCGCCGACAAGGCGGAGACTGAGCCCAAGGACGATGATGAGAGGCAGAGCAGAAATTGCGGCGCTTGCTGCAGGAGTCGGACGTTTTGAGCCAGACTTCTTAAAAGATTTCACACGTGGGCCAGACAAGTCGGTGACAGCCAGGCTGAACCGGCTTCAGGGCACGCAGACGGCCGGAGCAGATCCAATCGTAGTATGATAGTCACCAAATAGACTCGATGCACAGTGCGTGGACTTGCGGTGGAAATTTAGCAGCTGAATCGATCGTTCGCACGGCGCGCTTATCAAAGATCCACTGGACAGGGCAATAACCACGTCACAAAGGGGATCGCCCCTGCAAGCGAGGATGGATGAGGAGAAGGTTTTCATGGCAACCAGAGGAGGGACGGCCGGTTTAGGGGGAAAAAAGGCACGATGAGATCCGAGCATGGTTCCTGGGAGATACGATCCACCGGCCAAAGACTGGGAAAGATGCTGATCACTCCTGGCGAACCAGCGTACACAGGAGCCCATGGGACCACTACTGCCGTCTAGTCGGAACTTAGTTGGTGGAGACCGAAAGAAGCCCGAGTGATTAATATCGATGGATCACAAAAGCAGCCAGCCACGAAACCGATCCGGTGGTTGACTCGGTTGACTCGAGCGTTGCTTGGAGACGCCGGCGAGTGGAAATTCCACGAAGGACCCGCGCTGTATTACCCCTTTGGGTTGCGGTGGCTGGTGCTTGAACCTAACCGTACCGTATTGAACCTTGCTTCGCCACCTGAGGCTGGTGAGTTTCTCCGTGTCAAAAGTAAAAGAATCCTTCCTGATACCTTGCAAGGCAACAGGGGAAAAAGACTATTTCCAGTGCCAAGGCCTGGCCCTGTACTCTCTCACCATGTCAAGTCCAATGTTTGATTCAGTCGTGAAGAGATCTCTTATTCCATTGTTGATGGATGAAAACAGACAGTCGACTCTGTCGACTCTTGAGGAGAACCAGTACATTACGCATACACGCCGATCTCATTTCTCCACGCCACGTGAGAGACCCGCAGGTGCTCGAAGAAAAGAAGCAATCTTACCCAATGATACGATACCGTGCCTGGCAGCCTGAGGGCTGAACTTGATTGCCTGCCTGCCTGTCGCTTCTCCTGTTGCTTGCAGCCGCCAAACCATTGTTGCTGCAGTTCTCCTGCATCTCCCCCAGTTTCATTGTCTCCTGTTGTCCCCATTGTCCTGACGACCAGCCGGATTACAACACATCGACAACAACAACAACATGAGGGAACCGCCGGTCAACCCGAAAGTGATTTGTCAATTTCCATCTCCTCCCGACCCAGTGTTTTCCCATCGACTAACGGAACTAGCACTAGGACAGGGGTCTAGGACAAGACCGGTGATCCATCCTCACGGACCAGCGCGTCTACGCGCCCAGGGGACTGCCCTGTTCAGCCAATCAATTTCCCTGTCGCTGATTCATTTAGATAAAGTCCCAATGGCCTGCTCAGCGCCTCTGGCTGCATCCCAGCGACCAGTCAGTATCCGTCCTTTAACTTCCCGGCTGCCGAGCAACTAGGATCGATCGGCCTCCCACATAATTCAAGGTTTGGAGGGCAGCAAATAGTCGAAGGCTAATGACAGTAAACCATTTCCTCTAGCCTCCAGCATCTTTGACAGATGGCTTACCTCTTGATGTGATATGACTGACCAATCGGTTACCCCTACTTAACTCAGTCGTGAACAGTTCAATTTAGCGGGACTACCCGGGGAGCCACAGCTACTTTAGGCTTCGTAGTTCACAGATACAGGTAAAGCGCCAATCATTACCTTCTACGCACCATTGAAAAAAAAGCAAAAAGAGCCGAGAGCAACCGATTTGATTCTCACTATCAGAGAAAGATTGACCAGTCACAAAAACCTATTCTAATACGGGCTCTGGTCTCGGGGAAGTCGGCGGCAACACGGCGCTTGCTGCAACGCGTTTCATACCAACCCCTGCCGCTGTTACACAAACGACAGGGTCGGGAAGATGAAGGATAGAGTCTAGACTCAAGCCATGGCCAACCCCTAAAAGGCCGAAGAAAAGCAAAGCTATGAAGGCAACGAATGTGTGGATGATAAGGGACAAGCGCACGAGAAGACCAGAGCCGATCTTCCTCCTCAGTAGTGAAACGACGCTTCGCGTTTATCATACTTTCTGGACACGGCGCCAAGTACGCACTTTAGAATGCCATCGGCACTCAGCGTCTGCCCCTGATCACCCCTCCACGGCACAGTATCCACAATATCACGGAGACGGTCCTTTTTCTGCCTCTCGGCCAGATTGTCATCCAGCTCCTGCAAATACGCCCTTGCCCGGGCATCATTTCCGATCTGAAAGAACTGTATCCCGATTTGCCAAGGCACCGCTTGATAGTCCTTATCGTCCAGCTTTTGAGCAACTCCTGCAATGACACTCTCCGCATCGTCTGTAAACTCTCCGTCCGTAATCGCAATGATGTTTAATGGTTTCATGAGTTGGGCCGAATCACACGATCCATCGCTCCTTGAAATTGCTTTCTGCAGGTTTCGCATGTACGGAGTGAGGATATCGTTAAGTCGTCGGCCAAAAGGCGTCGGGCCGTTTGGATACACACTCCCAAAGATCTCACGAACATCTTCTGCTGTTTTTATATTCATATACCCACCCTTCACCTTATGAGCTCCTTCGCGGTGGTGGTTGAGAAAATAGACGTCGATTCCATCCTGATCATACTGCGTACAAATGGGTGCGATAGCAGCAATAGCATTTTCGGCCTCCTTCCAGCGGTTACCCATCAACATGCTCGAACTATCATCAACGATGAAGATCGTATCAAAATCTCGCAGGAAAGAGTATGGAGAATCACTGCTCCCCGAGATAATAGAAGGAGCAGGAGCAGGGGTTTGCGATTCATACGGCGGAGGGGCCCAGGGATCAGGAGCGTGACTGCTATTCATGGCTGCTTTTCCAGTTGACCGGGACACTGGACTTCTAGATGCAGAGCCGGAGAAGTTGGAACGATGCCTGCTCTGTCGAGAATGAGAGTGGCCCATATTTGATGCTTCTTGATCAGTATGAGCTTGATCTGGGTACTGATACTGCTCTTGATCCTGGTGCTGGTCCTGACCTTGACTCTGGCGACGTCGTAGCGAATTTCCTCTGATAAGATTTGATAAAGAGTCGATACTCTTCCGCATAAAGGGTCCAGGCATGTTCATAAATGGTTGGTGGCAGGAGCGGAAGAAAGGCAGGTGTGACCGAGTAGAAGATGACACAATACCGTTCCAGCAGGCAAGTAGGTAAGGCTGATGTCAGTGGGTGGAATATTCACTGTGCCAGTCACCAGTAACTGAACAATAAATGAGCACTGTACTGAGTAAGATCCCACCAAGATGGCAACTACTACCTACGCCAGCACCAGAACCAACATATATATACTAACCCCAAAGCACAGTCTCTGGTCCAAGGCAGATTCAGGTGAATTTATTTGAATCGGAACTTCCCATTGTATCCTACGTAACTACATACTTCAATACGATATCAGTTCCATAGTCATGATAATAGTACCTACATCACCCTAAACAGATAAAAAGCATGCATACGAGCATCATACATCATACACGGAACTAAGCGCGCATTCATCGCACAAGGCAGAAAACCAAGAGAGCCTAAGGCAGACAAGAAAAGTCTTATGTACGACTTTTCAAGGTTTGCTCCGCCATTAATTTCCACAGTCAGTGAGTACTTATGTGGATGTGCCACCCACGATATTAGTGTTTCTCCCGTGACACTGCCCCAATATGTAAGGAGTATACCTACCCACCTATATTCCACAGATGAAGGATTCTGCATGCGCAAGAGTAATCTGACTAATACCTAGTCTAGCTGATAAATGCTTCAAGGCCTAGCCTTACAAGGATAACAGTCTTCATACTAGCTAGTAGCGGAGCAGGTATCCTGCATGCATGCATGCATGTACTGTATGCAGGCTTGAGGCGTGGTACCGGCACAGGGCAAATCGGAGTTACTGGAAGGATTGTTAGAGGAGATGGGGGGCTGTGTAAATAATGAACCCCTCCTTGCGCTTGGTTTGGTAATTTTATTTGTAGGGAAGTTCGAAAATTGAATGGAAGGTTCCGTGCACAGCCTTTCGGGTGTTGAGTGGTTGCGGGGGAGGGGCTTAGTTGTACTACGGCAATGTACTACTACTTAGTAGTAAGGCTTAGACTGAGCCCGTTGTTGTCATGGACACAGCCCCCATCGGGCACTGTGGACCGTGTATGTTGACAGGCTGGGAACGGTACATCGATAGAGGTGAGCTGATAGTATTTGTTTGTGGATGAAAATGAAATATGGTAGGTAATTATGTAGCAACTATGAAATCGAGGGTTGAATTGACAGTGGCAGTAGGTTTGATGTATACATTATCTCGGTTTGTGACTACTATGTAGATCCTGTCTCATGTGAGAGTGTTCCAGAAAAAAGTACTATATACTAGTGGGAATTAGTGTCAGCCCACATACACTGTATCAACGCTATCAGACGAATTAATCGCGACTATTTACACGTGGCCTGCCACTTTGTGGGTAATGTCGCAGACACTCACTCCACCTGCGTGGTATATGTACCCAGCGAGGCTCCCGTCCAGTGTTTGCCACTGTTATCGGTGCTGAAATTGGCTCCAGTCGAGCCGATTGAAAGGCAATCGTCCTCCGGGAGGGCCAGCGTATCAAAGACACCATCTTCGGTCATCAGGAGTTCAATCAAAGCCAGCGCCTGATCAATCCCCATGCCATGTCCGATCAGCTGGAGACAGTCAAGCACCCAGCGGCGTAATGGGTGATTCAGCCCTCTCGTTGCGGCTGCCATTGCCAGCGGCCAGAGGAGCACCAGACCGCGAACGAAGCCTTGCTGTGAGGGTATCTCATAACGAGAACTCATTTCCGCTTGTCCGGTCGCGAGCTTGAAGACACTATCAGTAAAATAATAAGGCACACTAGCGCAGACGTCACTGGCGAGCTGTCGGGCAGTATTGCGAATCTGAGAGGTATGGGTGACAAGATCGGCAGGGAGGGGTGAGCCGGCGTTTAGTTCCCGGATACATGTCAGGATGAGATCGCTGATGATGATCCGTGCGACTCGGTATTGGTTCCACGAGTTGCAGATCCAGAAGTCAGTGTACACGTGATAGATGTTGTTATAAGGCTTGGGACCCCAGTTGAGAGTAGGCCAGGGATCTTGAATGGTGGCATATGGGAAGTTGTCTGGCAAAGATGTAAGCCATGACATCAACTCAGCCTCGACGGCGTATGCAGATTCAAGCATCTTTTTCCGGTCGGTTATAATTTTTTCCTTGATGTCAGCTCGCAGGTTGGCTAGCCGGCCCATTATGTTAAGCAAGCGGTCACCATAGGCCACTGTATGCGGTCGTAGAAACATGGCAACTTTGACACAGTGAAGAACTGAGTCGGGCACGTGCGCCTCCCTTTGGAGACAGCTTATAATCTTTGAAATCGTAAGTTAGTCGCTCCAGGTAAGGAGTCAAGCAAACTCGCTGAACCTACAATCTGATATCGCAGCTGCAAAAAGAGCTGCAGCCCATCTGGGTCCTGAAGCTGCTCTACACCTCGCAGCTCTAGCAGCGCTGCAGCGCCAGTTATGTGATTCGTCCAATTAGTAATAAAGCGAGAACCTCTACTAGTGATAACCTGGGAGACGTTAGTTTTGGGGTCACCAAACAAGCAGAATGACTCACTTCGAAGATAGCCAACATAAGCACAGCGGCAAGCGTTGCATTGTTCTTAGCTTGCTGTTGATCTGCAACGGCCGTGGTAAGGAGCTGTAAAGCATTTCCGTACTCCTTCTCCGCGGCTATTTTCATCGGTTCGGATTTCCTGATACGCGAGATCATTGCTATACCAACAGAAGCCAAGCTAGTCATCAGGGCGTTGTGGCTAGTTGCCGATGCCCTGCGCAAGATATCAGGGTTTGCTTCAATCTTCGACCAGAATGATCCAATCCAAGCATTCTGCCGAAGGAAATAAGAAATAGCTTCATTTTTTGTCGGTTGGTACGATGGCTGCAATACCAGGGGCTGTTGTATGGCGTGCTGCTGGACAAATTGTGGGGATAGATACTCAGGACCGTCGAACTCAAACGGTTCCAGATCACCGGTCGTTGAAGATGGATTACTGTCTGCCGAGGATAACACTGGGCCTGGACTAGGACTGGCAGTTACTATGCCACTGCCACTAGGGGAAGAAGCTGGGGCGCTACTATTACTACTACTAGTAGTAGTAGTATTAGTAGTACTGCCAGGACTGGTCTTTCTAGAAGACTTGGCTCTGCGCGCCGTTGTCCCGGTCCGCGCCTTCCGGATAACCTGCTGGCTCTCATCCCGAAACATCAAGGATAGTTGGTCGCGGTATCCGGGGCAGACCCGGTTGCCCTTGGCGCATTGTGAACAGGTTGGACGGGTTTGGTCGCACCGGATTTTGCGAGACCGGCATTCGCCGCAGCCCTTGCTTGGTTTGCCGCAGAAAACCATGTCTAATGGTAGACGAGCGGGGCGTGCACGGAATGCAATGTGGCGCTATGGACTAATCGGACTAAATGCAGCGTGAGTATTCATTCTGACCTGCCCAGATTTAGAGGATAGCGGGGGCCAGTTGACATGCAGCTGAATCGGGTAACCAGTGCGAAGCTCAGGGGATGGGGAGGTTGGGGTTTCAACCTTTGTACAGTAGACAGACACTGGTACTGGTGTCACATCGGATACAGGACTATCTGATGATCTTCATGTCTGGAATTCTCCGACGAGGAGCGAGGAATATGAAAGAAGTGAGGAACATCGAGGCGCTGAGGCTGGTCGCTGTTGGTCGAGATGCCTGAGGCGCAGCGATCCCCGCGTCCACGTGCATCTCACCCCTAACCCGATCGAGTATACCTTGCGATGGTCGCGTTGCTTAGCATTTGACTTTAAGTCCTTTCTAATCATTGTCATTGGATGGGCTTGCTATCCCATGCTTATACACATTTTTGATCTCTAAACCTGCTGCTTACTCCTACGTCACTCAGGCGGTGCTTATGTTCCAGCTAAGTTGGTGCTAAGCTGACTAGGCCTCTGGAGGCACACATATTCCACTTGTCAAAAAGTAAGCATGCAGTCATCATATAAACAGATATGTGGTGTATATACAGTATAGACTTTTCACATCATTACTATTACCAATAGGTGATCCCTGGCCATCAGGAATCAGAGAGCTGGTACTCCTTTGGAATCACAGGCCACTCGTCCACACCATCCAACAACGCCAATGCCATGCCGCCACTTAAATGCACCTGAATGTGGCAATGCAGCAGCCATGCACCAGGGTTTACAACATGGTACCTAATTGCCAGCCACGTGTCTTCGGTCGCTGCGGCCGGAGTGATGAAGGTATCCCGAATCTGAGGGGTCTTAAGGTTGAAATTCTCCGGAATATATTGCATCGCTTCAGCCACAGAGGAGTAATTCCACGCACCATTGCCTTGACCGATTACATAAAATTTATTGCTGTGCTTGTGAATTGGGTGAGGAGGCTGGATCTGACCGTTCACATGGAAGATCAAGTCGACCCAGGTGCCATTGAGCGTCTTGACCGTGAGATCAGGTTTGGCGGTAGACGGGTAAAATAGCAAAGGCGATGCGGCCTCCAGAGAAAGCGGGAAACTGGAGTTGCCCTCAGTCCACCGGTAGGAAGCATTGTAGTGACCAATTCTCAGGATATGGGTCGCATCAACCTTTGAAGAGGGTGTCTCTGCAGGGAATGGCATGATCGTAGTCTCGTTCAACAGGGTGTAGTTGGAAGAAACAAGTGATCCGTGGATGTCGATTGAGGGCACCGAAGAGCCCTTCTGGGTCTTGATCGGTGTGTTGTATGTCAGGACCGCAGTCGCGTTGATGACTTGGTTGATGCCCGAGTTCGCCGCACGAACCGTATAATTACCGGCCGGCTTGTCCAATTTGACCAAAACGGAGTAGCGGTTTCCGTTGGCTACAGTAACCGCGTCCACCAAAGTAGGCTCAATGTACCGTCCGTCGATAGCATAGACATACATCGGGTGCTCGTCAATGGAAAAGGTCAACATCGACACTCCGGCCGCGCTGATCAAGTCATAACTGACATATGTGGTAGACGGATCAACTAGGAGACGCTCAGTGCCACCATTACCAGGACGGCAGCCATAAAACATAGAAGGTGGCATAGCGCTGTAGTTGTGAGAAAATATGCCTTGAGCAGATACTAGCGTTGGCGGAAGGCATCTAGATAACTCTGTTAGACCCCGTTTTACATCTTAGGTGTGTCACACATACCCGGTGTCAGTGAGGCTTAGGTTGCCTATGAGCTGCTTCTGCTCAGCGCTGGCCAGCTCATTGAAGGCTTGCTGACCCGGACAACTGATCGATCCTTTGCCATTGATAAGGACCGCATTGATACATATTGCGTCTAGTCCTGTCGCTTCCTCCGCACTCCACAGCTCCTCCGAGGTCAAGAATCGCCAGTCGGACAGCATTATAGGTTTAGTCCTCCGCTCAGCTGCTTGCATGGCTTGGAGCTCGCTTGTGTTGTTCGTGATTAGACGGAATGGTTTCTCCACTGATTCGCTTGGAAGGATGTATATCGCGCCATAGAGGCCGTCACAAATCTGACCTCTGGTGTGGGCATGATAGAAATAGCTTCCATAATTCGTCGCCCGCCATTTGTAGAGGAAGCTGTCGCCAGGCGCGATAGGTCTTTGCGATAAACCAGGAACGCCGTCGGACCAAGGAGTGTCAAGCTGCTCGATACCTTGAAGGGGTCAGTCTGGATTATTGCACATAATAAGTAGGACTTACCATGAAAGTGAACTGTGGTATTTGTAGGAAGGTGATTGGTCACCAGAAACTCGACATCATCCCCTTGCCGCAACTGCAATACTGGTCCGGGAAATTGGCCGTTCATGAGAATCATCTTGCGAGGGATACCTGCCGGTGCCCAGTCCTCCCAGGTCAGGGTGACATTGAAGCGCACTGTGTTACCGGTGGCACGCACGTGGAGATTGCTGCCATTGGCCCATGAGAGCAGAGAGAAGACTGATGCCAATAAGGCCAGTCCGAATTGAAAGGGATACATTCCAAGCAATGGAGGCAGAATTGAAAATGGTGGCAGCCGCAACCAGAAAATCCAACACCGAATGGTGAGCCAAGTGGCTCACGCTGCCTTATATGTCCCATTTCATCGAAAGGGGCATCAAAGAAGCAGTTTAGTTTGCGGCTTTCGAGGCCTAATTGCCATGCCTTGATTTTCAATTCATGTTCGTGAACGGGTCTGTGGCTTCTTTAGCATATTCTGGCGAAAAGTTCCGACAAATTGGAAGGCCTGCAGGTGTTGCTTTCATGACTCAATAAGCTCACATAGCTGGCGGGCTGAGGGAAAACCTTCGATGAAGCTGATCGGGACTACTCCGTACAAAGAGATTCCACGGCTCTCATTGGGTGAGCTTAGTTCTGTGGGGCTTTGAGCGTCGAGCAATTACCCTTGCTGGACCAGAACTGCTGCTCAGACCCACTGAGTTATTGCAATGATCGTCGTCGATGGTGAACTGGCCCCTCGCAGGACCTGTAATAATGTGCAGAACTGTGTGTGGATAGAATTATTAACGAAGGGGCTGTTCGTGACTGAGCTATCGGGCCGCTATCCGAATTCCAGAACACGGGCTTTGATCGGACATGTTTGATTCATGCGGGAGAGCCTGAATCTGCTGTCTTAGCATGACTCGCTCAACAACCGAGAGTTCTCCGGTTTGCTTTTCTTCACACGGCTACCTGCAGATCAGGCCAGCGTGCAAATCATGTCAAAACCAGGATCGCTGTAGCCAGTCACTTAGAAGCGTCTGTCATCTGAAAGCTCTGATTTGTGGCACTGATTAGTGGAAACGCCCATCTTCTCATCGCGACGGGCATTTGCACTATCATTAGGGGTGAGAAGCAGACGTGGAAAGCAAATATCCCGATGGGGAAAGCTCTTCGGATTTTTCAGGCATCCCGTGGGAGTGTCAGCTGTGCATTGGCATCAACAATCACTATTGGACATCATGCATGCATTCCCGATAACCGAGCAGAAAGTCAATAACACCCGAGGGTCTGAGCCACCGCCAACTTTGAATTCTAGGCTACACAACAGCAACATTCCACCTGCCATGCCATGTTTTTTTACTGCGCGATAAACCCCCTATAACTGTCAGCATTAAGTCCTCCAGCAAAACCTTCAAGAAATCGACCTACCCATCCACCACCAACGCAGACCCATACATATAGCTACTCATCGGCGACAGCATGAACGTAATCGTATCCGCAATTTCCTCTACATCCGCCAATCTTCCCACCGGGACTCTCAACACTTCTTTCCGCATCACCTCATCAGCCATCTGATCGATCATCGGTGTCTGAACATAACCAGGACAGATAGCATTGATCCGAATTCCCAAAGGCGCGTAGACAATCGCATCAGCCTTGCTCATCCCAACCACACCATGTTTTGCAGCCGTATAAGAAACGAGGGGTATATTGGCCGGCGTCGCAACAAGACCATAAGCAGATGCCACGTTGACAATGACACCTCGTGATGAGCGAGGACTGTAGAACAAGCAAGTGCACACATCACACATTAGCACTGACCGAACTCCATCATCATCACCATCTCAGAATATTAAATAGAAAAAAGCCTCACCTATCATCCCTCTTCTCCTGTCCCATCATAACCTTAATCTCCTCCCGACTGGACATCCACACCCCATGCAAATTCACCCCTAACGTCTTCTCCCAATCTGCAATCTCATGGTCCCCCGAATACGCCATTGACCCAGCAATCCCAGCACTATTGACCGCATAATCAATTCTCTCAAATTGCTGAACCGTCTCTGACACAGCCTTGTGGATAGAGACCGGATCGGTCACGTCAATGTTCAGCGGCAGCACTCTCACTCCACTGAAGCGGGCCTCAATATCCTGGGCGGTATCCTGTGCCGCGGCGAAGTTGATATCAGCGATAGCGAGTTGGCTGACACCGTGTCGGGCGAGGGCATAGGCTGTGGCTTTTCCGATGCCTGTGTAGAATATCAGTCAGTTTGCTTGAGGGGTAAAGTGGGATAGGTGATACAGACCTGATGCGGCACCGGTGATGAAGGCGACTCCCTGGAGCATCATCGTTGGGATTGATACACTATTGGAATGAGATGAATGAAAGATGCCTAAGCGATAAGCTGATTCTACTGGATTCTGAAATTTATCGAAAGATAAAGTGGTAATGCTGGAAGGCCTGCAAAAGAGACCTTCAGCTTGATCCGGGGGTATCACGAGTCAGCCCGTGTGACTATCGCCGGGATTTCTATTATTGGCTGTCTACATAAGTTGCAGGGATAGAACCGGTACTGTGGCTATAGTTCCGGCCTGATAAGATAGATGTGCTGAATGGTAGCGGCAATACTCAAGTAATTATTGGACAAGCAAGCTTACTTCTCTAGGGAATCAAGTCGAACTAGCAAGGTTTACAGATCCTCATTCCTAAGGGGGCAAATATAGCCGGAGGTACGTATCGAATTATCTGTCAAGTCTGATGTCATGGTCCAGAATTAGAGCGGGTGTAATAATCTCATTAGCATTCCGATTAGCTGATATCTATCTAGCAGAGATGAAGCTATGAGGATCCCACGTAAGCCTCGAGAGCACCCAGTCAGTTGAGCTTCTACCGAAGACGAACCACAGAAAACAGCAGGTAAGAGAGACCCAATTCAGAGATTCAGCTGTCCATGTTGCTCCAATAATCTTGAAGACTGTCTCGAAAGGGAAAGCTATGTGAGAGTGAACATAGCAAAGCAACTAGTCCTCGGCATCTCCAAAAATCAATAACAACGCAGTGCATTATCCGGAGAAGATCGCCAAAGTCTCACCGTCCTCGCATCATGTGTTGACTGGTGCTACTGACAATGAACACGGGATTGGCATTTGGGACCAAACGCTGGGCCTCATTCATTTGGAGTTTCGATTTCGGGACGAACTCAGGTGCATCTCCTCGAAGAGTAGAGCTTGGGTAGCCTTTTCTGGTGTTCCCGCTCGCCCCTGCTTCGAGACCCGGGAATCTCTCCCCTTCTCTTAGGATTCCGGGCTGCGCTGGTCCAATAGCCATAGGTCCAGTACCAGGCAAAGCGTAGGGTCCAAACGGCGTAGGCGACATGGTGTACATCGGTGACAAAGCACGAGACTCGGGGCTGAATTGAGGTCCATTAGAAGCTAGACCAGGTGCTTCATACATCTGGAGAAAGCGCTTGTCAAAAGCTTTTTCTACATGACTATTCGAGCTCGAGGTTACTCACCGGCTGAGGGCCAGGGAAACGGTACTGTTCCATTTGCAGTCTGTTCCAATTCTCCATTTCCTTCTGCTGGTGATCCATTCGCATGGGATGATGGTTTGCCTGTTGCAAGTTCGGGCAGAAAGTGTTGTGCACAGGTGCACTAGAAACAATAAAGGGCCCAGGACGAAAGCTGTTCTGACGCATAGTGGACGGATCACAATACAAGCTTGGCTGGCAGGGCTCCTCCTGTTGTCTGCGGTATCCCCGTCTTTTGCTGTTCTGATTGGCCATGATGGCTTCGATATGACCCTGGTATCAGGAGAAAGTCAGCATCTCAGGCATGTGTAACTTATCACGAGGGCGCCTCAACAAAAGAATAAGTGGGCACTGAAGCTGTTTTGCGAAGCTCAAGGTCGAGCTTGGGGCTGAGGGGATAGAACATGGTGTAAGTGATAGTGAGAAGACGTGGATATCGCTAGGATGTAGAACAATGGAAGGAACGAAAGATGGTGAAGGTCAAGATAGTCGACCCGATACTGTTAAGGGAGCTGAACAGACTCACCTAGTAGTTCACTTGAGCTTACCAGCGTCAAGTCAGACTTGGGGGCGTACGTAGGGAAGGAACCTGGTTAGGGTGTCAGTGTAACAAAGGAGAGTGCGATGCTTCGTTGCGGTAGAGAAAGAAGCGAAAGAGAAAGAGCTTGTCTGCACCAGCTGAGTGTAGCGAGTCACTCTCATTCATTCATTTATTCATTCACCATGTGAACACAGGCCTGAGGCGCCTACTTCTCGCTTGTGTTGGTCGCGCCGCGGTGAAGTTCTTCTTCAGATCGCACACTGCCTTTGTTTCTACAATTCCGTCCACTACGCCTTAGCCTGGCCGGCAGGCGCCGGTCAGGCTGGGTGTCATGCACAAAATCATCATATCGCATTAGGTATGTTCCTCATCGACTTTCTGAATCCCATCGGCTCACTTTTCTAGCTCTCGGTGTTCTCAGTGACAAATCCGTTCTCTCAGGGACCAAGTCTGTCATTTCTTGTGCCCAGATAATGAACAGTAGTAGAGAGGACAAGAACCAGAACCAGGACTGGAAGACCAAGGAGATGTGAGAACGCTACGAATGAATACCAAGATCACAGCAATTTGGAAGGTTATCTGTATCTCTCTGACTTAGTCTCATTCTCTCCTTTTGATGACTTTCTTCCTTCTCTGCCCACCACGACAAGGTGTGGGACAGCAACAACAGAATAAGGGAAGATACAGAATCACGGATTGTTGGTAAGTATATAGAAAGGACCTTCACATAGGTTCACTCAGTTCACACACTGATTGGCAGAAAGCAGAATTTAATCTACGACTCCTCCATCATAGCTCGAAGCTTGGCCTCGATCGACTCCCTCTCCATCATCTTCTGGTTGAGGAACTTAGAAGTATCCTCAACAATCTCTCCCAGCCGCTGGTAGTCGACGAGCAGCTTCTGCACTTCAAGAGCCTTCTATTTACATTATCAGTCATCTGTACAAGATTGAACAGTGGTATAAAGACTTACTTTCAAGTACTGGTCTCTTTGTACACTTGTCTCTGCTTCTCGGACTTTTCTGCAGACGGCACCACTGAGTGCATCGAACTGTGCGCAGGTCCCAACCAGACCATTGGCGGATGGTCCGGTCTGCACTCCTGCATCACTAGTTGCGTTGCTCTCTGGTCTGCGAAGTTCTGTAGAGCGAGACAGAACAAGTCGAGGCATGGTCATGGTTTCGTGATGCCCGGTCATGGCATTCTTACTGCGTGTGGCGAAAGCTGCTGGCTGAGCATGGCGGCTTGGTGAGTCCGGAGTGGCGGGCTCCATTGGTGTCGACACTGTCTGCTGAAGATATGCGGGTGTGTCTTGGTTTGGGCTAAGCTCGATGTACTTTCTCCCAAGTTGCTGCAACAATGAGGGAGTAGGCACAGCTGTTGGCGTTGATATAGCTCCAAGCGAAGTCATTGGGTTGCCTGCGTTCTTCCTGGACTTCCTGCCCTTGAAAACCGTCTTGCCGGCACCACTGCCGCTGCTTCGCAATTTCGATTTGTCAGTTGGGCCCCTACGACTCTTTTCGGCGCCCCGGGTCTTCTGCAACATGCCACGGATGCTAAAGGCGGTCGGGGCACTTGTATTTGAAGTTCTGTCTCCGTCGTGGGAGACGGGGGGGAAGATCTCATCGAAAGTGGTAGGAGGTCCGTGACTATTGTTTTCGGCTGGGTGACCACGCAATGGCTGGAGAGAGAATGATCGTGGTGGATGCCTTCCGGAAGCTTTGCCATCCTCCGTGGCCTCTGGCATTGAATTATTGCGAGATATCGAGGCACGGGGAGGGCTGACGGGCTCCGACAAGGTGATAGTCAACTCTCCTGCTCTCACAAGTGTGGTCGTTGGAGTGTGTGTTCCAGCGCCGGGAGCAGGTAGTCTTTCGATGTATTGTTGGCGTGGCATGAGTGGCGGCTCATGGCTTGCACGCGTTTCTTGTGGCGAATACAACTCGACTCCTGCGCCAACGTTCTGAGTGTATCCTCTGGGGATACGAATCGGGTGGACCGGATGGGAGTGCAAGGCGGTATACTTGTTCACCCCCGCGTCTCGCCAGAAAGTGGAATCATCTATTCGTGGGTTAGCATGAGTGCTGCAATATCCGACAGCATGTACTTACTAGGGTTATACGGCGATGGATAAGAGATCGCCTGAACCGGGTTGAAGTAAGGGTAACCACTCCGTGTGGCTCCTAATAAGTAATTAGCACAGAGTAGCAAGAATGTGAAAACACCTTTGTGTTAAGACATCTCGAACTTTGATGCGTAGCAATCATAAGCTCAGGCACCACTATACCAGGCTTACAACTACCGACACCATGTCCCGTCGTAAGATGCTTCCAACAGACACTGCATCCGACTTTCAAATAACACCAAGACAAAAGATGTTTCTTACCTCTAGTATCCTGACGACCACCTTCACGACCCTGATTTCCAGTGTTCTCGGTAGGAGAGGTAACATCCTCAAGGGGAGTACTAAAAGAAATCTTCTTCGAGATGAAAGACATGATTAAGGGACGAGATGTTAAGTCTATCAGACACAGGTTAAGGTCAAGATCAAGAAAGATACGAGAAGAGAAGTATGCGGTTTCAGAACACGTAACGGTGTCTGTAGGATAGAAAGCTGATAAACTCAGTGGGAGTATCTCAACCGTTTTGAACACGCGGAAGTGGTGAAACGAGCAAGTATGCTGATGTTCTCGATAAAAGGAGGAGAAGAAGAGGTGGATGTAATCTCAAAAACGTAACTCTGTGTCCATACAAAACGAAGCTGGGTACCTCAGCGAGAGTATCTCTGCTGCCTTGGAGATCAGAAGAAGATGGGCAGGAGTAAGAAGCAACTATGATGATGTCGTTCTTGAGAAGGGATGTAGGCGAGATGTGTTTGTAGATGAGAGAAAATAACAGGAGCAGCAGAGTATGAACGCGATTTCCAGCGTGTTGTAGGGGAAACAGGAAGTGTAGAGAGATATTATTGTGTTCAAGTCTCGAGAAAACAAGGCACGGCACGAGAAATAGAAAGAGAAGACTAGACACGATATGATCTTGATCTTCCAAAGCAAGCAAGCAGACGGAAGAGGTAAACGAACGTGCTTCTCAACAAGCACAGGGAAACCGATAGATGCAAGACGAAGAAATGGAAGCTATTGCAGATGCCTGAGAAACGAAAGTAGTCGGACTGAAGAGAGTGAGGGACGGAAGTGAGTGTTGTCTGGGCAAGAGGAATCGATTAAAAAGACCTTTCCTGCTCAGTTTGGTCAATCAGCAAACGAAAGCTGTGTTTCCCTGCAAAGAGACGAGACAAGCGAGCGTAAGATTGACGGCAAGAAACAAGCATCGAGAGGGCTGTCCGTAGCATTCACCGGGAGGGTATGGTGTGCTGCCGTAATGGTCTCTGATACCAGGTGACTAGACCCAGTCTGGCTTCTCAGGTTGCATGTATATGCTCCTGGCAGGCTATCAAGACCAGAAAGATCCACAAGGTAGAGAGATTTCAGACTGCACTTGCATCCACTCATATACTCAGTGGCCATAGACAATATTCCTTTGACTAACCATGGGAGTCAGAACTTGACAGCGTATGTTCTGCAAAACGGAGCTGTCTGGACATCCTAGGTTGGCTAACTCGATATCTGTTTGCCTCCAGCGCCATTCGCGATGGTCGTGCCTCTGTGGCAGGAAGCCTGTACCAGAACTCAGCCAATTCCTTTCATTGACATTAGAGACCGAGGGTCCCATTTTCTATGCCATAAGCTTCCAAGCTTGTTGTCTTCTAGAGTGCTCCCGGGCAAGATACAATTGACTGACAATAGCTTCCGTCTCAGGGTCCAGCAGTATCAACTCTTGGTGTATCTTTGCTGTTATGCTTTGACTAGGCTTCGAATGAATCGGCTTCTATATGCCATCTCTTGCGATAGTCGTTCCACGGATTTCATATTCCTTTGCGTCGTGAGTGCTACCATAAGCTCGGGTGTATGAAGTGCATAGTGATATCCGGCACAAAGCTGGCAGTTCCCACACCATGGACTTGACATTGGTGGTCTATATGTGGCCCTTGTCGTCTGATACACTGAGTCCTTAGGGCTCCAGGCATGAAAACATAATCAAAGGGAACAAGATTATGTGGTTGTCGTCGCCGTGGTTGCTTCCTCCTAAGCCTAGACTTCTGTCTCGCCATGGGACACAAGTCTTTCCATTAGGGCTATCAGAGGCCACATCAATCTGGAAGTATTGCCTGTATAGCCTAGGGAACATCGCGGCCAACATCAGTGCATATGCAGCCAACCTATTATCATGGTTAGTGATCATTCCATATTTGCAGTGCAAGGGCTAAAACTATTCAGCAAAGACCTACTCAGCAGACAGCCCTTTGCACAAAGCAACCTTGCCTGTATGCCTGCGCGAGGACGCGTCGCCAGCACGGAGATATGCTGTTCCCGTCCAGTTCAAAGAGAACCAGAACAACATGCCCTGAAAAGAGCTTTGATACTCGAACAACGGAATAAAACCATGGAGGGTGATTGTGGCTCTAGCCCAGTCACCCTCCATGGCTTTGAGAAGGAGGAGAGAAAGAGAAGACGAGGACTCAGTGTTTTAAATTGTGCAAGGTAGGCAAACTTGTCCTTCACTTTTGTGAATATACAGCAACTTAGGCGAGGCGATTCCCGAATAGGAAGCTTTGCAGTGACGGGAGGCACGCCTGGGGAATGGTTGGCACTGGGTTAGATTAACTTTATCTGCTGGGGTTAATGAGCTTGTTGGTGTGATTGCTGTTCACCTGGTTAGGTTTGAAAGCAGTGAACCAGCGATCCGTGCCATAAATCTTGATGTAAAGGACGAACATATGTGCCTTCATGCATTCTAGTGTGATGCTTTGTGAACTCGTGAAATTAAAGATGATTTTCTCTTCTCTACTCTTTACATTGAACTTATGATATGATCTTTTCTGGAAGGGTCTTCAACTCCTAAGTACACAATGAGTGGCCTCCTGACTCCAGATCAGACATCGACCACCCACTGTCTAAGTAGATTCAGTATCCTCCACATTAGTATGATGTCCACGCTTTCGTTTACCCGCCGCCTGCGTATTATCGCTCGTCCACTCGCTAATCTCCCACTCGAAACTGGTAGACTGGTCATCACTAACCCCAACGCCGCGCCTAGTCTTCATCATCCTCCCCAGCCGACTTCCCTCCACCATCTCTTCGAACCACGGGATCCCGCCCAGTGTGCCATGCCTGTAGCTCCGTGAGACCGCCGACCTAGACGGGATGACCACATCTGATGGATGGGCGCTTTGTTGAGCTGTAGCCGGACTAACGACTACCTTTTCTTTCCGCTTCGCAGGCTGCTCTTGTTCCTCGTCTGCTTCCCTCTCCTCATCAGAAGAGTGAGGAGGCGATTCCGGAGGCAATAGTTCCAAGTCTTCCAACATGCGCTGGTCATCACCAAACAAACTTCCTATCGACACTGACATATACTCCGCTTCCTCGCGCGGGTCCTCGCTCCAGTATGTGAGTGGCGTGCCGCAGTAGCCGCAAAAGACCCGCTGAGTATGTGGCGCATGGCGCGGGGAGAAGATGCGGCGGATGGTGCTGTGTGTTTCATCGGGAAAATAGGATTGGGTGTGGGATTGGTACCAGGTTAAGGGGACACGAAGCCAGGCTGTCAGTGGAGCTGCGTGGAATCTTCCTGTCCAGGTTGTGGTAAGTGCTCTGGTATATGTATATATGACCTAGGTGAAGTGTGACGTACGATTGTCTCGGCTAGTGTCGAAGTAGACGTGGGCGTAGTCAGTTATATTGTCGGACAGTCGAATTTGGTATTGATTCCTCCCGCATTGACAGGAGCCGCGTAGATGCTCGTGACTGGCCATGTTGTGGCATTTATCTCCGATCGGGGTTTGCTACGCCGTTGCAGCTAATAGTTGAAACAACGCTAGTGTGAAGTCATAGATCGAGTGTCGATCGCTATCAATTGATGAGAAACTGAAGACCGAGAGGATACAGCCTCAAGGATAGGCTTCTAAACCTAATTGTATCTCTAGAATGTTGGGAGGCAGCAAGGAGACATATAATGGGGAGGTGCAGGAGAAAAGGTATCGGAGGGAATCTAGAAGCAACCTGAACGATCGATGACGTTACGTGGGTGAGGCCGCGATCCAGGGACTGGCCAGTTGGCGGTAGTCCTTCGGATTTGACGGCTAACTTCTGAAGTCGATCACGGTTGTTCCCATTAATGGACCTCCGCTCCATTGGTCCAGAAACCTAGCAAGTTCCCCCCTAACGAGCTGGGGTCTGCGATGAACCTCTAGCAGTCTTGTCTTCTTTCTCTTACATATCTCATCTATTTCTTCATTCATTTTCTCCCACTCAGTCTCTCTCTTCCATTTGTGCTGTTGTTTGTCTGCTTTCTCTGTTCTTCTCTTCCCCGCAGACTACCCTGTTTGGTTGTCACATGAAAATCCCACCCCAGCAAGAAGCACATGATAGTCGTTGTATGAACGACAACAATCGCATTCTCTCGCCCACTCCTACATAATCCCAGAATAACCACAATGCCATCTGCACGACCTCCTGCCTCCCTGGCTTCCAGCTCTTCAGAAGCATCCTACTCCCCCGTGCCCGGCGGCGCAACCACCCATTCCGACGATCGCGACGACCGTTCCCCATCCACCACACCCACCGGCAACTCCTCCTCCAAGCCGGCCTCGGCCTCTTCAGCGGCCAACGCACAAGACAAGGACAAGCCGCGACTCACGGAGCAGGAAAAGAAGAATAATCACATTGCATCGGAGCAGAAACGCCGCGCCGCGATTCGGGAGGGCTTTGATCGATTGACCGAACTGGTGCCTGGCTTGGAGGGCCAGGGTCGCAGTGAGAGTATTGTGCTTCGCAAGACGGTGGACTTTATTCAGCTTCAGCTGCAGGAACGACAGGAGTTGATTGCGGAGATTGAGCGTCGCGGTGGGCGCATTGATGATTCGTTTCGCAACTGATGCTGCCGAGGTCCGAGCGGCATGTTGCTGTTGATGATGATGATTATGACTTGCTTTTGGGGTGGATGAGACTATGCTACATGCGTCACGCGACTATTGGATAATATTTGGAAAGGAAAAGTCCGGCGCTGGGTCTTGAAGGGTTGGTTGGTGATGGTGATATTGTGCAATTGCAATGGGCGATGGTTGTGGTATTTTACTTTTGGCCTCTACGGAGGCTTCTCGGCCAAGGGGCTTGAGGCGGGATGGCGTTGTATTGGTATATAGGGATGAGAAGGTCCTGGTTGTTAACTGCTGAGATTGTCACACTGCTGCATATATACATTGGCGGCATTATGAGTTCAGTTGTTCTATGAGCAAATACATGTTGATGCCAGACTGGATATGGCAATTACTGTAATGCAGCTTTCCATAACCAGTAAACGAGATCATGTGCAGGCAGACAAGTGGTACAACACCCATCATTCTGAGGCATTGAGCTTAACCTTAATACCTACTCCATATACAAACTCAGCAATAAACATGCAGCATGGACCACCATCACATGCACGCCCATCTCGTATCATTATCTCGTATCTATCTGCATTATCACAACTGCCGAGTCTCACCGCCCGTCTATCAAATTCCAACACCACCACCATCACCATATACCCAGCACCATATACACAACACCTGAAATAACACCTCAACCTCACAAACCACACACATCACAAACAAATCAAGAGGGCATCCCAAAATGTCCGACAGCAAACAATCCCTCCTCTCCCAAACGGAGCCCGAAACCGACGACCCACCCCCGGCCTACACCAGCACGACCAACACCACAACTCCCAACAAACCCAACCACCAAAAACGCGCCTCCCTCCTCCCTCGCCCTCCCCCACTCTCTCTCCCAATCCTAACCCACCTGCGCAACAAGCGCTTCATCCTGGCCTCCGCCTCCCCCCGCCGCCGCCAAATCCTCTCCCTCCTGTCCCTCCCCAACATGGAAATCATCCCCTCCAACACGCCCGAAGACCTCCCCAAGACCCTGCCCCCCTTCGAATACGTCCTCCAAACCGCCACCCTCAAAGCGCAAGCCGTCTACGCACAGGAAATCGACTCGCCCAAGGGCGACCCCTTCATTCTCGCCGCGGACACTGTCATCGTGGATACTTCCACCGGGAGTATATTAGAGAAGCCGCGCAGCGAGGCACACCACATTGCCATGTTGAAGGGGTTGAGAGATGCGGGAGAACATAAGGTGTATACGGCGCTTGTGGCGATGACGCCGTTAGCGAGTGCGAGGATGCCGGGGTATGCGTTGGAGAGTTGCTTGGAGGAGACGAAGGTGTGGTTTGATCAGGGGGTCAGTGATGAGGTTATTTTGGCGTATGTGAGGACGAGGGAGGGGGCGGATAAGGCGGGTGGGTATGGGATTCAGGGACTCGGGAGTATTCTGGTGGATCGAATTGAGGGAGGGTTTGATAATGTTGTGGGGTTGCCTTTGAAGAAGGCGTTGTGGTTGATGGAGAAGGTGGTGGTTAGGGCGGATGATGAGGATTTGTTGGATGGGGAGGCTGGGGATGAGGATTTGGAGGAGAGTGAGGGGGAGTAATTATTCGTCTAATTCATGTGGGTGTTATTTAGGGAGGGGATGTGGTTATGTATATAGTGCAATTGAATGGGGGGAAAAACAATAAAGGTATATTTCAAAGTACATCTTTTATAGCTCGACGAGCCAAAATATGGAATCAGAACATGTACACAGAGAGAGCGGCACATACGCCCAAAACAAACCACAAGCAGCAATAAACTAAACCATATCACAAAACAACAATCCTAGGAGTCTATGCGTTCCACACCCGGCGGAGAGCCTCCGTGACACCGACGTCGTTCGTCTCGAACTCGTACAGACCGACAGCCGTGCTGAGGGTGAACGCGCGGAGCAGCCAGATCATGAAGGTGTGGGTCTTGGGGACACGGCGAGTAGGGAAGTAGTCGGTGATGGAGGCGCTGTCATTTATTAGCCCCTAGGACATAACTCACACACGCGCGGCTCAATAAAGGCAAAGGAAGAACGTACTGGAAACCAATGTGCGAGTGAACGACGATAGCGGAGCAGATGACGGCGTCCATGACGGGGCTCATGGAGCCAGCAGCGAAGGGAGCGATGCAGAGAGGGACGAGACCGGCAGAGACGATTCTGTTATCCGTTAGCTTTCCAATTCCCTATTCATCAATCCTTCAACCCATCCATATATATCCGATGGATATCTCAAGTGGAGGCAACGCACCTCTCAAAAGTCCAGTGGTAGCTACCCTCGGTAGGGTGAGACTTGGGGATGGGAGCGGGGTCGTTCACTGCGTCGAGCTGTCAGAGCATATTCCAAACATCATGCATGTCGTTTTCAAAAATCAATCATGGCCATCCGAGCACAGTCGATATTCCCGGGTATCATTTTCCCGTAGGCAAAACCAAAACCAACAACCGAGCAACCGGAGAATCACATACTCGTTCCCTGAATAGTCTCTGTAAACCACCCAACCCATTAGCATAACTCATCCCAAATATGCAATCGCACCCAATTCCTAGATAATCAACTCACGAGGCAAAGGAGGCAAGATCTGCTTCTTAGCGGAAGCATGAAAAGCCACGACCTGCGCGACATTCTTAGTCGCGAAGGGAGCGCGGAACGCCGACCGGAGGAGGGGAGAAGACTGGCGCGCGATGGAGGCCATTTTGCAGAATGTGCTTTTGCTTGAAGGAGTGGAGTGGAGGAGGTGGGAGGTGTGGTGACCGCGATGCTCAGCGCTAGATAGACACAAGCACAGCAAGTGACAGATGCAAAGGTGAACTGAAGTTGAGAATGGAACCTCGGGAGTCCGATCGGGAATACGGTCATCATATTGTCGTGGCTCTGATTGGCTGAGCGTGCTCCGCCCAGCCGAAAATGGCCGATGTGCCGGCAAAAGGTATCTATCATCGTTTCATTCTACTCTAGTTGCGATGGTGCTAAGAGGTGCATATGGGTTCATAATTAGACTACTATTCTAGAGGAGGTAGGACTTGCTTCATTCAATTGGTTTAATTGCCAAGTATTGCGGTGCTGGGTTTGGATAGGAGACCTCATGTGGTTTATGCCTTAGGCATTACTCCCGTACCCGATTGCCGACAGTTATACGCAAGGAGAGAAGATTGACAGACATTCGGTCTGCTAAGACTGTGGTACCTGCATCATGGAATACAACTACTATGCTAATAGCAGCTACACATTATTGAAGTTAACAAGTGAATTCCGAACTGTACTCTATATCCAACCATCGTCTACCTCTAACGAGCCAGTTATCACATCATCCATATACACAATGCATACGAAGCCATCCCGATTGCACCGGGTCTTTGGATATTATAAACAAACACAATGAAGAAGAAAAAACAAACCTTTTGTCATGGACTGTATCTAGCAACCACTTTTACTCGCGGCAGATCATGTGGTCACGAGCAGGACCAGTACCGATCCACTTGACCGGAACACCACCCAACCCGCGCTCAATGTACTCAATATACGCGCGAGCATTGGCAGGCAGGTCCTCGTACTTCTTGACACCCATGGTGTTACTCTTCCAGCCGGGGAGGGTAACATACTCGACCTGGACCTTCTCCAGGACTTCCGGATCGGCCGGCATCGTGTTCTCCGTGCGGGTGCCGTCGGGCAGAATGTAAGCGACACCGACCTTGATCTCGTCAAAGTCATCGAGCACGTCCAGCTTGGTCAGGTTAAGGGCCGTGTAGTGGTTGATAGCCTGGGAGTAGCGGCACAGGACCATGTCGAACCAACCGCAACGACGTCTGCGGCCGGTGGTGACACCGAACTCCTTACCCACGCCCTGCAGCTTGTCGCCAGCGTCGTTCAGCTGCTCACTGGGGAAAGGACCCGAGCCGACACGGGTAGTGTAGGCCTTAACGACACCGATGATGGAGCTGATGCTGGTGGGGTTGAGGGAGAGGGCCTGGACGGCACCGCCCAAACCGGTGGACGAGGAGGTCACGAAGGGGTAAGTGCCGTGGTCCAGGTCCAGCATGAGAGCGTTGGCGCCCTCGACGAGGGTGTTGGGGGCGTCCTTGTACTTCTGAAGGAAGGCCAATTGGTCGACGATGTAAGGGCCCAAGCGTTTACGGTATTCCTGGTTTTGTTAGATGCTCCTGGAAAGGTGCTTCCGAGACCAACAATACATGGCGAGGAGGGAGAGGTCATCCTACCTTGAAACGAGCAAGTTCCTCCTCAACGTTGTACTCCAGCTCGCCGAATCTAGCGCGGTAACCGGCGTCCAAAGAGCGCAGTTTACGCTCGAAGAGAGCCTCATCGAGAATCTCACCAACACGGACACCGCGACGAGCGGCCTTGTCACTGTAGCAGGGCCCGATACCCTTGCCGGTAGTACCGACCTTGCGACCGCCCAGCTTGGCCTCTTCCAGGCCATCCACGACGGAGTGAAGGTCGAAGCAAACGTGAGCACGGTCGGAGATGAAGATGCGCTTTCCAGCGCCCTCCAGACCCTTGTCCTCCAGAGAAGCCAACTCCTTGAAGAAACTAGGGACGTGCACCACGGTACCGGCGCCAATCAGGTTGACACAGGAGGGGGAGACGAGACCGGAGGGAAGGATGTGGAAGTCGTAGGTCTTGTCACCGTGAACAATGGTGTGACCGGCATCTATCCATTCCATTAAACAGGATTCTCCACAGGGAAAATAGAAAGAACTCACTGTGGCCGCCAGCGGCACGGCAGCAAAGTGTAGCCTGCTGCGCAAGCATATCGGTAATCTTCCCCTTTCCTGTATTTGTACGTGATCAGCCATGTTCCATTTCAGTTCACTCCCATCAATCGATTTATCGATGTGAATCGACCCGTGAACTGCCAGGTAAATCAGATGACAACCCACCTTCATCACCCCACTGACTACCCAGAACAATTGTGACACCCATGATTTTTGGAAATTGATTGTAAAGCCACGAAATATATCTCAATTAAGCAGCTCAATTGCAAAAACACCCAGTGGTAGATCTCTTCGTTGTGTTCGTGCGACGCAAGAAGACAAAAATAGTCAGTCAAGATCGAACGGCAACGCGGGGCACTGAATGCGGGATGGAATGAGTCACTGATCTCAGAAGAGCAGCAGCAACAGTCTCTAAAGAAAAGAAGTAAGAGAGGATAGGATAGAAGTAAAGATCAATTAAAGCACACTGAGACAAATCTTGTAGAATAATCTGCAGTGACTGGAGCAGCAACGTAGGTTCCGTAGAAAAACCTCGCGACCGTCAAAATCCAAAAGCCGAAAAAAGAACCAGCGGAGGGGAACTGGCTGCGGAGGCAAAGAATGATATATGGGCGGGCGGGCAGTCAGTCTAGCGGCAGGGCCACACACTGGCGGGGGTGGCCGAACGGGACGAATTCGGTGAGACAAGAGAGGCAGAGCCACAGTTTTACTATACAGAGTAACTAAACGATAGCATGAGTGATTCCTGCTACTAATCCAATGCTTTTTTACTTACTTACCATACCGTTACCCTCAAATCCGGTTGTTGGGCGGGCCTTCGGTGTTTCCCGCTTCCTCCCCATGACTCCTTCTTAGGGTCTCCGTATTGCCGGTACCGGTGGTCGTCCCCCGCGGCGGGGTCGGTCGGATGCGGTATTGGACGGCACAATACATCATTGCCTATTGTAGATTAGTGCACTGACAACCACTAAGCTAGGCAATATGAAGGCATTTCAAGTCAGGTGATCTCGGCAGAGGTAAGTTTTTTCTTCCTAATATGGCTAGAAACCTTTTGCTCCAGAGGCACTAGCGAGGGTGCCACTTGGGCAGAGGCCCAGATACGATCTATGTATTAGCAACTGAGATTGATTTTCTAATCAAGTACATTGATTGAATGATAAACTGACCAAAAGATGGCATACGGATGGGTGATGCAAAGGCACAATGCAAGGATTGTTGGATATGCAGGTCCCGGCGCTAAAGCAAGCTACCCTAAGGCTTTCACAGGCATTTTGCTGGGACCTGAGATGCGTACATCATAGTGGTCTCAGGAAGCACAGAGCTGACAGTTGAGTAATAAGGATGCAAGGGGTTACACGAGCATGAGGTTGGCCGGAGATGTACAAAGTAAAGTTGCACCTGAGGAACGCTACATTGCTATATCAGCGCTGTCGATTCGCACAAGAGCGAAAGAGAAGAATATACTATACTGCGTGGTGATTAACAAGAAGTAAAAACAAATAGGAGATAAAGCCAAATTGTGGGATAAAGCAACAAGACAGCTAAAATCATAGCTGCTTCTGATTGTCCGTACACCATGCCGTGATGAGTCTAAGTGCGAACAGCTAGCATTACTACGAACAAAAAAGAATGTTCCGTCCTTTCCTTGCCTACTAAACTATATTAGAGAAGGAACCATGGCCCATATGATTCAGCCAAAAGAAGAAGGTAGCAGCCTTCCCTCGCGTCTCCTCACAGATCCAGAATGAACGACTGTCTATCTCTTCACTTTTCTCTACCACCAGCTCGTCTCATCCAATTTCCATCCATCCACCACACCTCAATCATCCGTCCATCAGATGCAGAAAGATCATGGACTAGGCCATTCAACATATCTGCCGAGGTGTACGACTATCCTCTGCATATCGCATTCCCAATCCTCTTTGCCAGCTCTTATGTCCTAATCATCGCTTACCTCAACTCCATCAATCGCAAAAGATGCCACAAGCCATGGAGATTGACCCAGACCCGCTCCTTTCACTACCTGGTGCTTTTCCACAACATCGGCCTTGCAGTATTCTCCGCATGGGTGTTTTGCGGATTGCTCTCGACAGTCTACAGAAACCTTCCATCCATAAAGCGAGAAGCATACTCTGTGCACGTAGCCGCGACATTATGTCACATCGAAGGAAGATACATTCTCCATAATAGCGTACTCAACGCCACGCGCATTGTATGGGATACTGGTTATGGTGATGGCTTATGGCAGAGAGGCCTAGGATATTTCTGCTGGGTCATGTACATGTCCAAGTACTACGAGGTGATGGACACGGTCATTTTGATCCTGAAAGGAAAGGAGATCACCTTCTTGCAAACATACCACCATTCCGGAGTCATGATCGGTTCGTGGGCGCTCATGCGTTCGATATCACCTCACTGTCTGGTGGCTGCACTGTTAAATAGCGGTGTTCATGCATTAATGGTTCGTTATATCATCGCCTCGGATTTAACAAACAAGCATTTAGTATAAATCATCTTTCAGATATTGTTGCTAAACCAGAGAGGGTCGGTGTTTTTGCAGTACCTATACTACGCTCTCCAGACGCTCAAGATACCAGTCCCAATGCACCTCAAGCGGACATTGACGGCTGTACAGATTGCCCAGTTCAGCATTGGCTATATCCTAGGTCTGTGCTATCTGTTCATTGCGTATAATTCACCGCATGCGCGCATCTCAACTGGCAGGGATGATGTTCTGAACGATGAATTGCGGCATACTGTGGTACCCTGTCTGCATACCCCAGGTCACTTGGCCGTGCTACTGTTGGGGGGTCTGTACCTTGGGCCTCTGATCTATCTCTTTGTGCGGTTCTTTGTCCGTTCCTATCTGTCTGCGGCCAAGGGGAAGATGGATTGAGAATTGTTTGCATGAAAAGGACGGTCGATATCTACTAATTCTAGTTACTACTATCTACTGGTAATTGAGTTTATATACATTTATATAAATATATATATTTCTCAAACAATAAGAGAAAAGAGGGAAAGGATCTTCTCAATGCGTTCAAACGTTGTGGTCTTAAGACACAGATCTACCTTCAAACTCTATAGAGGGAGGATACTGCGGCGAGGCGCATAGTACTATAGCAGCCTGAAGCGTGCACGGGCACCGGTATCGGGGCTTGGGGCTAGGGTCCGTACAGTCACGAACGAACAAGATTATGGGGTGACAACTTGAACGCAAAAAGACTCTAGTTAATATCAAAACGAATTCATGACCATGATAGACTATAATACATATGTTACCGTCCCCCAAATGCCACAGTAGTAAGCAGAACATTCGCAACGCCCATACCCAATGCACTTAACAGAAGTAGTAGTATAAATACTCGGCCGTCTCTTTAAACGCCTCTGTCGAGCTAAGCTCATGCTCACGCTCATGCACCTCTAATCGCCTATACCAACTTCCCCCCATTCAAAATCCACTCGCGCATCTCCCCAAGCTTCAAAATGCACTCGCGGTGCATTTCCCTTGCGACTTCCCAATGCTTCATGACCTTGGCATCTTCATCTAGTCCGCGCAAGTAGGCGCTGAATCCGGCTTTCCCGCTGCCGGCTACCATGCTATCATCACTTTCGTTGCCATCGGCTTTCTTGTTGTCATCGTCGTCGTCGTCCTCCTGGTCCTGAGCGTCGACTTTGAGACGCGCCGAGTCTCCAACAGCGCTGATCCAGTTCGGTGCCATTCCTGTCTCGATGGCTTCTTGGCGGGCGTTGAAGTGGCGCAGAATACGGCGGTTGAAGGAATTCCATTCGCGCATGTATGTGTTCATTTCTGCGGCGTAGCGCTCCCATGCAGCTCGAGGGAGGCCAAGTTGTTGGGATCCTGCGCTGATGGGGACTAGGTCTGGTGCGCTTGGCCGTTTTGGTGGGTTCGGACAGACTAGCTTGCGGGCTCGGACATCACGCATGTTTGTTCTGGGGACGTTGGGGCGGGATTCGAATGGGAGGTTGGCTTGGATGTCTTGTAGGTCGTCGATGCCACCGTTGCTGGTCGGCGTAAATGGCATTGTGCTGGTGAGGTTTGAGAAGTCGAAGGACTTCGTGTGCTGGACCTTGCCTTTCCGCGAGGTTGGCCGAATCTTCGGTGGGGGCATTTCCTTCGCCGGGTCTTCTTTGGGCTTGTCTTCCTTGACCTCGTCTTCCTTGGTCTTCTCTGGCTCTGTAGCTGGAATGGTGGTATTGACAGGCGGAACATCGTCAACATCCATAGCTTCTACATCAGCAGCATCGGTCTTGGCTGGCTCCTGAGCGGTTTCTCCATTGATGGTCGATTCGGCTTCCTCGGCTTCAGTAGCCACACTGGCTTGGGTAGCGGGCCGGGGTTTAACTCCAGGCCTAGTTTGCTTCCGGGGACTCTTCTGGCGCTGTGAGGCAGTTGGCTGTGCTTGCTTGGCGTTATCGGTGGTCGGAACGGCCCACGGAATGTTAGCCTTTCGCAGCTCCTCGATCCATGCGTCGGCAGAGAACTTCGCCTGGGCGAAAGGCGTGGACTGTTGGGAGGTAGCGGACTCTGAGCGCGGCGATTTGAGGTTAGAAGCACCCGCAGAGCCCTCTGCTTGGCCGAAAATGTCCCGGTTCGCACCTCGGCCTCGCGCGCGTGAATCTTGCGACTCTTTGTCCGACTGCGCCGCACCGAAGAAGTCAGTGCCTTCCCAGCTCCGGGCAAAGAATGGCTGGCGGAGCTGCTCATGGCTGCTGCTCTTGAAACTCCTGTTCGGGGTATGCGCGTCCGCATTAGGGGCTCCGGAGCTATACACGTAAACCAGTTAACTTATGACCTATTGATGGGTATAGTTCAACATACGCTTTTAGGGGACTCCCGTCTCCAAAGAATGCAGATGTATCGAATACATTCTTAGGTGGACTGGGCTTCTCAGAGTCTAGGCCTTAAAGAAAAGGTCTTTGTTAGCAACTAGATTCTATCCTCATTCACCAACTCGGTTGCCCGGCTACTCTTTTAAAGATTTTAACCGCGGGCGGTAGACTAATCCTTCATGAGGATATCGCTTACCAGGTCCTGTCTTACGACTCTTCTCAGTATGGAAGTCGCTGAACTTCTTATGGGCACGAAGCCGGCTCTTAGGGACTGCCTTGGGCTTGCGCGCCAAGAAGTCATCATCCTCCGAATCACTCGAGCTTGTAGATGTATAATTCCGATTATCCTTCTTCAACTTTGGACTAGCGCTCCGGTGTCTGCCACTCTCCGGAGGAGTGGGGCTAGGTGGGTTGGTCCTGGGACGGGGTTGAGGACTCGACGTCGAATCGCGCATGCTAGCAGAGCGTCCGAGTCCGGCACTCGAGAAGAATGTTCGCTCCCCGCCAGCGGTGGCATATCTGCTTCTCGCTCGTTCAATATCTGGAGTGCTTGTGTTCTCTGCCCGATGTTGCGCGGCTGCTGCCGATTTTCTAGCCGTCGGTGAGGGAGCCGGAGCGTAAAAGGAGTTTGGCGTTTGCGAGCGCTCAGCCCGGGGAACACTCGTATAAGCAGATGTATTTGCAGCCATAGGCTCATCGCCGCCAGCAGCGCGCGGAGCGAACCCTTGCTTCTTCTTGGCGGACTGCGTCCGAGTCGGCTCGGGACTCGCCGCTTTAGGGGACTTCTTGAAGTACTCGTAGGCAGATTTAGGCCTCGGGGACTGCCCGTTAGGCCTAGGTGGGGTGCTAGCGTAACCAGTGCGGGGGTCAAACGAAGACCAACCACCCGGCATAGCATTGCCCTTCATCTCCTGGAACCCCCTATATGCATCGGCACGTGTTTGCCCTTCATCTGGCCTCTTCTCCCATGCCTGTTTCGGGGCCGCTCGCGCGTAGCTAGCATAGCGTTGAGCGCCAGCAGATGGACTATGATGGAAAGACTGGGGGCGGGGCTTCGGAGGCTGAGGTGGTTTCGGAGTATACGGGGATGCATAGGGATTCGTAGGGGCCTTTCGAGCCGTGTTGGCTTTGGGAGGGCCGTAGAGCTTGCCGTAACCGGCGCGCAAGCGATCCGTGTCATATTTCAGTCGTTGCTGGGGGTCACTGAGGATTTCATTGGCCGCCTGGATCGCCTGGAACTTGGAGATGAACTCCAACTCTTTCCCGGGGTTTCTATCCGGATGGTATTTGAGCGCTAGCTTGCGGAACTGTCTCTTGATTTCCTCTGTTTCCGCGCTCGGGGTCAGACCCAGGTCGGCGTAGTAATCCCTCCGCACGTCCGCCTTGACCATTTTGAGGGAGTGACGGGATCCCGAATCACTTGAAATGAGCGTGTACCACTATCGTCGCGCCAAGGTTCAATCGTGTTGTACACATGACCTATCACGAGGAAGGAACGGCACTGCAGGTCGGACTGGGACGAAGAAATAAGAAACAAGCGTAGCGAAGAAGAGAAGACCGGCAGAGAAGCAGAATCAACGTCCAATCGAGCGAAGAGAAGGGAAAAAATCGAGGTGCCCGCAAGGATCGAGCGAACGATCGGAGCCGGAAACCGAAGGGTTGCGGGGAGTACAGCAAGGAGCGATGGTTTCACCGTTTAGCTGGCATTTCCTGGTTGGTTAGCATGGGGATAAGCTCAAGCATCTTTAGCAGACATGGAGAATAAAATAGAAGCAATGGGAAAATCACCTGTAGTACTGACTGCTCTTTTTCCACCGGGAGCGTTGCCGGGTGAGAGTGTTTTGATTCGGAGAGCTCCACTTGAAACCAGCTTATATTTTTCCCCCTCTCAATAGGCTGCGCAAAACCACATGATCCTCCTGTCACAGTTTCCAAACGATATAGTTGCTCCCACAAGGAAAAGGGAAGAAGAGAAGAAAAAGAAGAGGGACGGAAATAAAAGAGAGACAAGGCAAGACCGGTGAGGAACGAAAGAGCTGGCAGCCGCAGAAAGAAGATCCAGATGGATTGCTTTCTGCCTCTTTCTCAGGTTCGCGTGGCCCAAGCGCCCGCCGATTGGCCGCCAGCTTCGAATGCCAGTTGGTGCTTTCCCCACTGCGATCTGAACCGTCACTCCAGCATCTCCAACGCATCTACATCTCTCGGTTGAAGAAGAAATAACCCAGCGACCCGCTATAGGGCCCTTATCTAGCTAACTTTATATGTCATACTCGCCACTACAGTACCCAATCTAAAACCCCCTCAAGCATCTCCATACAACCTCACCCTACAGCGCCAACAACAATCACTCAACACCCCAAACCCAGAGTGATCCCCGATCGCTTTACTCAACTAGTGAGTAGTAGTTAGTCAGGCTACTTTAGTGCCGCAGCCAACTCAAAGCGAACGGATTACTAGTGACTTAACTGGAGACAAACCAACTAGCTTCTTGCTGCCCAATATGGTTCCCTCCACCTTGGCCTCACCTTTGCTTCTCTGCTGGGCACATTTACTTTGAAGGTGTGGATTAGGATTAAATCTTACGAGATAGGTGGGCTACTGCTTGGGCCCTGCTTTTTTTCTCCGCCTGATGAAACAAGCCCTACTTACTACTACTACCTGTGGAGTAAAACGTCATTGGGATAAGGTTTAGAGGCATGAGGGATGATATTGTGCAGTGTGCCTTGGGCTCTACTAAATGTCTCATGTATTACTCATTAGGTATTCTTTAATATTGTCATTAATTGTAAACGGTGTCTTCACGCGCCCGTTGTGGATGGAAATGGATGAGAATCTTTGGGGGGGGGAGGAAAAATGACACTATATGAAGGATATCATATGATATAGCTAAATAATATACCGTAACTAACCATGTACAAACAGACAAAGTCAAGGTTTTCATAAGTCGTCCATCATCCAGTCAATGCCCCTTCTTTCCTTTTTCTTTCCATCACTTCGCCATCAATTAAGGAAATGTATAGACATGAAAGTAGTAAAAGATATACAACAACCATCATCATCATGTCTGCAATACGGCAAATAAAAGCTACTGGGTTTCCCCAGATGGTCCGTTCCCCGCCCCACCGAAAAAGTAACCTTCTAAAATGTCGTAGTTGGCGTTTTCGCTCCAATCATGTTGGAAATCCATCGCCATGCCGAAGCCCAGGTCAATCCCGACACTGTGGCCCACGCCATGTCCCAATGACGGCATCGCCTGAAATTCGTACTCGCCGTGTCCATCCGACTCGCCGGCCATGTGGCTGCCTTCAGCGGCCGTGGGGTCGAAGTCGAGGAAATCCAGGCTCAACCCAGAAGGCGGGTGTTCGTTCTCCGGGGTATGATAGTGGGTGGCGGGTGGGTTCGCATTGACGCTGTTTGGCGATGCGCTCTGTTGGGGGGAATTGCCGTAGTAGTATTGCTGGGGCAGTTGGGTCTGTGGAGATACGGTGGTCTCATATGGGGGATAGTATTCCATTGATGGGGTTCGCGGGGGATGTGGCCGCATCGCCCGATCAGGAGGGAAGGTGGGGGTGGGAGTAGAGGCTTCGGGAAAGTCTGGTCGGACGGGATAGGGTCCTGGCAGTCTACTAGGTCCACTGTTGGGTCGTTCAGGGACGGCGGTGTTATCATTAAAGAGGTCTCCGAGGTTCATGTCGAACCGTGGCATAGGTCGTGATGGCCGTGGTTGACCCTGACCCTGACCCTGTCGTCGGGCCGGCGCGCGTTGTCGTGGGTCCTGGGAATACCTTCCATATGGTCTGCTCTGGTCTGGATGTGGCGCATTTGCCGGTCGTTGTGTGCTTCGGACTGGCGCCTGGGTCAAGTCTACTTGGGAGCCGAATCCCGTGGTGGATAAGCACATCTGAACCGTCGCTTTGCTCATGCGTTCAAAGGCATCACGGCAGGCTTCTGCAGGCGGGCACTTGTGCATGAGATCGCCAAGTACAGATGTAGCTGCAAGGACGGTGAAGTCCACTTCGTCGAGGGTCTGCATACGGTTAGAATGATCTCTAAACAATAGACGGCTAATAGACCTCGTACCAGACGGCTGCGCACCAAAGGCGAGTGCCAGATTGCATACAAAAAGGAAATGCCTAATAGAAAGTCAGTAACGATCTGTCCATGCCCGAGCCAGCCGTTGACCTACCCGCCATGAAGATGTGGTGCGTAGCTAGATACGTGTAATTAACCAACCGTACCCGGTGCATCTGACGGTATATACGGATCACTTTCTGCCCAGCCTCAGCTACCTTATAGTAGATGTCATCTTCATCTTCTGCCTCATCTACGTTGGAGAACGACGGACTCGACACATCTTCGGCCGGCATCATCTCATCCGCCAATTCAGCCGGTACAGTCAGGCTTTGCTGATAAAGCATAATCACCGCTTGCCAGTAGTTCAACTCAAGGAACTCAACAGGGAACCTGACTCCAGTATCGCGACGCGTGGGCGCACTTTGTTGCCACTCCACAAGCCGCCGGTGGACGTCTCTACGCCAGGAACGGAAGGAATCGAAGCCTTGAAGGAAAGGAGAGGAGATGTCGGGGCGAATATGTCGTCTACCCACTGAAGGGGCTCTCTGTCTAACGAACCGGGCTTGCTGATGCTGGAGCACATCTTGGATCTCGGACTGCAGCAGCCGCAGTTTAAAATAATGATGCGCGGAGTGCTTGTAACTTGGAGCACCCTCAGGAGGAGTCACAATCCCAGACTTGGTGATGTATTTGTCTTCTAGCAGAGACGGAAACTCGGTACTGATGGCTTGGTCGCTAATTCCAAACGGGCGGCCAACACAGCAACTGACTAAACGGTCGAAACTGTAGACGCACCACCACAGCCGACGGCGCAGGTCGCGTACCCATTCCCGACGCCCGAGCTCACGGTGGTCGATTCGCGCTTTAGACTTCTCTGCGTTCTTGCCCGGTGCACGGCTTATGGCTTCCTCCCCGAGCGTGTCAATGTCGGTTCCATCTTCGTAGTGCAAGCCAAGGTCGACTGCCAACCGCATTGCCACACCAACGATGTACCAGAGACCAGGAGCCACAGGTCGCAGAAGGGCAAAACTAGCGAGGAGAAGCACGGCTTGTAGTTCCTCCAGAGCACCAGACCCATCCCCGGACGCAGTGTTACCCAGGAAAGACTCCAGATGGATGATTGCGGAGGCATGATACTCTTCCGGCTGGTGCTGATGGCTTGAAAGCCGGGGCCGCTTGGAAGAAGATGAAGGAGAGTGGTCGCGACCATCCTGCTTCTCATCAGAGGATGGCTTGTCTTCGAATATAATCCCAGCACCAATGGCAAATACAATATTGAGAATGTAAAGACTGCGAGGGGAGCGGTTCTTTTCATCTAGCGAATATGTACGATCAAGCATCTCCATGAAGTCAGCCCGATGCAGAATGGGCATTTGTGGGTTTGCATGCTCGAAATAGAGATTGGCTAGCTTCTCAGCCAAGTCTCGATCCGGGAATGCAGCACATTTCATCATAGACCTGGTCTGTAATCCAAAGAAGGAATCACGCATGCTACTCCCACCTGTCCCCGTAGCACTATGCGGCAGGCGTTCATTCGGGCGCATTGGCCCGCGCTCTGCAACATTCCCTGGCACGGAACTCTTGACGGCGGCAAAAACCACGCGAGCGAAGGAGATACCAGAGGTAGAGCCTAAATATCGGGGATCAGAGGTTCCCTGCACAGACACCATGCCAATATTCGATACCAGATTATGTATGCGCCAATTGTCTTCCTTTTGCGAGTCCTGGTTGTTGTTGTTCTCCGACGTCTGACCAGTGGGATCGCTCTTTTCTCTTCTTAGCACGAGTCCATCCTTTTCCTTTTTCACCCACTTTTCGTTATTATCCGCACCGGTGGCCCCATCGCCGGCCGCTGAAACCGAGCCTTCGGAGCCAACTGCCGGGGCCGGCGCAGTATCAATCCCTGTTTCGATTTTCACGGCTTCCTCCTCGTCAAATGCGACTGGGTCTTTGTAGGATATCTGATGGTCTATCAATACCTTCTCCAGATACGCCACACGGGCCTCAAGAAAGTACACATAACTGCGAGGGATTTCGCGTTTCGTTATCGGGTCATATCCGACACATCGGACGCCAGCCTTCTCGCAGGACTGACATCGCGGCAGCCTCTGATCGCATCGGTTCTTCCGTAGACGGCAACGATTACAGGCGGAGACATTTCGGAACGAGGATGAATTGGTGGTAGAGGGGGCGGCGACGGCGGACTGAGTTGCAGGACCGTCAGTGGCTGACTGTTGTTGCTGGTGGGATTGCGCCGACGGCTCTGGCGGGATCGAGGCGGGCTCGGTAGGCGGATGCGGACGTTTCCTCCCTATGGAGGTCGGCGAAGGAGGAGAATCAGGGTTCAGCATGACGAGAAGGGTACGCGGCAGAGTCGAGCAGACATGCGACCATGTCTCGGGGGGAAGAATTTGGATTCGGACAAGCGAGATGCGGAGATGGTGTACCGGAGACCCAGAACCGAATCAGCATTCATGATAAGACAACCCCCCCATGCGCTATGTTCTGCTTCTGCGTCTTTTGTTCTTCGAGGACCGGGGTATCCGCTTCGATATCCGGGGACAGCGATTCGACGGAGGGCTGACTCGCCAGTGCTGTCCCGATGCTCGGACTTTTCGTTTGTGCCGCGATCCGACAGGACAGAAAGGCGATATTATCTGGACGGGAGGGCACAGTCGCTGCGCATGACGGAGGGGACCGGTCGCAGCAGGAAGACGCGGATAGGCTAGACTGGGGGTGAACTGAAGGGCTGGATTATGGACGACTGATGAGTGAGAAAGAGAAAAAGCAAGCATCAAAAGTCAAGATAGGGCAAATTTTGGTGGAGTTGTTTGAAGGGCACCTTTGGGTCCGGTACCTAAGTAGGAACATTTAGTATCGTGATTAGTGCCGCCAGCCGGCACTAGTATCAGTAGTGAGATGCGTACGTATGTCAGTCATAAAGTGTCGGCTTGGTTAGCAAAGCAATGACAAGCTCATGCTTGTAAGTGTAGCAATTGAGGATCTGAATGACGACAAGAATTGCACTGGGGGGGAACCTGGTCCAGGTTCACGTTGATATTGCTGAAGAGAGATTCGAGGTCGTCCGAAGCCGAATAGATGACAATACCGATACCACTGCGTCTGCTCCACGTGACACCGCCCACAGACGCTGATGTATATGATTGGTTACTGATAAGCTGGGGCCATGGCACGGATGAAATTTGTCATCCGAACCGAGGCCAGTCAGTCAGCAGTAACTAGTTAACTAGCAACAAGTCTACTAAGTAGCTACTAAGACCACTATAGAGAAGTACTACAGTGCAAAAGGTACCTCCTCAGTTCCTGTCAATCCAGATTCTCACAGCTTACGGAACTTGAAGCAATGCAGTAGCGCACAGACAAGACCCGACCCAGGTCCATGTCCTATTTAATATTCCGAGCTCTCCTAATGACCGGTTAATGCCAATTTGTCGGATGGATGGTGCCTAGGTACCCTTCTTAGCACCAACCCCCTCCCCTCGTTGATCCCATCTGCACCCCCGCACTACCAGAGGACGCGACAGCACTACTTACAGGTGGCATGTCTGCACGGCGTGGCTAGTCAGAGGAGGGGAAGGTTGCATTACTCAGTCAGAGCCTCGAGGAAAACTCAACTAGACTCGACAACCGAGCGGAGGGGCAAGGTACAACGAATAGGACTAGCAAGCAGGTCAATATCGCTGTCGAAGATATGGTCAATATCTACTAATAACAGTTATGAACACTACAAAATACGTTTAAAAGAGCTTTGTGTTATGTCTCAAAATCGACAGGGCTAAGGAGAGATGCTACTGCTCTCTTCCTTGCCCCCAGCAATGAATTCTTCTTCTTCTTTCTCTGCGGATAGAGTGGTTAAATGTAGCAATAATGACAACGAGCCTCCCAGATGCATGAAATCATATGTGTGCCCAATGAATCCCCGCGGTAACCCCAAAATCAAAGACAGAATTGCCGGCCCTCATGCTTTTGTCACATAATGCTCCCAGTCTATACACTGCGCCATCGCCCAAGCTTGAAAATCATGATCTAAAACATAAATAATGGAAAGCAAAGGAAACCATGGAGGATAAGAAAAACCAAAGGAAAAAAAAAAAAAATCAAGCTATACCACCAAATATGATCCAAGAATCAAACAAAAGCAAAAATGGCAGAGGCAAGGCAATGCGAATTCAAGCAATAGAAATCAGCCTCCAAACAAGAGCAGTTCAAATCACAAAAAGAGACAATGATGCGAGAGATGCGACAGTGCTTCTCGCGATAATGAAACAGAGGTAGAACAGGTCTATTGGCTGAACTTGGACTTGTCGGGCTCGGGCTCGGAAGTGACGTTCAGGTTGGCTTGCATTGAGTCCACGTTGGGAATGTCCATGTCATCGATGCTGGTGCGCGCCGAAGAAAGCAGTCTCCGCACTTCCTCGGGAGAGCCGTCTTCCTTGCCTGCAGTGAAGGAACCCCGCAGCGAGTCGCGGTTCGAAGTTGGGCCATCGCATTCGGCCTTCTTCTCCACGTCCTTGTCTCGCTCCGATTCCTCCATCCAAAAGCTCTCGATGGCGCCAAGGATGCATACTATTCCACAAGCCCACCAGGCTAGCACGGAGTATCCACTTTCGAGACCCTTGGAATGAAGCAAGCCAGTAACCGTTGGGCCGAAAGCGCGGCTCAAGCTAGCTGTCGAGGCGGCCGCGCCGTTGATGGAACCGAGGACTCTGGAAGACGGAGCAGCGTTGGCGAGGAGAATAGCGGTAGCAGGGAATGCGATGACGTGCAGCGTGATTTTGCTGATCAAAGCGACGTAGGCCGCGGCGGTTTGCAGCTGTTCGGGCAGGAGAATAAGGTAAGGGACCATGAGGTAGAGAGGGGGCCAAACAAGCAACACGAAGCGGAAAACTCTCAGTGTTCCAAAGTGACGAACAACAAACGGGAACAGCCACAGCTGCGCGATCATGGAATAAACGCCTTGAACCGCCAGCATGAACCCGATTTTACTCGTAGCCAGTCCCAAGCCACCAGTGAACTTGAAGGGGAGCACGACATCGTCGTCGGACTTGGGAGTGCTCAAGAAGACGGGCATGAGTTGGTCGAAGGAAACACTATGGCTGTTGTGTAAAGGTCAGCGTCTGAAGAACGGCGGGGAAGAAGTGGGGAACGAGAGGGGACTTACTATGCAAGAATGCCATAGGCAATGATGTTGAAGATGACTTGTTTGGTGAATGCCTTGGGGGTTGCGCACGGCTCACCCTTCATCTGCCCCTCAATGTCGTCATCCGCAGACAGGTTGTCCGATTCCTTCATCGGGCCCAGACGAGGCGAACTTTCCGTGCTCCTGTACTCTGGCGGAGGGACATCCTCGTAGTCGTAGTACTCCTCCTCCTCCTCCTCTCCGGCCAATCCCGCTTTGGCGTCCGTGGGCTCGGGAATAGGTTCGGGAGAACCCCAGACTTTCGCAACGAGCCAATTGCCCAACGCCAGGCCGGGATCGCGGCGGTGCTTCTTCTCCGGATGGGTCTCCTCCAGGAACAACAGGCCAACAACGATTCCGGACACTAAGACGACAACGCAGACCAGGTTGGGCAGCAGAAACGGAAAGCGATCGAAGATGGTGTCACGCTGAAATAATCCGGGATAATTGTCGCATGGTTGTGCCAACGCACCACCCATAGCGGGCCCGATGATCGACCCAAGGCACCAGACGAACGGCATGATGGAATAGGCCCGGGGTTGGTGCTCCTTAACAGTGACAATCTCTGCAACGGTAGTTTGAAGCACGCCAATGTTGCCGTTCAGAAGGCCTCCCAGTGCCCGGGCGATCATGGCAGTTGGCAAGTTGGGAGCGAACCCAAAAACGACCATACTGATGGCAGTCCCAATTAAGCCCATGATGAGGACAGGCTTTCTGCCAATCTTGTCACTCATCCGCCCCCAGAACATGCCTGCGGAGAACTCTGCAAAGGTGAAGGCCGATGTAATCATTCCAGCATACAAGGCGATCTTGCGGTCGTTATCCGTCACATGGAATGATTCGACCATCTGGTAAACATAGGGGAATATGGACATGAATGCGATTGGTTCGCAGATGCGGCATAGTGCTGGGATCACTGTCAGTCTCCATTTGATGCGGCCAATAGTACTGGTCTAACATTGCGCGGGGAAAGGAGCATGCAGTAGTAATAGTAATAATAGCAGAAAGAGGGGTGTATGTGTGCACAGGTATCAGGTACCCAAACAGAAAGGTAAAATAGAAAACAAAAGGTGATTGACAGAAAACAAAGCAATGAACCGAGGCTAAACAAATTCCTATTTGCCATATGCACGATCATGGTTGGGAATTGGGCGCAAAGGGATTGTCACAATAGTCAGTCCAGTACTAGTCAAAAAAACATACCTAGCACAAAGAGCTGGCGGACAGGGAAGGCGGCCCAATCACCGTTGCCCTCACCATGCCGCCGGCCTTGTAAACATGACGGTCGTTTGAACATGATGTTGGTTGAGCGGTCACCCACTTGGTTCACTCTCAACAGAATGAAGAACTATCGGGGATTGTTGTTGTTGTTTTTGTTGTTGTTATTGTTCGCGTGAGGTCTTCGAGATCAAACACGGATGGCGATATCGGCTTGCGTCTCTTGCAATAATATAGAGCAAGACAATATGCGAGGCCAATGGCCAATGATTTCGGGGAATGTGTCTTCGGCTGGAATCTCCGCTGTAACCGAAGGGAGGGAATGTTATGATGATAAGATCGCTGGACTGAAGACAAGAGGACTCGGTTTGTTAAAGGGGGTTCAACATTTCTAACCCCCTTGTCGTCAATCGATGCTGCAAATCCTTTTAATCTTTTGGGATTTTATTTTCCGTGCTTCTGTTCCCGAGAAACGGCTAGACTGTGTAACTGCAAGGGAATCCAATGACGCAAACTTTGAGTGGTGAGGAACCCCAACGGTGATCAAAGATAATCACAGGGAGGCAAAGTTAGAAGCAGGAGAAGAATAGAAATCCAAGGGCTGGTTCGTTGTCGTTCAATTGAGGGTGTGCAAGGGCAATAATGATGGGTTGGCGGGTGGAGGTAGTAGGATAGTAGGGCTAATGGCTAAGTAGTACTAAGGTAGCAGATATAGTAGCGGAGTGCAACAGATGGAGAAGAGAAGGAGAAGAAAGCGCTGCAGTCCACGGAGGCAAGTGGATTGTATTTAAGAAAGATGGCGGAGAGAGGGAAGGTCACATAAAAGGAGAAATCTGGACGGGCAGGGAATTAAATGAAGTATTTCCAGTGGATTACCTAGATATGTGATCAGGCGAAAAGACTAAAACGTCAACGGTTCAAGATAGTAAGTATGGGACAATGGAGCAAGCCTATTTCGGTTACAGCTGTACAAAAGGATGCAGGATGCAGTCGACAGCAAACAGCTGAGGAATAAGGGGATCCACTTTCATTATTAGCATGATTAATATTTTTGATTTTTCTCGAGGGTAGGGGAGAAAAAAATAAAATAAAATAAAAAACCAATTTTTCGATTTTTTAAATTTTTTTATTTTTTTAAGGTATGATGCGGGTGGACTACGCGGAGGGGAGGGAACGAGAGATGGATCGGAACCATCTGACACGGCCGTCAAGGCAACAAGACAAAATAATGGGGCACCACAAGAGTTGTGGGCGGAAGGGGAAAAAGTAGCAGGAAAAGAGAAGCAGCAAAGCAGAACCGGAATCCGAGAAAGGGGTGGAGCCAATAGCAGAAGCGAAACAATACTCTCTCCATCCAAGGTACTACTTACTTACGGGGCATACATCATTTTCACTCCCACCTTGGGTTACAACTTGAGTAAGTATTACTCTCTAAGTCTCTCTCTCTCGCCAGTAGTAACGCCCAGCCGTGTCCGGGCAGAAAGGGAACCAGAGGGAAACCGCCCGGTTACCCATGTAAGAGCGGTATGGTTCTTTGATTCCTTACAGCACAGAAAAAATCAAATCAATTCCGTGATTTTCCCGATTGTAAAATATTAGCCAGGAATAATTAGCATCATCATTATCGAATCAAACAGAAAAAATGTCATAAGGGGAAAAATCAGATTGAGATCGGAGCTGGAAGTGTATCCATCAACCAGACCTACTGTCAGACCACACTAAACACTCAAAGGGGAAAACGATAAACTAAAGTAGGGAAATAATGGGAACGAAAAATAGATGATAAATAACAAAAAAGGAAAATAAAACAAGAACTCAAGGGTAAAATGGGTTTAGGAAAAATGGGACCAAAAATAATAATTATAATAATAAATAAGAGAGGGGAAGAAAAAATAAAAAAAAATAAAAAAAGTAGGAAGCAAAAAGGGAGAGAAAAAGGCAAAAGGAGAGACACAGCGAAAAACCGCAAATTGCCCCATTCCAGAGCCGCCGCCGCAGATTGACCGGTAGGACCCATGGACCTGAGCCCCGGGCTCCGGGGAACAGTCAGAGGTGAATAGCTAGGAGCGCGCTAAATTGGCCCGTAAGGCAATGATGATCGGCTTTCCAGAAGTCTGGTTTTAGTGTGACTTAGTGAGATGATAGATCTAACAGCACCTCCAGCCCACTTTCAATCACAGTGACCAGCCCGCCTCCCCCCGCCCCCCTCCCAAGTCTCAATAAAGGGGATTACCCATCATGGCTAAACTAACTGGTGGGTAAGTGATTGAGGGAGTGAAAGTGTATGTTTGGCTGTAATTACACTAGGGAAAGCTGCTGTCCCTTCAAAGTAAGTCTCTTCCTTCCTCGCTCTGCCTCCCTCCCTCCCTTCGGCCTGATCCACAGTAGCGGAATTCTGGAAGAGCCAGCCGGTTCCCACCCTCATGCTTGATCAGTTGACGGATCAGGTAAAAAGGGGATCACCCACAAGATTACAGAAATTAGAAAAGGAAAAGAAAAAGGAAAAAATATATGCATCAAAAGGGCTAAGAACTGAGGTCCACACTCGGTAGTTGTTGGTAGTTGATGTTGGACAAACAAAGAACTACGCTAATCATGACAACATCCAACAGAACAAGCTACCATGGTATTACAAATCAGGAAGCAGAAATCTATCGAATATAGGGAAGGTTGTACTTTAGCAGTCATTTGGACTACAATAGACAATTAACTAACAATAAAAACGGGGGTGCCTTGTTTGGGGGCTGCTTGGTAGTAACAAGCGGTGAATCGTGCAAGATCAGGGAGAAATACACATCGGCAAGTCGAGCCAAGAAATCAACAGTGTACAGTAACTAAGACAAGTTTGAGGTGTGGTGATCTGATATGGAAGAGCGGAAAATCGGAACAGTGGGCAGAATACCGATTAGCCAAACAAAAGATAAGAGCAACTAACGAAAGGAATGGGAAGAAAGAGAGGGCGAGAAAGAGGGGTTGACAAAGTGGGTAATTAGTGAGCGACGAGAAGAAAGAAGATCGCTGAGAGCAGATGATGAGAGGGCGGAGCAGGCAGAGGAAAAACAGAGAACAGGTAAAAAAGAAAGCACTGCGTAAAATTGGGGAAAGGAAATAAAATCAAAGCCCACATACATACTTACTTACTTACATACGTACACAGCAGACGGGGCCATACTCAGTAGACAACTACTAACCATCCTCCATTTGCCAAAGTGGGACTGATAATAGGACTGACGGCAAGCGGGAGGTGAGCAATCGACAGCCAGCCCTTACGGTGAGAAACGACGCTATCATTCCATCGCTCGACTGGAAGTGGACCGACAAAAGACGGGGTGGGTGATCGGGAGAAAACCGATTGACATTTAGTGCGATCACCCGTCAAAAAGGAGACAGAGCCTACTACTACGACGACGACTAGTAGTTACTGAGAGACGGATTGCGACTTCTCACCCCATGATTAGTTGCTTACATACAAGCAGCCCAAGCTCAGACAGTTGTATGATCATTGTAATAATCAATCATTATTAAGTGGCCTTCGTTATAGAGGCGTGTTGTCCCTGGGCTCCGCACCCGGAACAAGTGGTGTATGGGCTAAATCCGATCGACGCAGTCTTATTCCGTACCCAAACAAGCAACTTGACCAATCTCACCCATAACCCCAGAGAGATGATCAAGCCACGCTATAGATAACTACATAGTGATGACCGCTCGGCTTCTCGAGCAAATGCCCCGGAACTTTAATGCGATCTTTTGGAAAGCATACAAGCTTTGTCTGGTGATTGGTGGGTGATAGTACAGTACCTGGGGAATTCTGGAGGGAGGAGACTGAGAGGGGAGGAGAGAGAGTGTGTGTGTGTGTCCTGAAGAAAGGATCGAAGAGCCAAAGAAGCGAGGAGGGCGAACAACATTGCAGCAGGTGATCACGGGGGTTTGATTGGAGCTCCCACCGAACTCTATCTACCTTGTTTGAAGGTTCTTTTCTGCGCTGTCGGTCCCAACGGATAGACGGAAGTATTACAGTAAGTTCTGGTGTCCATACCGAACTGCGTTTTGTTTGGATACCAATCGTAAATCCCATCAAGATCATTCCACGCATCCCTGGGGCTGCCGATGACTGTGGAGGGATAGACATCCTCGCAGACTCTTAATCCCCAGTGAAATCCCTTCTCGGATTCCTTTGACGTCATCCTATCTACTAGTCCAACGGCTAGCGCTCGAGATTTTCCCCGTGTTGCTTGGAGAACCTCTAAATTGAGACCTGAAACGGCGGGTAATGCGAAAAGTAAGTTCCTGGTACCTAATGGTATGAGGCTAATGAGCCTGACACCCGACGACGCAACCTTCAAGGTCCTGTCCGTCTTGCTCCTCCATCCCTCAGTTACGAGGTTACCTAGCCAAGTACGTAGTAAGTTTGCTAAGTAAGTACTAGCCGCCGTGGGTTTTGTTTCCCAAATCGCGTGGCCCTCTCTTTCTTTAGGCGCTACCGGTGACATGGCCAATATCCTACTATAACAGACCAGGGGTGCGGGTGAGAAAGATACCTAGTGGACAATTTTACCCTTTGATAATGCCATTGGCCAAGTATAATCGCTTTTATGTCTTTCGTCGCTTCCGAAAAAGTAGCCTCCCCCATGAACACATAAAAGCAACGCTAAGGGCGGGCGGAGGTGGAAAAAAGCCCAACTTACTTAGTACCGAGTTTGTAACAGTACGGGGTAATCGGTAATGAAGAGAGGAACAGGTAAAAACCCACCTCTGCATAAGGTAAATAGTACCATGCTGTGGATCTCATAGTGCCTGACTTAGCGCGGTTGAGATCTGGAGCCACGCGAGCCAACTGAGGGTCAAGAAGAGGGGGAGAAAAACAATGGAAGCTTGCGAGCTGCAAGTGATCTTTTGACCATCATGATGAATAGGCCAGTGGGGCGCTTTTGATACGGACGATCGACCATTAGCATCCGCCGCCCAGCAAGAAAGATGATGAAGGGCGGACAATAAACTCTGGCAGCCCAGAAAAAAAAGAAAAGGCATTGCAGAGCAGCAGACGACGTCATGATACTTGGGACGGACAGTAACAGGCAGCTGAACCCGCTGACTCTACCAGATCATCAAAGAAAGTGAAAAAGGGGTTGAGGGGGAAAGATTTGGTACACCAAGCCAATGGGGAGGATCCGGAAATTCCGCCCACCGAGTCGAAACCCGATGGCCCCGTTGCTCTGGGCCAAAGATACATACGTATAGGAAGTAAGTAGTAGTTCAATCCGCCGGCGGCTTCAAGGAGCTTGCCGGACGAAAGAGCATCTAAGGAAATCAAACCCCTACCCAAGCTACCACGCGGAGAGACGCAACCCGAAAGCATGCGAACGAAGATAAGTCGGGTCGGGTCTTCAAAGCCAATACGAGGGCTTCCTTAAGGATCCCGATTGGGCTATTTAGGGATTTTCGCGACAACGTGCTGTCGCAGGATTAATTTCGACTTGGATGCATTGCTTGCATCCAGTAGGATGGAGCTTACCCCTCATTTCCCTGACAAGCAAGACGACAACGGGCCTCCTTTGGGTTTCAAAGATTTGCTAGGAGCCGTCAACCCAAACGGCCCGTGGTTTGGCGGTGTCTGCATGGCGTCCGTTCAAAACCATGATACTGGACAGGCAATGGCCGAGTGGTCAGCGGTCTTAGCTCGAGTGACCACGATCGTGTCCAGCTTGATAACCACTCGGACGTTTCGGAGGAAAACAGGAAAACGGACGGTGAAATGTCATCGCGATGCGCCTAGTCTCTTAGCAGATACATACATACATACTTGCTGCTGTACATCATGTGAGCATGACCCGTCGCAGCTGAATGAAGCACGGGCGAGTCTAAATTATTGGGTGGATCAAGAGGGGGGGCCCTGAAATGATTAGCAGCAGTTGACTACTCGTGCTTGTAACCAGGTTAATTGCATGAGAGCTGGCGACTACTGTGCGGTCATAATTGGTAACCATGATGAGCTGTTGGTAGTATGGAGTACAGGAAGAGAGGGAAAGAATGACGATGATTAGTGAGGAATACCGGTGTGTATGTGTGTGTGTGTGTGTGTGTGTGTGTGTGTGTGTGTGGTGCCGTGCCCGCTGATGCCGCTGCCCTGCAGGTGCAATAACTTAGTGCCAGCTGAGGGGGGGGAAAAAGGCGTCGGTGACTGCCCATTTCACCACTTGAATTGAAACCACCAGCAAAACAAAACAGAACAGAACAATAGAATTCCGGCAGGAAGCGGTGAAGAGCCGAAAAGGAGGGGCTTGCAGGCTAACTTGGGTACGGACCGCCTAAGCTGTTGGCCGATATCACCACTGCATCGTGTTCCTTGTGCCACCGAATGCGGGACAGACAGGCTTTGTTTGTCAACATCTGTCAAAGATCCTGGCCGGTTTTACCCTACCTACTGCAGTCCTCGTGTGTCTTTATTTTTATTTTGTATTTTATTTTTCCTTAAAGAAATCTTTGCGATAGGTCAGCTGCCCCCTTTCCCGGGGGGGTGGAAAAGGAAGAATAACGCTCTGCTGTGCTTTGGGCAGAAATCCAAGCGCGGGCAGTCGCTGATGCTTGCTTGAATCATGCCTCGGAGCAGCAGCAGCCCTGGTCCGCCTTGCAGGGAGCAACGAGAAACTTACGGTGAGCGATCCAACATTACACACACAAGCTGATCCAATACACAGCCACGGGTCGCCAGGAGGGCAGCTGGCAACAACCTTCGGGAAGCAGTTTTCCGTTTTGACAGCTGGGCTAAGATCAACTCCTCATGCAAGGTCGATTGATTGATTGCTGCTACTGGTGGCATACACCCACGCCTCTTGTTATCGCACCGGCGGGGCATTGGGCTGCCCCGCGGTACATCGCTTTTGCTGCAGTGGATGGTTGGGAGAGGTGTCAGAGCCAGGGTTGGAGGAAAGGAACCGTAACATCAGCTCATTTATCCGATAATCGTCCTTCTTCGATTTGCAGGGATGTTAGAGGCTGTCCTGGAGGCTGTCTATCCCATCAAGCAGCATATCGCGTCTTACGTTAGTGCTCTTGCCTGTCTGATCACAACGACAAAACATCAATACTATGCTCTCCTATCGCCTAACCCACCTAATCTCCGATTCGTTCAATATCCTGCAACGACATTCAGCATTGAGCATCTTTATCACTGGCATGGGACTCTATCTAGTAGTCATCGATGCATGGCTTACTGGCGCATGACGTTGTCTCTATCAGCAGGTCTCTGCCCCATACCTTTCCAGCCTCTCTTTTCTTTTTTCCTCCCCTAACCCTTTAGTTTCGCCGGGCGATTTTTCACGTTGCCGCGGTTCATTCCTCTGACCCAACACATGTCTCAAGGCCTCAACGAATCCCATTGACTTTTCTCCGTATGGAGTATTTGAGTAGTACTCTGTGGTGTACTCCCAACTCTCGGGATCCACGGCCCACCTGAAATCAGCTTTGGAGGGACAAGCCACCCGCTTCCGGTCTGCGGTGGATCGTTTTACAGGCGCAGTTCCCGCGCCAGAGTGTCGGGTCCGGCTCTTGGAAATTCTATACTGTGGCGGATGAGACTCGGAGTGTCTTTTCCAGTCCCACTATTCTGATTTCTGATTCCTTTTTCTTACCGATCATCCAATCCTTAATTAGGCCATGTTCATTATTGCCTTCCATCATGGTTGAATTACCCGATAGTTACCATAAAGTCACTGACTACTAGTTTGTTATGTCGGTTCCGTCCTGACTTAGCTAAGTCGGTACTGTCGGCGCATGGCCGCTTGTTTCATAGTAATTGAAGTGGTTACCCGACTAAAGACGGCCCACCCCCCCCATACAGTTTTCTACATGATGCTTCGTCAAGCGAATGTATCGAACTATTCTAGAAACTCTCGTATTGGAGTAGTTGACGTCAGCGTAAATTATTGTGCATCATGCCATTGGCGCTGAACAATAATGTAATATTCAGTAAGACACTCGTCGACAATTGCTGGATCGGTCATCACCGGCAAATCAGCGTGACTGCGGCTGTGGCGGGTCAAAGAAGCCCCCAGCAGTAACTAGTTACTACTAATTACTACTTTTGCTACGACGACGATGGCAGGACTGAGCCATAGTAGTGATCCAAAATTGAGATCCTTGAAGGTCTTTCAGCTGGGATCCCTGGTCTCTTGACATGATTACGGGCATGATCGGTTCGATCAATGTGGGGAACCGCGCAGGTCATACGCAGTAGACCACCAGCCTACTGGGGGTTTCCCTGTTGGTGGTAAGTAGTGTGTAGTGATGGCAGCCATTGGTGATTGCATTTGCATCTATGTAAAATCTTCGGAGTCTCTCGGTCTTATTTTGTCAGATCGATAATATAATGCCCAGAATTAACCCAGTCCACCTTACTGTACGCGGCGCAGTCCGTTCGAGTCAGAGAGCCAAGCGGAAACGGAATTTTGAGACTTGAGGAGTAAGAGAAGGGTGTGAGATCTGAGAAAGAAAGGAGACATATGAAGTTAGACCCGCAGGCTTTTCCGCCTTTCGGTTGGAAGATGGAACAACTAGTAGTTATCTCATGGGACCAGCACCTCGCTGTTTTCGTCAACCGCGATACCTTCATCCACTAACCCCCTTCAAACGTCAGGAGTAGTAGGATAGACTTTGAAGCGAACCAAGGTACTGAGTACCGGGTAGGAAGTACCGGACTAAAGATAGAGCTGAGGAGAGGTACGAATCCACCAGGTACCTTTAGTCCACTACCAGAACCGAAGGTCTTTGTGCACTGGAACCGGCTTGACCTCCCCGAACCAATAAAACCATATAAGCGGTCAGGTGGATGGATGGCACCTTTTGGTGGATGTGAAACATCGAACCCGAGAAAAGGGCGGGCTTCTCATCTCATCTCATTTTCTCCCTCCTCGCTTTTCGCCGTTGCGTCACAATCACACGCCGGCTCGACGGAAGGGATTTGGGGGGCAAAAGTACGGGCGAATCGTACTTCCCCGTCGCTGGCTTTGGTCGAGCCACCGTGGCTAAGCCAGCGGGGCTGGGCAACTTGCCAGAAAAGTGAATAAATAAATAAATTAAAATAAAAATGAAAAGTGCCAAAAATGGCCAAAAATGCCTTCCTTCTTCTTCCTTCTCTCTGCTTTTTCTTTTCCCCACCTTAATTGCGCTCCCTCAAAGGGCGAAAGGAAGTGCGGACTGGCCGGTCTTCGTCTACACTTACACTGTTCTCTCTCTTTTTTTTTGGTTTTTTTTTATTTCCTCTAATTAAGTGTCATACAGTAGTATCCAGCATCAGCTGGGACGGGATGGAATCTGTTCCATCAGTCTCCATCGTCCATCCGTTTCTACCTATCGCAATGCGAGATGGAAGCATCCTTTCAGCTGGGATTAATTATGGGGGCGCGGCGCAACAATGGCGTAACTATCTACGGACTCGACGGCTCAAGTAAGGTTCATTCTGGTTAACTAATGTGTCTACTCTGAAGGAGTAAGCATGTCTCGGTTTCCTAAGACCACTAATTCCACTCTTACTCTCCATACTGACCTATGAAAGAACTCGGTATGTAGGCGACCTGCTTGAGTAGGCAGGTAGATGCCTGTACTACCTACACATGTCAGTGGATTCTCAACAACCGCCATTCCCTTCCTGTTTTCGTGGCAAAGCTGACCCTTCATCCATATTTTGATACGGTGCACCAATGGTCAGCGCACACACGCACACACACACATAGCACACTTATACACATACACATACACATAAATCAGTAGAAGGAAATAAGATCCCGGATCGAAAAAAAGGAGTAACTTTCAGGAAGGACTTTCGTCTCCAACGGAATTGCGGATCCGGTCCCGCGGCGACGGATAACAATCGAAGGACCATGGGTCTGATCTCCAATCACACTCGGCTAGTCTCTCGACTCTCGCATGATTGATCGATTCCGCCTTTCTGTTTCCCGCCTTTTGGCTTTTTAGACGGCGCACTATTTGCATTCCGCCCCATTTTGGAGCCATCATAGCCATCCTCTTTTGATCATGTGAGCTGCAGGGGAATCCCATCCTCCCCCTTCCGGCGGTACCAGGAACCCCATCCCATTCGCTCAGATCCCTGCACTGCTAAGATCCACTGCGGAGCCTCAGGCCAAGTCGAACGGCTGTATATCAAGGCCGAAGGGGACTAGTCCCTGTAAGTGACTCGCCGACTGTGTACCTGTCGACATGGGTCGGAGGGAACTTGTCCCTCGCCCCAACGTGCGGAATCTAGCCTTTCTGGATCCGTCATCTGGAGGAGCCCCTACGTCTACTTTCGTACTTCGAGACACAGTATGTACGCTATTCCGTAGTATCCGACAGGGATGCCAACAATGGACCATAACTTTAAAACGCAATATGGTCCGGTACTTTATGCATCTCAACTTGTTCATGGACGTCGTGACTAGTTCGTCGATCGCAGGCGCTGATTTGCAGAGGGGCTTGCCTATCCCTGTGACAGCCGAACTACTGCATCCTTGTTCACAATCACAGACCCCAACCCAGGCCAATGGCATTGTCATGCAGGCGGACTGCTGCGAACAGCATCCCACCACGCATGATGGTGCCGAAACAAGATGAGCCAGTGTCATTTCTGGATTTGACCTTGATCTGTCACTTTTGCAGCATCCAAGTTCCGCACATGGGATACACAGAAACTGGATGGTCGAGGCCTAACTAGACGGGTGGAGTCCTGTCAATGATCTGCCGTGTCTCGACCGAGCTTTTGCGATAATGATCCTACTCGCAGATCGTAGGTCGTGGAATGACGGTCCACTGTTGCAGTAATACGCCCGAATGGCCACTTAACTCCACGATGATGCAGCCATGGATATGCCCCCGTTCTATTTCGTCAATCGAGAAGCGGCATAGGCATGCCATTACAGGAAACAAAGTAGTTTGGAAGGCCCACTGTGCAACTCGCCATACCAAGATTATGCTCAGCTACTACTGAGGTAACCGGGCTCACGTCACACAAATCACAAGGTGTGCTACCTACGGGATTGAAGCCGGTGAGCCCACTTTTGCCCGCTGGATTTAGACAACACCTGACCAAGTTCTCGTCGCGAGGCCCTGGTGCGACAGGCACCGATAGTGTAACAACGGTGGGTAATCGCCCTGCGGTACTTTGGACCTTTTGCCTATCAGGGAAATTATAGTCCGCTTCGCAGGCTGGCAGCTAGCAGGTAGCCTACTTTGTAGGTGCCCTGGCGCAGGGAAATACTGCCAATGGTCCATTTGCTGGTCGTAACGTGTGACCAACGGGCGTGTCGTCGCATATTTGCCGAGCTGACAATGTACAGGCCGCCACCGAGGCAACTTAGGTGGGTAGACAGAAAAAAAAAAAAAAGAAGGAAGGAAAAAAAGAATTCGGTATCATTTGTTAATATTTAGCGAATCAACGGCGATAGGAAAACAAAATAAAAACTTGGATATTGATAGAGATCAAGTCAAAAAGTAAATTTGTGCTCCGATAGGGGGAATCGAACCCCCGGCTGCCGTGTGAGAGACGGCGATGTTAGCCACTACACCATATCGGATTAATTGATATTTTGTTCTTGGTTTTTAGCTATATGTCTCACAGCCGTTGCCTGTCAGACTTAGACAACGTTGGGTTACGCCTTCCTCCCTTGCTATTCTGCCAGGGCATCAGACCGACTGTGATAACGTCCACATGCACCTTCAAGTTGCGAGCTGGCTGCCTACATCATAACACTGCGCTGGGCACCCTTTGTTGCCCTGCTTACACTGCGATGATCAGGGAATAAGAGAATGCATTATGTACTCCGTACCGGGTCCGGAATGTGTCCCAAGGCAATGGCATATATCCAGAGCAGCTCGTGCAGGATGGATCGCCGCATATTCCGTGCTTGTCAACTTCCCAACATTAAGTCACCCACATTATTCTGGACCACGGAAACTGGTCCTGATCCGGAGAATGCTACGCTTCTAAACCGGATTAATAACTCAGAACTTGGTTAGCCAGACCCTGGAGACACACCCCTTCATCATGTGATCGATTGAGGTGCTGGAAATATACATTTACGCGCCGGATGCATTGCATCTGCATCATCCAAGATGAGATGAGGCGGCCGATAAGCTAGCGTAAGCTTCGACTGGATAGAAGGATAGGCCGATCCTTCGGGCAGGGGTGTCAAGCACTAACGGACAAAAGTACCCATTTCTCTTTTGCCCCTCTCTCTCCATTCCCCAGAAGCATTGAACAGGAAAAGTCCAAAAAGCAAAGACATACTAATTAACCGGGCACCCGGATCCGATCCGGGACACTAAGACCAGGCTAGACTCACCCTTCAGCTCTCTTTCCCCCAACTTCCGGCATACAGTGGTAAGCCGCGCGCACGCCAAAGGGAATAACAAAATTCTACACAGCTTTAGGTTCTTTGATACATCCACACGGGACGGGAGGACATCTCCGGCTCTCACTATTGGAGCATTGTTCCTTCCCCCCTGAGATGTCATGATAACCCAGATTCTGGATTGAGCCCTTGTTTGTCTGTTTGCTTGATTGATTGGGTTTCATGATGGAGATCTTGTCGTGTGGTCGGCGATAAATGGACATGAAGTGCACTGGATCAGAGGTGCGTCAACATCCCCTGCTGATCTACCACCAAGTAGATACTAGTTAACTAGCAGCATGTACATTTAGTCCGAGAGACAGATGGAGACACACCAATATCCAAGCCTGCCCACTACGTCCACAATAACTGAATATCCACAATATGTAAAGCCATGCATGAGTCTTATCTCCACTCTCTCACAGACACCCTCTCTCAACGAAATGACCCAAGTCAAGTGTCCAGTAACTGCGATAAGTTTAGCGCATCCACTCCACCCATTTTACATTTGACTAAATCCGACAGTCCAAATCAGTCCCCGAAAGGTAAAATAGAAAGTTGACACGTCCGAAGAAGAGCCCACTGACCAGTTACTGACTTGCTTCAATCACGATCCACATTCTACGCAGTCTTATTTATAATTAGCAACTCTCTTTTCAATTGTAGTATTTTTATCTATATTTATTTGCCACTGTGGATCGGTCCAGATCGCAGATACAGGCACACACCACAGACAATGACGAACACAAAGTACTCACAGGATCCGATATGCTCCGCACACATACATAGTAGATACATAGCACACAATAGTAACTACAGTAACCAAGCAACCAACAGTAGTAATCCAACCAAAGACCCATCCACCAATCCATCCATCACCAACTACAATCCCTACTGCATCTGCAGATTTACTCCCCAACCTACTCACCTATAACAATAACAAGAGAGGAATGAAGAGAGGGCCACAGGGATATGTGGCTCAACAGCTATGGTGCCATGCGACTCACCAATACCCGGGTGTGGCGAGTTCGCGCGGCATTAGCCCTGCAGTTGAAACAACCACCACCACCGCTACCGCTATACTGTAACACAACACCTGACTTGCCTGACTACTTCCAGCCCAGCCCAGTTGGGTATTTGCCGGGTGAGCTTTGAGCGGTCTACTCTGTATGCATAGCATTGCATCATTGTGCGATCACCTTCGGGATTTACTTGCTGTATGGGAGAAATATGCATGTCGCATGGTGCGGTTGTGTTGATATTGTTGATATTCAGGTCACTAAGTTGCTGCTGCTGCTGCTGCTGCTGTTGTTGGTGTTGTGGCCCGACTTGATGCCTGCCTGCCTGCCTGCCTGCCTGTTCTGGTTTGTTTGTTTGTTTCTGTACGCCCTTATGTTGGTGAACGTTGGTCGGTTAATGGTAGGCTATTTTTCCATATGAGGAGAAGAAATCCGAATATATTTAGGTGTGTGTGTGTGTGTGTGTGTGTG